CCATTTTGAGGGTCATCTCGGGTTTCGGTTGGCTCCTCCTTCTTTGAAGCTTCATCAGCCCGATCAGCGGGGACTGGTGTCGAATCGGAAGCATGGGAGCCATTGCTCTTGGAGAAAATATCCCCCATGGAATGGCCCGAGTAGTGACTCTCATCGTCCCCAGTCTGGCCTTTCAGATCTTTGAGGGAGGAATCTTTTGAAGGTATCGTGCCGTAATAATCGGGTATGTCGTAAAGGTCATCGTTATCATCCTCCGGCTCCTGCTTGATGATGACACTATTCGTATCGTCGTCATCATCATCTTCGTAGCTGTTATCATCATTCTCAAGAGAAGGAATTGGGACATCAGGGTCATAATTCCCGTAATGGCGAGGACTTGCACTACCCTGGGATGAGTTTTCGTATGAATCATCCTGGTAGTCGTCTCCTCCGCGCATATCGCGCAGTATGGAGTCCCTGGAGATACGTGGAGGGGAAAATACATCACTTTCACTGGCTGTAGGTGCGTTGGCCTGAGCGTCCGCAGATTCCACCTCCTTGGGTTTGTCGGCCACATTATCTTCCTTCTTGTCTTCATTGACTTTCGATTCATCATTGCGCGGTTCAGCCGTTTTTTCACGCTCCTCTCTCTGAATCATCATGAGGCGCAACCTATCTTCGAGCGACATGGAACCGCGACCGAGTTCGGAAATATCGGACTTGCTGTACGTTGCCGCTGCTGGCAGCGCTGGCAGCACTCGCTGATTACCGCTTCCACGCTCAAATGCTGCGGTAAGCTTGTCCGGAGAAGGTGTCCGTGGAGAAAAAGACAGGCCCTGGATCGCCGGCAGCGGTGGTAGAGGGCGACGCTCACCATTAGAATCAAGAGACTCAACACGGGAATGCCTTGTACGACCTTCTTGCCTTGATGAATACCGGGGCTCAGGGCTTTGGCTGTCTTCGCTGGTGAACGGATCATCATTTTCCTTCACCAACTCGTCGTTGGCGTTATCGGGGCTCATGAAGCGCCAATCTTCAGGCATGACAACCGGAGTTTTCTCAAGATCCTCCAGCGAGGCATCGAAGCTGTCGTCACGGTCCATGGACCCCCGATCAAAGCTGATGTCGCCCTCATCTTCTTCGGAGTCATAGCTTCCGTCGCGCGAATCAGATGCGATCGAGGAAGGGTCAGGAGTGGTCATCTCATATTCATTGATCTGAGGCGGGGCCGCATCAAAAGTAACGCTCTTCGTGTAGCGGGAACCGTCAATGTCAGACCATATTTCATTCTCAGGATCAAAAGTCATATCCTTAGTTCCAAATCTACTAGCTCGCGATAACGATGACTTCGCCGGGGGCGCCTGATCCTTGCTAGGCGAAGGAGGTCGAGGAACTATCTGTGCCTTGTCGGGGCTAGGGGCATTGGCCGTAGTTATGCCCTGGCTTTGTCGCTGAGGCGAGGCACGGTTGAAGGCCAGCGGCCTTTGCGGAACGTACACGCTCGCGGGATCATACTCTTGGTTGTAGTCGCGAAACATGCTGTTACCCTTGACTCGCGATGCACGCTTCAAATTCTCAAGGGAGGGCCTCTTCGAGGTAGAGAGCCCAAATTCCGGGTCGTAAGGTGCTTGATTTTCCGAGTTCTTCTGGAAGGGAGATCCCGAGTCGCGGCCTTGCCAAAAGCGGCGCGTTGTAGAGGGCGATTCAAATGGTGAAGACTCAATGCTCTTCGACGACTATTTCCGTACCGTTAGCCACAAATTCACCTCCAGATCACACGCAATTTACCCTATTAGACTGGTTCCAGACTGGAGAGTTCCGACGGTGAGCCATCGGGCTCACTTCTGAGAGTGGCCGTTGTCCCGTGTTACTGCCCATTTTCGCAAAAGACAGACTCAGGGTTCAAGAAAAGCAAAGGCAAAGAAGAGAAATTCAAGATCAACAAAAGCAGCAAAACGAAAACAGCGCTAAGCAGAGGGGATCAGTAAACTTGTTTCAGCTTAGCCTTTAACCCCTTGCGGAGAGGGAACGCGACCATACCTATTCTCGATAATCAAAAACAACAGGCGACAGATATCAAGGAAGCTCAGTCAAAGCGACTGAGATAAATCCAATATCTGGCGAATTCAATAACACCCAGTAAGTGCGTGACTCATGGGACTCGTAACAGTATCACAAAGGGAAGATCATCCAAGGCGATTGCCAGTTTCGTTAACGTTGGGGGGAGGAGGGGTTGGGGTCTCCTTTCTTTGAGCTTGCGCCGCCCCGAAGAAGAGAATCAATAAAGAAAGACTGGAAGTCAAATGAAAACAGATCGTGGTTGGACGAGATTCAGAAGAGAGTTGAGATCAAATGACGTGCAAATCCAACTTGGGGGGATGAAAATCAAAATGGCATGCCATCCACCACCAGCACTGAAGACAACAACAAGGTCCAGACGATGGGGCGGTAGGAGGAATGTTGGAGGGGAGAAGCGCAGTGGGAGAGTATTAAGTAGATAAAGATGCCTGGTGCCCTGGCTGGAGACGACGGACTCGTGGAGCCTGAGGAGCCGCCGCGATGTTGACATTTGGCTGGCGGGAGTTTCCACAGCAACGCGCTGTAACTGGCAGCAACTGGCTGAGACGGGCGGCGAGATTGCAGCCTTGGCGCCTGAAGGCCTGCCTCTCTCGATCGCGCTAGACTTCATCTGGCCTGGCGCGCTGAATTCCCCGGCGAGAAGTTCCAATGGGTCTTGGTCCAAGCTTCCGGCCCTTTCAGCAGTGAGGATCCTTTTTTTTTCTGCTGGTCCAGACTTTTCCATCAGCCTTCACCTCCCACTCCAAGCCCCATCTCCAAGCCCGCAATGAACCGGCTCAGTGGGCTGTCGCTGCCCCTCCGGCCTTCGGTGTGCCTGTTCTGTCGTGCGCAGACTTCCCTGGCCCTTTCTCCCCTGCAGGGAGGCCAGGCTGTTCGCGCGGTGGCCACGGGTCGCCTCCGCCGCAAAGCCCGCATGACACTGTCGAAAGATGTCTCCAAATCGTCGCTCAAAGGACGGCGGACAGACAGCGGTCGAATCGGTCTGTTCCCCAACATGAATCAGACACAGGCACGCCTCCGGGATGATCCGCGGTCGCGGTCTCAAGCCGCCTTGAAACGCTCCAGAGACTCCGAAGAACAACCCGCAAAAACCGAAAGCCCGCTATACAAAGCTCTCAAGATGCAGACTACCCTGTCGCCTGTCTCCTATGGCAAACGGACAGCAATCAAGAGCAAAATCTCAGAGGTCTCGAGCTTTGACCAATTTCCCCTTCTTCCCATCGTCCGAAATTCGATTTTCTCGCAAGTCCTGCCAGGTGTCACCCATGCTGTTCCGACCCCCATCCAGCGCGTCGCGATTCCGAGATTGCTCGAGGACCCTTCAGCCAAGAAACGTACAAAGAAAGTGGACGATGAAGAACCTCAATATGCTCAATATCTCCTGGCCGCGGAGACCGGTTCAGGGAAGACGCTAGCGTACCTAATCCCTCTGGTCGACGCTATCAAGCGCCAGGAGGCACTGGATGTTGAGGCCAAAAAGAAAGAGGAGGAGAACAAGGCGCGAGAGAAGGAAGAAAACTCGAAAAACCAGGCGTTCGACCTCGAGCCCGAGCTACCGCCGCCTTCGAATGCTGCAAGGCCTAGGGCAATCATTCTGGTGCCCACGGCGGAATTGGTTGCCCAGGTGGGAGCCAAGGTCAAGGCCCTTTCCCATACAGTCAAGTACAGATCTGGAATTATATCTTCCACTCTGACGCCTCGTCGGATCAAAAGCACACTCTTCAACCCAGACGGTATCGATATTCTGGTTTCCACCCCGCATCTCCTAGCCTCAATCGCCAAAACCGACCCCTACGTCTTGAGTCGCGTCAGCCACCTTGTTCTTGATGAAGCCGACTCTCTTATGGATCGTTCATTTTTGCCAACAACGACCGAAATTATCAGCAAGGTCGCCCCTTCATTGCAAAAGCTTATCTTCTGCTCGGCCACCATTCCGCGCAGTCTTGACACCCAGCTGCGCAAGCGCTATCCTGACATTAGGCGCCTAACGACTCCTAATCTACATGCTATTCCTCGGCGTGTACAACTAGGTGTGGTCGACATTCAGAAGGACCCCTACCGCGGGAACCGTAACCTCGCCTGCGCCGACGTGATCTGGTCCATTGGCAAAGCAGGCGGAGAGTCCGATCCCGGCCGTCCAAATTTCTGGACCGAGCCGAAAACCAAGAAAATCCTCGTCTTCGTCAACGAGCGCGAGGAAGCCGACGAGGTAGCTCAGTTCCTCAAATCAAAGGGCATTGACGCGTTTTCCTTCTCTCGGGACTCGGGCACTAGAAAACAAGATGAAATCTTGGCCGAATTTACAGAGCCCTCCGCCGTACCCACTGCTGAAGAAATCATGCTTCATCGAAAGAAAAATCGTGCGGCCAAGTCGTCGATTCCCTTCGTGCTGCCTGAGCAGTCGAACAGCGGGCCCCAGCGACACTTGCCCAACACCAAGGTCCTTGTTACGACTGATATCGCGTCGCGTGGTATCGACACCCTGGCTGTGAAGACCGTCGTTCTCTACCATGTCCCGCACACAACAATCGACTTCATCCATCGCCTAGGTCGTCTTGGACGTATGGGCAAGCGTGGCCGTGCAGTCGTATTGGTTGGTAAGAAAGACCGCAAGGACGTGGTCAAGGAGGTTCGCGAGGGTATGTTCAGGGGCCAGGCTCTGATCTAATATTTTTACCTTCCACCCCACGGGGTTGTACTTTTTACCCATATTTTATGTTTCTGGGCATTCATTTCTGGCGCTGGAATCGGTCTCCAATACCCACGTGGCCTGGTCTCGGTTTACAATAGACACGGCTGGATTTATGTATCATATCATATCATATCACCATCATGTACATTATAATTATCCTCGTCCTTCACGACATTAGCATATATAGATAGACGGCGCATTCAACTCACACCTTCACCTCCCGTCCATAGCACATCTGTAACTCGTAAGTCTAAACAGGAACCCTCCCTCCAACACTTCTGAAAAAATCACATTTCGCCCTCAATCTCTCCAACTGAACATTCTCAAACCCATGCTCCCTGATCACAAACTCCTCGCCCGTCCTCCTCAACTCCGGAACCCCCACCACATTCCCGTCCGTCAACTTATGCGCATTCGGATCGCCCGTCTGGAAGAAACTAGCGAAAGCCCCCGCAAACCCCGTATAGATTAGCGGATTAGTTTGTTGAATCGGGTTGACCGTGTTCCACTGCATAGATTTTTTTTATTTTAAGTCAGTTTTTGCTTCACCTGAACCACGGTATAATCAGAAAGAAGGACGCAGACTTACGTAAATAGTATCACTAGCATGCCTCGCCGGCTCAATCGTATACTCCGCCAAATACCCATTTCCCCTTGCCGACCCCGCAAGCCAATAAGCCGGACAGGCAAGGACAACATCTCGATACACGAGACCCGCGCGCACAAACGTCGAGTTATACAGACCCAGAGTCTCGGTGTGGCCAGTGGGCGGGTAATATTTTGTTTCGAGCTCGTGGATTTCCGCTGGTGATAGACCGGGTAGGAACCCCGAGAGCCAAGAGTGGAAGCTTGCGGTGGAAGAGTTGAATCCGTCGTCTGTTGTGTTCGTCGAGGCGAGGCCTGGGGGGATAAAGTTCTCGCCTTCGTGGGTGTTATATGTTGCGAGGATATGATCTGTTTTGATACCATGACCAGGGTGGTGCGGGTTCGTTGCTTCTGTGAGTGTTGAGAGGAGGAATTTGTCGTCGATAACAGGCGCCCAGGTATACGATGTTGTTGTGTATGTATGCTCGGCACTGATGGCCAGGCTAGCGTCGCGAATTACCTGGACGTCGACATTCTTCAAGCACGAGAGGGAATCTCTAGCATTCGCACACCCGGTTAGATTAACAAGCTGGTCATAGATATCCTCCGCCTCAGGGTCATCGTATCGATACGTCTTCGGCCAGAACGGCGAGCTAGCAAGCGCCTTGGAGAAGAGTTTCTGATGCCCTGGACGACCATTCGCAAGGACCTGCGCAACTACAGATCCACCTCCGGCCGACTGGCCCCAGACGGTGACATTATGAGGATCACCGCCGAAGTGTGAGATATGGGCTTGGACCCATTTAAGGACGTATTCCTGGTCCAGAAGGCCCGGATTCAGGTCTGAAGTTGGGGAGTCCTTGATTGCTGTTCCGGGGAGGAAACCGAAGGCATTGACACGGTAGCTGGGATAGATAACTATGTAGTCATTCAGAGAGCTGGCATTGAGCACGGGGAATGAGGAGGGGGGAAGCTCGAAGGATGCCTCTCCCTGGACGAAGGCGCCTCCGTGGAAAACCACGAGAACGGGCCTGTGAGGTGCTGGGTGCGGGTTCCATGGGCGTGAGAAGAGGCCTAGATAGAGGCAGTCTTCAGACCCATTCACCGTGCGCTGTGGGCACATATCGAAGCCCTGATCGGTGTCGTAGATGCCATTTGGTATCTTAAATGGTGGCTGTGGTGCGCGGAAGCGGTTCTCGCCGACGGGGGGTGCTGCGTATGGTATCTTGCGGAAATAGGAAAGGTTGTACGTCTCGTCATATTTTCCCTGGAACGATCCGTAGTCGAGATTGGCAATTGGGTCGTTGTAAGCCTTGACAAGAGACCCGGTCAGTGGAATCAGCCAGAGAGCACACAGAGACTGTAATCTCATTGCGGTGTTGAGTCTTCGCCAGACTTACTTTATTACCACTGGCAACCTTGGCCACAGAGCAGGAATGGTCTTTATAACCATCGCAGTTCGGGATTATACAGCCCGAAATTCATTCGATTTAGTGGGAAATAGAGTCCGTCCTCGAGCTTGCGGAGAAGAAAGTTGGAGGAAGCGAGACGAAACTGATGTTATTGGTGCGTTAATATATACTGTCCGTTGCACAAGTCAGTCTTGGTGTGGGGAAGAAGCAAGAAAACCCAAACAGAATGGAGAAACAATCGATAATAAAGTATATCTTTATTTTCATCTAAAAACGGGGTGTTACATGGTTGTAAAAATACAGAAATCGACCATGGACGATGTAGTAGAGAAACAAATCCGAGAAACAGAGACACCCCCTGGGCTCCTAATCATCTCATCCCAACCCTCTCAGCCCTGAACGCCAACCTATTGCAGTGTGAATGAAGAACCTTGAACCATCTCTACCTGAAAACTCCCGTCCACATCATTCCAACATACCAATCACAAAACATATCTTCATTACATGGTCATCCGAAGCGCCCGGGTGCGCCGTCTAGTCACCCGAGTGCCTCGCTGTTCGTCTAAGGCCTCACTATCCGGAGTCTCGCTGCGCATATCTGACAACTCCGGGGTGGGGGTAATGCCGAAGCTGACTCCACGGCCCCGGCGGGAGATGAGGGCCTCTTCCTCGGGATATAGAAACCGATGGACGGTACGATGGTCCATCACGCGCTCCTCGTCGTCATGCGGGCCATCTCTATCGGTCTTGGGCCAGCGGAACCCGTACAGCATAGAATGCCGTTCGCAGCGAGGACATTCTCTCCGCGTTAAATAAGAGTTCTGTTGTACAAACCATGCGTTGCACGTGTGGCAATCGACCCAGCGGTCATATGATTGTGCTAGTAGCTTTGGGGTTTTGGTGTAATCTCCGGGAACTCGAGTAAGTTTTGACACAGGCTCGACAGTCAGATAGACTCGCTTAGTCCGCGCTTTCCTCGGCCTTTTCTGAGACCCTGGAGTCTCTGGTTGATCTTCTTGCTTGACAGAGTCTGAAACGTCACTGGCGCAACTGTCTGCGCGTGACTCGCCCTCTAAGATGCGTGTGGTGGCAGTTGCAGTAAGAGAAGTCTCGGTGCAGTTTTCACCCTTAAGCTTTATTTCGGTGTCACACTCCAAGGCTGTTGTTGCGGATGTAGGACCGGCAGGTTTGTTTAAACTTTCTCCATTGGAAGCCGCAGTTGGTTTCATGTCTGCCGTAAGCCTGGCTTTCATTGTGATCCCCTCATCACATACGGAAGTGGCTGTGGTGGACGCCGATGACCGTTGCGATTCTTCAGGAGTGAGGGATGTTAGAGACTCAGAATCCGTACCCGAAGAGGACTGAATATTATCGCCATTTAAGCCGCTTTTTTGGTGGCTAGAAGCTGGTGCCGGAAGAAGGGGGTTCAGAGTTGAGACATTGCGGGGTTCAGATTCGATTGAGATGGCGACCTCCTCGGGGAGGGAAAGTTCAGAACGCAGGTTCGAGCCGCGTGGTGTAAACTTCCCCCTCTTGTGGGGGGTTGAAGAAGGGGAGGTGTCGGAGTCGGCGTCAAGAGTGCGCTTCCGCTTACTCGGTGTCAGATACTCTTCGGTAGCAGCAGCATCCGGAGTAGTTGCTTTGCTTTGTGGTTCGGAATCAAGATCTGGTGACCATCCGTTGCGGACGGCACGCTCACAGGTGAGACACAAGCATTCGCAGTTGTCGACTCCAAAATAATCTTCTCCATAGGAAACGGTAATTTCTTCACCAGGATAGATGTCTCGAGTGGCGACGACCTGCATTCCCTCGGTACCCCGAGTTACCAATCGTCCGTTAGCGTTGCAGTCATGGTTTGCAAAACGGGCGGGGCCCAGGAAGAAAGACGGCGTTTTCCTTCGACTCGACATGACGATGCTAAAATCTTTTCGCTTCAAATCCAGATCCTGCTCCTCCTCCTTGGTCATGGGCACCAAAGTGCCGCTCAGATACTTGATCTCCCGACCTTGCGGGACGAATTTTCGGGCGCAAATAGCAGCCTCGTGTTCGGTTATCGTATAGCGGTTCGTGGTCGTGACCTCAAAGGGGCAGTCGGGAAGATAAATGTGTATATATTTCCTAAGGTGTTTTCGAAACCAGTCTTTCTCACGGTCGTTACCGAGCTTCGCCAGATATCTCTTCATTCCAGAGAGGTCCAGTAAGTTGCGTTCTGCCAGGACCGCATCCTTGGCGACAATGACATCGTGCAGGAGGATATTAGACACGGTATCCTCGACCAAGCCGCGGACAGGGATATATTTCGTTCGGTTTTTGCGAGTCTTGGTCCAGAAGTGAGCCTGAATTGACGGTATAGTTAGAATTGAGCTAGAAAATCGCCAGGTACGGAGGAATGCCCACACAATCCACCAGCGCATCCGTTGCGACGTCGTCATAGCTGGCCAATTTCGCAAGCGTCAGACGGTCGCGCCGTTCCACAGAAGGACTGGACCGAGCCTTTGAGGGCGGCATGGTAATTTATATAAGTAGGCAAGTCCCATGTAACTGAGAAATCCACGGTGTTGAAGTTGTGTTCGCGAATTGACTTGCTGAGAAGGGGCCAATGTGTCCAGGAGAAGAGCGGAAGGCGGGTGGAACGCGGGTACGTATATAAAAAAACGAGCGGGGGGTATAACACAAATTATAACACATGAAGAGTGAATTCCCAAATGACAGACATGATGAGTAGAGAGAGAGAGGTTTTGCGTGAATTATACTGGAGCAGCTCAAGAAGAATGGGGCGCGCAGCCACAGACACACGACTCCGACAAAGACAGCGGCTGGAGACTAGCGGCAGTTATGTGCCTGTGTTGCCCATGCGACTCGTAGAATTATGACCGGCGTCTGCCTGGCTGCCTGAGGGCACAGGCTGCAACCCGGCCTGCCTCCGGGGTCGGAGATCGGCCAAACTTTCCGCCCGGAAATCTCTCGAATTAATCGCATGTCTGATGCTGGTCCGCGGACGCTTCTTGTCGGCCCAGTTTCCAGACCAGCACACACAGTCAAGATGATCCAATTAAAGGTCAGTTGCTAACTTGAACTCCCTGGAATTCACTGGATATGAGCATCTGGCTAACTCTGCACAGACGATGCTTAATTGCATCGACAACTCCGGCGCAGCCGTGGTCGAATGCGTGAACGTCTTGAAAAAGAAGAGAGCCGCAACAGTCGGTGCGTATTTCCTCTGCGAAAATCATCCTCCAAACTGCTTCTAATGTTTACGTTTCGAATGATTACAGGTGACCGAATTGTGGTTGTCGTTCAAAAACAGCGAAACTTCGGCCCCGAAGGTACCAACAGCAGCACCGGCATCGCCAACAAAGTTCGCCGAGGAGATATTCGACATGCCGTGATTGTTCGGGTGAGGAAGGAGATGCAAAGACTAGATGGGAGCCGCGTCAAATTCGATGACAACGCCTGCGTGCTCGTGAACAAGTCCGGAGACCCCATCGGAACCAGAATGAACGGTTAGTCTCTATCCGCACGAAACTCACTGCTACGATTCTAACATAAAATACAGGTGTTGTGGCTACGGAACTACGGAATCGACAGTGGTCCAAGATCCTGTCGCTGGCACCGATGCATGTATAAATATACCACTTGGAGCGAATCGGTTTATTAGGCGTTCACTTATATCTATCTATCTGTACAAATAGAGCATATTTCTCTTGAATTTTCCCACTATGATTTCAAAAATCGCCAAAACTCCCCGAACATGCTGTAAATGCCAATAAAGGGTATCGAAATAGAGCAAATTATGACGATGTCATACGAAAACATTTCCACACGTGCAGCAAACAAAGTAAAGTTTCTGAAGAAACAATTAGTTAACTGACTTCCCATGAATCAATAGGGTTTGTATGCTCACCATTCCTGTCTCCGCGGATCGCTGTTGAGACTGGAAGAACACCGCTTCGGCTTCACCACAGCTCGGGCAGAGCTTGTTGGATCGAGGAAGCTGTAGAAGGAAAAGCAGGTTAGCTAGGAAGTCCCAAACGAAGCCATGTATCTTCCGAGCTTGTGCAAATGTCGTTGGATCGGCCCATCTTAGGATGCCGATCCGCAGACGAAACAAGCAATCTGGTCGCCGCAAAGTAGACAAAAGCCGGAGAGACAAACCGTGGGATCATTTCCAACGTCCTGAGTCACACCAGCAGTGTCGCCGACTTGGCTGCTGAGCTTATTTTGGTAAACACAATATGAAGTCGCAGGTTCGCCGACATGGCAGGTTCGGCAGGTGAACATTAAGCGATTGTTGATGCGGTCTTCTTTCGGGTAGAGCAAGTTGGAACTGAAAATAGTTAGCCGGGTGCTCATAACATCGTACTGATAGGGGTAGGTATTACCATTCGCGACAGAACTTGAAATGGATCTGATCGGTCTGCTGGTTATCGCCACTAGCGGATGGAGATGGGCTGGCAGACATTTTGACGGAGCGTTTGAGGGTCGTAGATGGTCGGACGGGCGGTAGAAATGTAGCGAAACCTGAAGCGAAGACGAGAGTGACTCAAAGCCCAAGATAAAGCGATAGACAAGACTCGAGTGAAGAAAGCGATCGGTAACAGACAAGATGAATGTCAAGGGAAGTTGAGAGAAGCACTTGGCGGCGGACTTGGGCGGCTGGAACCTGGAGTCTGAGTTTGCACTGTTTGCACACTTTGCGCTGTTTGCTGGTTCCCCCTCCTGTCACTTTTCCCCGCGTCATCACAACCGATCTATTTGCGACTACACTAGAACTATAACTTCATCGTACTTTGGACTTGTCGTGTCACAGTTTTTTACAATCGCAACAATCCACAGACAACATGGTATGTCTTTATCCCCCTCCCCAACTCTCGATCGCCTTCAACATCATATCCTGACTTTTCGTCGTAGGTAAACACAGGTCTTCCTGCAGGATGGGAGGTTCGCCATTCCAACTCCAAGAACCTCCCTTATTACTTCAATCCCGCAACCAGAGAATCGCGGTGGGAGCCTCCAGCAGATACAGATATGGACACTCTCAAGAGTTACATGGCAACATACCATAGTGGAGCCGCCGCCTCTCCATACCCAAACCAAAGCGAGGGCAAAATCCGCTGCAGTCACCTTCTAGTCAAGCACAAGGACAGTCGGCGACCTAGCAGCTGGAGGGAGGCGGAAATCACGCGGACGAAAGACGAAGCCCGCGAAATTCTCCGCGGTCACCAGGAACGCATTCTCCAAGGGGAGGCCCGGTTAGGAGACCTTGCGATGTCCGAATCGGACTGTAGCAGCGCTAGGAAGAAGGGCGACCTGTACGTCTACACCTGTTATCTTGTAGACTTTTCTTTATTGTCTTGCTCAATAATTACTAATTCTTCCAAAGTGGCTTCTTCGGGCACGGTGAAATGCAGAAAGAGTTTGAGGACGCAGCATTCGCTCTGCAACCGGGTGAAGTCAGTGACATTGTTGAGTCAGGATCTGGCCTTCATCTTATCGAGCGGTATGTCAACCCCTATTCTGGCTGATCTTACAACTAATTGCTTGGCTCTCAATACTGTAGGCTGCAATAAATTATTTTTGGGCTATAGATATATCATTTAACGAGCCAAATTACCTTCAAAACAGATGAAAGCCATCGAAATATTGTACACCCTCATTCTTTCCGTTCCCATTTTGGAGGCAGCTTTCCCTCATTGTAAATACTGGGTTGCACCTACCTGCACATCCACAAAAGACCGGCAGCATGGATAAGCCCAGCTTTTGCTTGAACTTTCATTGCTATGCTATGAAAGACCGGCGTTTGACATTGTCGCTGTAAATTTCTTGGAGATTATATTGGCGTTATCAGTATATTTCCTCTCGTTTCTTCCCTCGTTGGTTATTGTTTTATTCATACGTCCTTTCCATATTACTTGTGTCAGCAAAGTACGATGCCCGATGTACTCCCCACTTATTCACGCCCTATCTCCAGGTCCTTCATACCAAGTAAATTACTTCAGCCCCAATCTGCTATACTTATGCCCCATCTTCCAAGAAATGTTCCAGCGTACCTCAGGGGATCGTTCAAGCAGTGCGAAGACGCCGCAGACAGATGAATGCGCTCCACCGAAGCTATCGACAACCGCAGACAGCAACGCTTCGAAGCACTGTGCCCAATAGACGATGAGGCGCGTTCAGCCCGTCATGCTAAAGTTATAAACCGTCTTCTCGATTGGAAAGCTGATTACTACCCAGCCAACCCTACATTAGCACCAACAGCGAAACTTGAACGGATAGCAGTGGAGGGAATTTGTGTCTCTCGCGCCGCGCATACACTACATGGAAACATGCCTACGATAGAGGCCTCAATTACGTTAACGGCCAATGCGCAGAATACTACAAATTGAGACTGCTCAAGCCACTGGTGATCTTGATGAGCGCACTTATAATGTTCTAAGCACCTTACTTCACAAACATATTCTGGTGGGAAAGGACAAATTGGTGGTTCTTGTTAAGTTCCTGGCAGTGCCGATATATGAGAAATTACTGGATCAGTTGCACTGCACTTTCCATGACCGCGTTGAGAATGGTGATGTCCTTTTCCAAGAACTCTGTAGTACGGGCACGATTATTTGAACCTCCTACAACACGATTTTGTTATATGGAACATAATGGGTGGTATGAGAGATGAAATCTTGTTTGGAGTTTAGACCAGTCTCATTTATCATCTGGTGTACAACAAAATAGCGGTTGGACAGACTATGACCGCTAAAGATGTATACTATTAAGAAAAGAATTGTTAGGCACGACTCGCTACGGACTAGCGAAACTGGTTATCTTTTTTTTCAATGTTCATATGAAAATGGTCATCGGTTAGAAGCCTGTTTCTGAAGTTTATAGAGCATTTGACGTCTTCTACTCAGCAACTTTCTTTTTCTTCTCCCCCTTCTTCACCATCGGTCTTGGGCGCCTAAATCAAATCAAGAGTTTTAGCAAATACCAAAATAAACGCCTGAGCAACTTATACTGGAGCACTTACTTTAGCTTTAACCTCGCCGAATCCACCGCCCCCTCTGTTTGAGGAATACACCACTGGCTCTCAAGCAATAGCACCTGCCGGTCACTACCAAACGCCTTCCACTTCTCGTACCCGTCATCCTCAAGCGCGACCAGCATCCCCAGCGGCTCCGCAAGCGGGAAAGTCTCTGCGCTCTGCAGCACCTTCTTAAGGCCATCCTTGCGGACGCGGGCATCGACTTTGGCATAACATGCTTCACATAGTGTCAGGACATCAGTGATCTCTTGGATGTTGCGCTGGTAGCACCAGGTCTTTTGCTGGCGGGACTGGTTGGTGTCGTCGTTTGATTGGCAGGGCCGGTACCACTCGTCGTAGATGCAGTCGCAGAGGTATTTCACCGTCCAGAAGAGACACATTTTGATGGATTTTTGAGGGGTATCTGATCCGATGCGACTGTGGAAGTGGTGGAAACAAGGACCTAGACATTTTGGGGGGATGAGGGATAAAGGGGACTATATAGATTCGTGAAAGATGGGATAATGGAAATGGGTTTGAAAGAGAGAAAGAATGAAATTAATGGATGGCAAGCAAAATAATAGTACATACATACTCCTACCCTTATATTTAAACAAAGGCTAAGTAGTTTTATAAAGGTTATTCTCTTAATTGCTTTGATGTATGGATAGGGCTTTGTCGTCACGTGAACAACGTGGCTATTGAATATGATAAGGTGAGCGCAGAGAGAAAGAGAGCAAGAGGGTATTAAATTTTGAGGGTATTAAATAGTTTGTTTCAAACTGGTAATAATATTTTGATGCCTTGTGTTATTGTTATTATCGTTTTGGGACGTAATATCGCACTCTCTACTGCAGAGTCCCCCAACCACATAGCTCATTTCAATAGGAATAAAAATGCTTCTCAAGTATACATTCATTCCAAATTATAACCCTGGAAAATAGCCACAGTAAGTGGGCGTCGGACTCCACCCCAGCTGCTGCTCCTGCAACTCCCGTACCAACCGCTCCCCATTCTCAACCCTGTTAAACACTGCAACAAGAACCTCTCGAGTGACGATCTCATAGGTTGGAAGCGCCAATTGTCTAGAAGCATCCTCTTCCCACTTCTTCATCTCACGCATGAAGCAGTCCTTCCAGAACACATCCAGCTCGCGAAACGCTTCGGCTGAAATGGTTCCCTTCGCCCTAGCAATATACATCATCGTCTCAAACTCCATCCTCGCAAGGTTATATCCTTTATATTCCGTATCTTCGAAGTCCTTAAGCAACCTTCTATAGCTCCGAGACCATGCCGCGTAAGCTTCCCGGTCAAGCGTCAGAGTCGTCCCGAAGTATGGTATCTTCGCCGCTGGCGAGAGGGTCGGATTATATGGCTCATTACCGTGATCGGAGCACCAGGCGAAAAGTCTGTCGACTGAGCTGGCGTGACTGTTGTAGATTTCTGGGTCGTTCGGACATAGTTTCCGGTAGCGTTGCTCGCGCTCCTTGTGTATTGTTTGCAGCCTGTTGTGTGCTGCAAGCGCAGCGCGGTTGCATTTGTCGAGAGCTTTGCCTAGATCTCCAACCACGATGCTATTGAGCGACGGGGGTAGTCTGACTCTGCCTGCGTTGAAGGAGACGCTGAATGTGCCACTGTGTTCTGATATAGAAGGGATGCGGTATGGGCTAGGGAAAGGGATCTGGAGTGTGGTGGAGGCGGGATTGTTAGGCTTCTGTGTTTGCATATTGAGTGATATGGACGTGGTCGAACGCAGCGATAGAATATGCTATGGAAAGACTGGGCAGCAAAATGGCAAAGAGAAGACGCCGGATTGCGTGTTGTTTATAGTGTTGCCAGAGAAAACCAGCGACAAAGCTGGCTCAGCCATCTTTGTGCGAAGAAATGAATGGGGTGGTGGGACAGTGAATGAAATGAAAGGAAAAGTATTGCCGCAATAACAATGGGCTTTTTGATTCCCATGGGGTTTACAAGCTTTGGCTTTTTTGCCTATATAGCGGAAAATGGGATTGGAAAATTGCTCATGCGCATGATGGTGGATTATATCAACATTTCATACATTTAAAATCGCATGTCCCTAAATCTATCGCCGACATACAAACGCTTCATAAGCATCTCTTTTATCGCCAAAGAGGAAATTGCTAGCCGTAAAAGATGCATGCACCATCATACAATTGTGTTAAGCCGAGCCAGACGTGCTGTGATCGATTCAATGACAGCAGATCTAAGAAAAGACTGTTAGCAATGTTCTTCAAGAGAATCCACGGTAAACTTACTCCCGTTCCACCATTTGCATAGCATCGGCAACCCTTGCCCTTTGAAGTCGCTGCGGAACTCGAGGTTGTGCGCTGGTGGGAGATGCCGGGCTGCTGGGCTCCGTAGCAGCGGGAATCCTAGCAGCAGCAGACTTGGCTTCTGAGAGTAACTCCGAAGCAATTCCCTTGACCTACAAGAATCGTTAGTATGAGGCGCTGAGCGAAAAGAGGGAATAGCTTACAGCTTCCAGTCGCTGAGATATTTGCTGTGTAGATTCTTCCTTGCGTTCTTTGTCAAATGACTCCGATATCGTCTCCACCTCAGCAATCCATGATGACTCCTTTTCACTAAGAGGCCTTCCACCAGATTTCAGCACCTTGGTCCGGAGCGCCTCATATCGCTGGACTAGCTGTGCCTGTCTGTCTTTGGCTGTCTTCAGCCTCTCATCCAAAGCCGCACTACTTCTGGACCCCTCCTTCCTCAGACCATCCTCACCAATTTCACTTGATATACCCTTGATCCGATCGGCTACATCAGATACTTGGCCTAATTGGTCTCGCAACTCTCCCTGCAACCTCTCACACCGACGGAAGAGATCTGATGCAGCTCGTTCAAGTGCATTGGTATGGGCAGACAGAATTCGGTGCGCAGCTGCCACTAGATCCAGGGTGGCCGGAGATAGCAGCACGGGTTCTTTGAGACTGTTCCGGTAGCGATGGGGGACGTGTTTATCGACAAAAAATTCCAAAGGAGAATCAGAATAAAGCACGGAGGGAACTTGGTAAGGAGGCCGATGAGGGGGGATTGTAGGTGAATCCGTTTGCTGAGAATCCGGCTCGAGCGAAAATGATGGGAAGAAGTTCGGCTTCTCGAGAACAGCAGCATACGGATGAGAGGCATGGGAGTTTAGTAACAAGTAGCCCAAGTCATAGTCATAGTAGACCAAAGAAGCCGGGAGGTGGAAGGACTGATTGCCGGAAGTGCTGGCGTCCTCATCTACCTGAATAATTGGTTCCAATACTGACGCGCTGCCTTCGCAGAGAATTTGAAGGCGGAATCCCGACCCGGAGGTGTCCTCGGACTGCAACTCATTTTCAAGTCGTTGTATCCACGAAGCAAGCGAAATGAAGACAACACTATGAGAGGTTGTCACGAAAAATCCATACCGTGAATGAGCGTCGGGCGTAAACATAGGCCACGTATTCGATGATCGTCGATCCTGCTTGACGGTATCCAGCATTTCCACCAAAAGTAAATCAGATGACTCGGTTTCAGGCACATGGAATGCATTCCTCCTTGACTTTGGGAGCCACTGGCCCTCTACGCCTTCCAGATCGAGGCAGATGTAGAGCCTACCGCTCAAAGAAGAAAGGCAGATTAAGGTGGCTGATAGCTTGTCGTCGCCACTATCAATGGTCAATTCTTCTTCTTCTCCCAACATCAAAGCATCAGTGTCAGCCTTAGCCGCAACGACCAGCATGTCACAGAGATCTAGATCATCAAACTCATCACCGGTATCAACGCGGAATGGACCTTGCATCTTAGGAATTGCACTAAGATTAGCGGGACGAGTCAGGATTTCAGACTCTGGCTCCGTCGCAGAGCCGGGAATTATCTGCAAGGGTTCTTGGTTGTCGATTTCCGCAAGCCATTCATACTGCTGTCGGCAGGCTGCCAACTGGTCCTCATAATCAAGTGGATCCTCCTCCAATGCAGACATCTTGGGTACAATCGCCGCAGATAGTGACGGGACTGCAGCCGATGGTGCTCTCCACTTAGAAGGTAGCAGCGGGCAAAGCGCATAAAGATCGCCCGGCTTCATCGCAATCCAAAGCGTCATCGCCGCCCAGGCGTCCTCCTTCTCGCTGCCAACGCCGCCAAAGCGAGCAGACGCAACCTCCATGTCAACATAGTCTGAGGAAAATCCCTTGTTCTTCCCAAATCCTGAAGGCGCAAAGTCCTGGTCAGAGGAAGTTCCATCAACGAGCTTCCGGAGATCAGCGGCCAAGGCCGGGCGGTCGAAAGACCAATGGTTATTGCGGTCCAGCTCCCAGAGGCGCACAACCGCATCTTCGGTTACTGTCACCAGAGAACCCCCAAGATTGGTATAGACTCCAAGCGGATGCCACAATGCCGATACCACTGGTGACTCTGAGATAACATGCGTCGTCGGTCCAAGTTGGTATGTTTTCACGCGGATTGGAGAGGGGTCTGATGCCGACAAGTGCGAGGAGTCCGGAAGAACAGCAATGAAGACGGTGTGGTCTGCGACTATTGCCAGGAAAGCGCCGTTTGGAGAAGGGATAATTTGTCGGATCTGTTCGTACACCGGAACTACTAAAGTCTAAGTATTATCAGTAGAGATTCCAACTGCAATAGCTGTCACACCGTATGCTCACTCTGTACGAAACGCCATCCGCATCAGTTTGCTGGTTCTTCGACCTAGCGCGCTGCTGCCATTCATCCTTCAACCGGGTAAGGCTCGACCAGCGGATCTGGTTGTCGACAACCGTGAAAACTTCATTTCCACGCCTTGCAAGTGTCCGCAAGGGCCCAAGGTAGCCAGCACCTTTGGGACTGCGCAGACTTCCTGGATCCTTGGGAGCTGAGCTTGAAAACAAAGAGGCGCCGGGGGCAGGGCGCGAGAGCCAGGGAGGAGTGTAGCTGATCACTTTCGGCATGGTCGGGGCAATTATCCCATGAGACCGTCTTGATAAAAATCCAGGTACCGCACAGTCGATGATAAAGGTAAAAATGCAGACCTCGTTGAGCCCCGGCGGGAAATTTTGGGGAGCAAGGTGAAGAGCGCCGGCGAGATCAAAGGAACAAAAGCAAAAGCAGCGGCGGCGCCAAGACAAACCCACCGAAGCTCTCGTGCGGACCTGCGCTCGTCTCCATCTCGATCCCTCCGCCCATTCTTCTTCCACAACACCTCTTTTCGCTTCGCAGGCTTAATCGGTGCTACCTGACTCGCCACAATGAGTATACCAGAGCGTCGTAACACGGTCGAGCGGCTCGACCGGCCCAGCGCCTATTACGTTGGAAAGGTAGAGCTTTACAGCCATTCTGTGATAGCTTCGCGCCGCTAACTCGGTCTGCGAACAGAACAAAAAGCGCAGATATAATATGGATGAGCCCGAGGAACCGAAGGATCCCATGGAAGGGCTTAGGGACGCCACGACTCTCTATGTTGGCAACCTGTATGCCACTCAGTCATATCATGCTTCTTTTACGTGAACGAACCAATTGCTGACCATTCTAGCTCTTTTTACACCACAGAGGAACAGATTCACGAGCTTTTCTCAAAGTCCGAATTCCAACTGATCACGACACGAAAACTGCGCTGACAAAATCCCAGATGCGGAGAGATTAAGCGTCTTGTAATGGGGCTCGACCGATACAACAAGACACCTTGCGGGTTCTGCTTTGTTGAGTACTATACGCACCAAGACGCGCTTGACTGCTTGAAATACGTTGGAGGGACTAAGCTTGATGAGAGAATCATTCGAACGGATCTCGATCCCGGATTTGAGGAGGGTCGGCAGTATGGGTATGCAACTCAACAGAATTTCTTTACCGCGGACAAGGGACTGACTTTCGCTAGACGGGGTAAATCCGGAGGCCAGGTCCGTGACGAATACCGAGAAGAGTACGATCCTGGTCGTGGTGGTTACGGGCGCGCATATGCCGATGATCAACGACAACGCGAAGAAGATGAATATGGAGCCGGTAGGTGAAACGGAGGAAATATCTGGTTTGACTGGCGCAGTTATGGCGTTTATATACACTACATTCTGTCTAATACCGGTAGCGAACAATGGCGCATTAAAAAAAATATCTATTTACACCTGATACCCAAGTCTAGCACTTTGTCCATTTAGCGGGGAAAGGTGGTGGTCTACTCTGTTTCATGACTTCGTCTCACAGTTGCTTTAAAGAATCTTCCACCTGTCGCAACCACCAGGAGTGAATTCTTTCGTCGCCGGTCAATTCAGGATGGAAGCTTGTGCCGAAAACGTTTCCTTGTCGCACAGCGACGATATCGCCAGTTTCCTCATCCGCACATACAGCATTACCACCGCTGGCCAAACGCGCCGCCCTGCCGGGTAGGGAGGCCAATACTTCCACGTCGTGTGACATTGCCTTTCGGGCAGTTTCGTTCTCTGCCTGACGTGCGGGAGCGACAACCGTCTCGTCTCTCTGGAGCTCGTCAACCTGAACACCCTCCTGATGTGGCAGGATCTTTTCGACGACCGGCGCTCGGATAAATACTGCTGGGAAGGGCGACTGCTGTTCACCGAGGGAGTTCAGAAATGGCAGTTCAAGGGCCGCCTGGAAGCTCTCAGTCTGACGGCCGAAATGGTTTCGATTCACCCGAACATCTAAACCTCCGATCAATTCTTGTCCTCCTTTTTTAGTCCGGTTGGCCGACTCCGCAAGCAAAATCAACCCGGCACAAGTTCCCCACGTCGGCTTGCGATGCACCCTGTGGAGAGGAAGTATATGAGTCAGTCACCATACACCCAATTTCACTAACTTCCGTAAAGCACACATACTTGACAAAATCCCGCAAAGGCTCCAGTAAGTTGGACCTAGCCGCCACCAAAGAGATAGCGGTGCTCTCACCCCCGGGCAGAACAAGCGCATCACATCTCTCAAGTTCTTGCGAGTTCCGGACTTCAAGGAAGTCCCAATGCGACGAGGAAACTTGCTGTGAAACCAGCGACGCGGCCGCCTTCTTCAGTAGCACGACATGTTCGTGAAATGCGCCTTGTAAGGCGAGAACTCCAACAGTAATTTTGATCATTGCACCTGTCGAGCAGAGAAATAAGAGGCAATGGCCACCAACTCAATGGCGGCGCATTTAGGAAAAATCTAGTTATGTAAGCAGCTGCCCGCGGGAAACCTTATCGCCACGTGCTGCCCCTCCTGATAAGCCCCGGAAACCAACAGCTTGACTTTGGATAGCTTCACGTTGTCAGTTGATCCGCTTCTAAACTTCAACTATGAATTACGATTAATACGAATTTACGATCTGTCATTGCATACTCTCGCTTTTTGTTATATTTCACCATGTCAGCAGTATTATGACCAGCTGTCTTCTATATTCCCGGCTTACATCAACCCCTCCACAAGCTTGCAAACCTCCGAATCTCATAAACAAACAAACGAGAATACCCTAAGAGTATATTTCAATATCAGCAGCAGCCATGGCTAACGACAATAAAAGTCCACCAACACTAACACGATGGTACATCGACACCCGCCCTCTTACTCTTTCCACAACAACCCTCCCCCTCCTCACCACACTTCAAGAACCAGACCAAACCGCCGTCCAGAAGTTCTACCACCTCAAAGACAAGCACATGTCACTAGCCTCTAACCTCTTAAAATATCTCTTCATTCATCGAACCTGCCGTGTTCCCTGGTCCTCCATCGTGATTTCACGCACACCAGATCCACACAGACGACCATGCTTCATTCCAGACCCGTCCAAGTCAAACGGCAGCGACGCAGTAGTAAACGTCGAATTCAACGTCAGCCACCAAGCTTCAATGGTTGCGATTATCGGAACAACCATACCAACCATTCCTGATCCCAGCCCAGACTCAAACTTCCGCAAACCAGAAGTCGGAATTGATATTACATGCGTGAATGAGCGGCAGGGCCGAACCGGTGAAGAGCGCACCCTTGCATCACTGTATAACTACGTCGATATATTCTCAGAGGTATTTTCAGCGCGTGAAATTGCGGAAATGAAGCGGTTGCCTGGCGCTCTATCATCCAGCCCAAACTCTACTGGTAATGGCAGTGTAGATGGCCGCGCGGAGTACGGATACAGGCTTTTCTATACATACTGGGCGCTGAAGGAGGCTTATATCAAAATGACAGGGGAGGCACTACTAGCGTCCTGGCTGCGAGAGCTAGAGTTCAACAATGTTATTGCGCCTTCGCCCACACCTGCTGCCGAGAGCGGCGACGGGTTGTTTGGGGAGCCGTATACGGGGGTTAAGACGACGTTGAAAGGGGATGTTGTAGAGGACGTCAGGGTTGAGGTTGTTGCTTTGGAGCATGATTTCCTGTTTGCCACAGCTGCAAGAGGAGGCGGGCTAGGAGCTGACTCTCGAGCTGGTGGAGATGGTGAGGGTGAGAACAAGAACGCAGGCAAAGATCCATGGATGCCGTTCGAGAAGCTCGACATTGAGCGGGATATTCGACCGTGTGCGACAGGTGTATGCAATTGCTTATCCTAAGCCAATATATATAACAAAGCCGCAGATTGAGGTGTTTTCATTCATCTATAAATAGGATATAAGACAAAAAGATGGCTGACTGGATATCATATCATCTATCATAGCTCAAAGGGTATATGTGAGTCCAATATAACATGTCCGATCTTCGTCCAGGGATTATGGCAGAGCTCAGCCATGGCGGGAGGTATGTTGTTGCTGGCCCCGTTTCGTCTCTTGGGTTATTCAATCAATGGCCACATATACTTGCCACGGACCAATGTTGTTTCCAGACTACAGTAGTCAAGAACTTCTCACCAATCTGGACAAAATATGGCCGAATAAATAGTAGTCTATCGTCTTCATCCGCGTGTTATCATGTCGGCGTATCATCGTACAATATCCTTCAAATATTCAGAGTGAGAGAGCCGAATACTCCATTCCAAGTAGGTGCGCAGTCGGGTTGGGAGTTGTAAAAGGCCAAAAATTTAAGGCTGCCGCATAGGGAGTGACGGCAAATCAAAGTTCAACCGCAGTTGACTTCCCGTTCGGCACCGAGGCAGAGCCATCAGCCTCCTCGGTATCAGACATCTCTAGCAGGTTCTTGAGCATCGACTCGCGAGTCGACTTCGTGAGGGAGTCAACATCCTCCGGTGTGAGGTTCTCAGTGCTGATTGGCGGGAGAACTAGACTGGTCAGCAACAGACATGGACTAAAGCGGATGGATGCTCACGTACCTCTAATTTTAATCGAACCAGCCTCAAACCTATACTTCTTAGGAGCCAGAATGTGCGAGTAGTTCTCTACAACAACCGGAACAACGGGAACACCAGCCTTGACAGCCAAATGGAAAGCACCCTTCTTGAAAGACAGAAGCTCCGGCTTGTCCGAGTAGCTCCTCGTGCCCTCCGGGAAAATAAACACACTCTGGCGGTGAACCCTCATCTCCTCCGCAGCGCTGTCAAAGGCCTTCACTGCCGTTTCTCTATTCGCCCGATCAATAAAGACCGTCCGCGAGAGCGACATAAACCACCCAAGGAAAGGAACAAGGCGGAGCGACTTCTTCGCCGTGACACTACAGTAAGGCGGGAAGATAGCGCCGAGCATGAGAACGTCCAGCTCAGACTGGTGGTTCCCGATAATCACGGCGGGCCGCGTAGAGAGGTACTCCTGGCCCTCGACGATATCAAAACGCACGCCGGTAGTGAACCTCATCACCCATTTGAAGCTGCGGGCGGTGGCCCATTGTGAGACCCGGCCATACCCCACTAGCCGGAGGACAATCGAGGCGACTACACCGTATATAGCGCAGAGGAGAAGGGAGCCATAGGCTGCTAGACAGCGCGCGGCGAAGCTCGCAGGGCGGACTTTGAGGCCGAGGCCGACGAGAAAGAGCGAGGCGGTCAGGGCGACATAGATGCCGACGCCTGAGGTAATGTAGCAGAGCAGCGACATGATACGGGGACGTTTGAAGAGGGTGGTTTCTACCAGTGGTGATATCCGGCGGTTACTCATTTGGAATTCAATACGCAGAATCCTTGGAGGCTGGGAGGGGAGGTCATCTTACCACCAATGGAGCGAGGAGAAGCGTGACGAGGTCAGAAGGCCGTTGCGAACTAAATATTTACAATGCGGCCAAGAGCATTGCAAGCAGCGGCAGAAGGGTGATAGAGGCGGGAAGAGTAGACCGATCCAGGAATAGGAAAGGAAGAAGAAAGGTCGGAGTCGGTACCGAGGCCAGTATTTGAATCTTTTGGCTTTTGAGATCTTCGCCCTTCTGCGATGTCCCACCGTCGGCTTCGGGGAGAGAATAAAATGGGGGGTGTTCACATGACTCGGCTGAATAATAGTTCCGTCATTATTCCACCGCTCATATTCCACCGCTTTCCTCATTCGATTGCCATCTCCAGTTACCTCTATGCAGGTCAACCATGCTCCAAGTGCAGTTGGTGAATAAATTCGCAGTAACCATAATGAATGTCAAATCTGCGTTTGTACGGGAAGGCTGTCGAATATCATATAGTAGTGAAAGTTTTATGCTGCCTGTCCTTCCACCACCTCGGACCAAACTGGCTAGGATCTATATATTTCCAGCCAATCGAATATCAAATCTTACATAACTGACTACAAGGATGATTTCAACACGGGTTTTAAGCAACTTATGCTTCATTCATAACAATGCGCATAAGAATGTTCTAGCTACTATAAAACCAAGCAAAGCAGATCGTCAAACGTCGTGGCGCCCGCCTGGCTTTTCTCAGCGAGGTGATATCTTGCTTGCAATGACAAAGCCAACCCACGCTAATATACAAAATCCAGAATCTCGACACCATTTCGAGAATGCCAGAGGTAATGTAACGCAAATGCATACAGTAACCAATCCACCGGAAAACGCCCGTGTAATGCTGATGTCGCTGCTGTAAATCCGACACCCAGTAAAGAAACGCCAACCCCTCGTGCATATTAGGGTACAGAGTATTCTACCGTGGAGAAGAGGGTATATGGGCGATGCCCAAGAGGTGAATGGAGTAGTCTCGGGAAAAGACGAAAGCCGAAAGGAGAAGTGTGAAAGTAGAGTGAGATCATGCCATATCTTCTTCATCTTCCTCATCATCGTCAAGGGCTTCCATTGCGTCTTTGATGTATTGTGCTGCCTGTTAAACGAAAGTCAGCATGCTTGAAACAACATTAAAAGTGATGGGATAGCTTACCTTGGGATCAAGATTCAGGGCCGTCGTAAAGTGCTTGATGGCATTGCCCTTATCATGCAGCATTTTATACAACTTCCCAAGAAGGTAATGGACGTTGGCCTCATCCGGCGCCATGTCCTTAAGGATTTTCAGTTCTGTAAGAGCAGATCTGAGGTCCTGGAGTTTCATTAATGCGCGGGCTTTTCGGAATCGAGCGAGGACGGAATGAGGAGCAAGCGAGCAGGCCCTATTGTACTGGATCAATGCTGCCTTCGGATTGTTCATCTTTTCCTGAACCAGGCCGATGCAGCATATCAAGACAGCGTTAGAGGGGTTAATCTTGGCTGCGTTTCGGAAGTGCTGTTCGGCGAAGTCAAGTTTGCCCATCTTGTCATAGACCGTTCCCAATCCGTACCAGGCATTGTAATGCCGGCTATCGGCGCTGATGCCGTTTCGATACGCATCCAGGGCCTTGTCGTATTCCTCGTTGGCGACATACTCGTGGCCCTGGAGAGTAAATCCATAGGCAAAGTGTGGATCCAGTTGGGTTGCGCGTCTGAAACACTTCAAAGCTTGGTCGTGGTCCCGCTGGTGTGAGAAAGAATTACCAACAGCGCACCAGGCCTCCGGTGATAGGCGATCAACTTCCATTAGCTCATGTGCCAAATAAGCGAGTTCGACATCATTCTTCAGGTGCCAAAGAACTGTCGAGTAAATCTCCATGTCTGCTGACCTTGATGGGGCCATGGCTCTCACCCGGACGAAGTACTTCTCGGCGTCCGAGTACATTGCTTGCTCATAGTAAGCTCGCCCAATCTGGGCAAGAACCCACGGTGTCTCGCGTTGACCCTGGGAGAGAGAACTAAATATTTGAATGGAATCGGAGCATTTATACCGGCTTAAACAGTGATAGCCGGTAGCTAGCTTCGAGAACAAATCCAAGATCCAAGCCAGGGCCTCGACTGCCTTGGATCGCTCGGATGCGGATGCTCTGGATGGTGCGTGCTGAGTACCATTTGACATCGACATAGATGCCCCCCGGTATTCTTTGGCATCACTGTCGTGGATCTCACCGATGTGCTTCCGATTATTACCACTAACCACGCGCCCTACATGCGAGGCCGTTGCAGTTCGCCCCTTTGTCCCTGTAGCCCTCACTTTCTTCACCTCCCGACCATCCTTCACCCCCAATGCTGCGCTAGAGATTTTATTTGATGTGGGTTTTATTTGGTTGAAGAGCCGTACACTTCGTCGCTGCCCGCCTGATTGATCAGTCGAATTCGATGTGGAAGAATGCGCAACTTGGCCGGAGACTGTTCGTTTGCGGTCTCCAACCCTATGACCCATAGTAACGTCTCTTTCCGTCTGAGCACCGGTCTGCTCATCTGGATCAACTCGAGCTCGTGTTCTTTGTCGTATGCCTGTTGGCCTCATTTTTGGTGGGGGATCCATGGAATGGCCAGTGCCTATTGTTTGTATCGTTCGAGTTTTCTTTGCAGGGGCTAACGGCGGCTCAAAGACATCCGCGCTAGTCCCGTTGGTTACACGAGGCTCGTCAGACTCGCTGCTATGACCGCCAGGGGTTTCCATGCCTTCACGCATAACATGTCCGGTTCCTGATGACGCGACACTAACTGTGCTTCCATTAAACTTTTCCCACAAAGCGGAGCTACCGTGAGTGGTGTTCGAATCGTTGCGAGCCGCGGCGGAGGTGAACGGGTCGATACTCGGATTTACGTTGGCCTGCGTTTGCAAGGGGCCGTCGGGCGGAGGAACTTTGTCGGTCGTAGCTTCTGCATCTTCTAATACAGAAGACGATACCATGCCGTATAATTCGGGACTTAATTTGTAAATGTTTGAAACTCGCATATCAACACCTTTGCACAGTCGTTAGTTTAGAGAAGAGATAGAGACCAACCCCATGAGCGGTCAACGAGCACTTACCAGTTTCGCACAAGCTCAGAAACGCATCCCACATGAACGGATTCAGCTTAAGAGCCGCGGCGTAGCAATCTACGGCCTTGTTGTGTTCCTTGTGAGCTTGCCATAATTTCCCTTGTAAGCATAATACCGCGGCGGCGTCTGGCAAGTGTTGTCTGCGCGTTTCACTATGTTTGTCTAACAGAGCAAGTCACATCAGTATTGGCTCGGTCTGCGAGAAGTGGCAAACAACGTCGTGTCCGGCCACGACCAAAGAGTGATTGCTTACTCCAATGATTCCTTGAGCCCCACAGAGACTTGCTCCGTTCTAGCGAGTTGATGCCATCCATGTATTTCCCAAGGTCTAGACATGACTGCGCGTAGACGTAAGAGCAGCCGAGATGTGTGCCCCGCGACCCAAAATTCCTGCTAGTTTCCCATGCCGCTTTTACTTGGCCGCTTTGCAGGTAACAGAGTGCTAATAGGTATGAGGCTTCCGATGTGCGAGGTTCGTATGCATGTAAGCGGCCGGCGAGAAACAGCGCGTTCCGAACAAGGTTGTTGTCAAGATGGTAGTATATCAGTTGCCTCAGCTGGCTCGAAATATGAGACGTTGACGGGGTCATCTTCGAAAAATTGCGTGAGATTGCGGAGGCAGGGGGAAAGAATCGAAGTCGAGGCCAAAGTCGTGAAAGGTAAACTTCAAGTAAATAAACGATCTAGGTATCGAGAAGGCAAAACAAACAGCCGTCAGTCGAAGAGGAGCATGAAGTAGAATTAAAACTAAACCGCGTGTCCTTCGCACGAAGCCAGAAATGGCCCAAGACAAAGGCGAAGGAAACAACGATTGGTGTTTCTTTCAAAGTCTCAGATGGCCGGAAAAGCGTTAAAGGTATCGCAAGATTTCAAAGAGGGGAGGAAGGTATAAATGAAGAAAAAACAACAAATATAGTAACAGCCCCAGATGAATTTGCGAGTCCTTCACCTTACTCCCCACAGACGCTGGACTAGAGAGGGCGAGTGGTTGTCTGGCCCGTGTTGTAAGGCTGGCAAGAGTGAAGGAGAATCGGGCGACTCGTGACGCCGTGCAGGCTAAACAAAGTCTCAGGGAAATGCAAATTGCATGTCGTGCGGTGAGGGAGGTTGCCGGTAGGAGGTCGAAAGAGAGCCGGTAGAGTTGCAGCTGAGGCACTTCTTGTGCTCTATGAGAGGTCTGACGGGGTGTTTTGCTCGTGAGGACTGAGATGGACTCTGCATTTGGCGATTTGGCTCGTGGCCGGTGGAGGCGGACTTGCTGGCGGCGCGGGCGCTTGTCCGGTTGTGGAGGGCAACCGATGGCACGAACTGCTGCATGCACCACCACCACCTCCTCCACTGAACTTGACACCGACACTGACAAGTCTATTTGATGGGGAGTTTGAGGAAAAGAGAATGCAATTGGCCGCCTAATAATTAATTCTGCTATTCTATATCCAACCCATCCGCACAACTCCTGCACCCAACTCGCACAACCAACCTGCACCAGCAGATCTGACCACCTACATTCCTTCCTTCGATCGATTCGATTTGAACACCCAAAATGGCCCAAGTCCGTGCTCCAACACCCTAATATCCCCAGTAGAACCAATAACTAACACTATATCCAGAAAGCATCCAAAACCCTTGCAGCCCGGAACTCCTCCGTCCTGCTCCGCACCCACCTCATAACCCTCGCCCTGCACGCCCTGCACCTCGCCCTCCATTTCGTCTTCAACCGCCCGCGCGCCCTCAAGCCGTACTACTTGCTGGCACTCCCAACGCTAGTCATCGAGTTCTACCTAGACCGGATCGGCCGCCCAACCTACTCCGCTGATGGTGCGCTGCGCTCCCCCGGTGAGGATCTCGGAGCTGCCGGGCTGACGGAGTTCATGTGGGACATCCTGTACTGGACGTGGGGGTGTATCGGGGCGACCTGTGTCTTTGGGGACCGGGCTTGGTGGTTGTGGATTGTTGTCCCGCTATATTCGGTTTATCTGGCGTATTCGACCTTTACGGGGATGAAGAGTGGGCTGTCTGGGTTTGGTGGTGGTGGTGCTGCTGGAGGAGATGGGGAGAGTGCGGGGACGGGATCGGAGAGCAAGCGGCAGAAGAAAATGGAGAAGAGGGGTGGGCAGAGGATGCAGTATCGGTAAGGGGTTGGATTGTATAATCACTAGTACTAAAGGTCGTGCATGATAATGGCATTGCGTCCATTGAGTTGATTAAGTTAAGCGGGAGCCTATCTAAAACAACAACATGATTGGAGTAATGGATTGTATATACCTGTCCAAATTAAGGAGAACAGTTTTTCTCCATTTCCACCGCAATTGAAGAAAAAGACAGCTTCCACCCATATAGAACGAGAGAAAGGAAATGCGTCTTCATCAAGCTGATAGGAACATGGGCGACGGTTGTAAACAAATCAGGGGGAAAAAGCCACCGAGGCCAGGAAAGAAACTATTAAAACAGTCATGAAGATCGCCAAGCAGAGACTCATCATAGCGATATAAATCTGTCGTGAAATCATGGGGGTACTATGTGGGGAATAATCAGGATCCAACATTGGAAAACAAGAGCGAAAGAAATAGGCGGGCGAGAGGGATATCAACGTATGAAATGCATTCAGCCACAGGAATTCGACCTCATTAGCGTTATTGTTCAGAGATCATTCCGGGCGGATTGATCATCGTTGGCATCCGCGGCTTGTGGCTGCTCTGGGGTTTCGGAATCGTCCTCAACCTTGTCATTAGATGACGAAGCAGACTCCTGGTTCGGGTTCGCGTTGTGATTCATGGCATTAAGTCTCTCCAGGACCTTTTCGGCGAAGTCTGAATTTGTATCGCCAAGTATATGGGAGAGAAGGTCCTCGATGGACTGAGACTCTTGGCTTGCCGCTGGGCCTGTATTGTAAACCTCGGCATCTACTGCTTCTGAGAGCTTTGTGGCCTCGGCCTCAACAATTTCGTCTTGGTCCAGGTTGTCTGTGTCGTAGCCAGAGTCTGTTGCTTCTTCAGGGATGACTGAAGCGGCTGCACCAAAAGGGCCCTTGTTAAATCCCTCGGCTTCTTCATTGGACTCTGGGGCTCCGGCGTTGTCCTGGTTGTCGTCGTCTGTGGCTTCTTGTTCAATGACCACGTCGGACTCAGCCTTGTCATTAGAAAGCGATTCGTCATCCGAGCCAGTGTCCTGGTTCTCGGTAGATTTCTCGGCGTTGTCAACCTCTGGGGATTCGGCGTCAATTTCCGCATTGGCATCATCAGCAGTGTCGTTCACATCTGCAGTTGGTTCTTCAGTGTTTGAAAGGACCTCCTGATCTTCATCCTGCGCGGCCGGGATATCCTCTTCAGCGCTAGCAGGCTTTGGAAGGGGTGGTGGAGGCTCGGATCTGGTATCGAAATCCTCGCTGACCTCCCGGGCAGCGATCTTCCACCGCCCAACTTCCTTCAATCTGGCTAACTCCTTGGCTGCGGCCTCGGCGACGTCCATACCGCGTGAAAGGGCTTCATCCGCAGTATCCTTGGCAGATTCGATTCGTGCGTGTTGTAGACCGATCTCACGGAATTTACCCTTCCAGTCTTCGAATTCATCCTTTAAGGCGTGGTAATCCTCCCAGTCCTTGTAAGTGACACCATCCATCCAGGCCCATCTCATTCCAATCTCTTGCAGACCGAGGTCTCGGACATTATCCAGAACTGCCAGTGTAGAGTTCACGGTGGCCGAGACCTGGCGGATAAGACCCTCCTCGAATGAAGCGTGCCATTCTCTAATGACATGAGCTCGGTCTCTGATGGATACAGCTGAGTTCCTAATTTCTTTGAGCAGCTCCTCAATAGCGGCTGCTTCTTCTTCGGGGGCGTCTGCGAATGGCAGAGATTCGGTTAGAGCGCTGATGTGACGTTTGATGGCGCTCGTTTGATCTTCAACGGCACTCTCCAAAGCCGCCACAAGCTTATCTCCGTCGGACTGGGCCCCACCTGCCAAGTAAGTGTCGACAATCTCGACTACTCGGCTTTCGAGGCTTGCGACTCCTTTCTCAGAGGCCGAAGCAAACTTCTCTTTAAAGGTGGTGAGATCAGAGGTGATCTTCTTGCGGAGCTGTGCTGCCAGCTCCGCGGGCGATAGAGAAGGAGTGGGAGTTTCAGAGACAGAGGATGAAGTTGGCGCAACAGTTGTGCTAACCTTGATTGAGGTGGACGAAGACGTGCTAGAGTATCCCGCGGAACTGTTCCAGTTAGATGAATTGAGATCCTCATGAGAAAAGAAAAAAAGCACATACCTCTCGACCTCATCCGCCACGCTTCGCAGCCGGCTCCCCTCACGATAACTCGCGAGTCTCTGGCCGATCTTTACAAGCTGAGGCTCCACATTCTCCGAATAGAGGTTGGACACCTTGGGCCAGAAAGAGTAGTTGATAAAACTCAAAGTGGAAGACCAGACGCTTTGCGCGTGAGGCATGACCTGCGTGGTCAGGATTTCTTGACCAGAGGTGTACGTTTTGCCGATGAATGGCTGGTACTTTGCAGCGAAAGGTAGGATATACCCATTCAGGGTTGTCCAGTACGCTCCATGGACCTTGTGGTAATATGGCGATACAGTGACCGTGGCGTATTCCACATGCGGCGCCACCTGGAGCTTATACCAATCCGATGCCTTGCCCTTTGCAATTTCGATATGGGGCACAACATTTGCGTCCCATTGCTGCTGACCATAAACCTGAGCCCGGTCGAGCGCCGGAGCACCATAGGCCTCGTACCCCTGCTTCGCAATGTTCGAGGCCGGGGTGTAAACCTTCTCGTTCAGGACATGGACGTATGGACGCGCAGCGTCAACGTAAGGAGCGGCATGGGCATGGTAGTAAGGAGCGACGTGAGGTTCAACGTAGGACTTTGCGACCAAGTACGGTTTGCAGATTCGCGGTGACGATTCGTTCAACTCGGACGTCTGGGACGGGCATCGGAAGAAAGGCGTCAACAAAAAATACCAGATGCACAGGCTGTCCGGACATCGCTAGGTTAGCAAACATCGACGCAGTTGACAAGCAGAAGTAAAGCAAACTCACCGAACCAACAGCCCAACAGTCCAACGGATCCGACCCGTTTTCCTTGGACTCGACCGCTCAGGGGTCAGAACAACTCGCTCTCTCGAGTTCGCGACCTTGCCATTCGAGGACGCCATGGTGATCCCTTCAAACACTCCGAGCCAGCAACGAAACTGGCAGGGTTCGGGGTGTATCGCGTCGCGGGTGGAAAGCAGCTGTCGAGGAGAGCAAACAACAGGGACGCGACTACTCGGTCATTGAAGACTTGCGAATCCGCGGTACTGGAGAGAACAGACTCAGGAGCTCGGCGGAATGAAAATCTGACGGTATCACAAGCGTGGTGCCTGAGGATTCAGGAATCAGCGGCTGGGCACGCGACGGTCGCTCTTGGCAGGCGAGTCCAGACTTCAGCTATTTATGCCAGAGATGGAGACGGTGGACACAGGTGCCGTGACGAGATCGAAGTTCGAAAGCCTGTGCATTCATGAAAACTCCTTGCAGTCGGCGCTATCAAGAAGACACAGCTCTTGTCGGTGAGGTCATGGCGGTCGGCCATGGCGCAGTGGCGCAACACACCGCGAATATCACTGCATCCTCGGCTGTTCAGCTGTCCAGTGAGCTCTTTATCTCGTCTATTATCTATCTTGGCATGGCGAATCTCAGCAGCGATCTGGAGGAACCGGCATCGTGACGAAACCCTGCATGAACCATGGCTCCTTATCAAATCTCCTCTGTATAATGCATGCATGGATGATTCGAGTTTAGCCGATGCAGCAGAGCGCTGGCCATGTTGCTGGGGATCATGTAAGGAAGGGTACTACGGAGTGGAGGGTAAGTGATATGGAGGCATTATCGCCGCAATGTCAATCCTCTTTGGCCTATATATAGTATTCTGACCTCCCTTGAATTAGTTTGTATGAAAGTGGTTTCCCATTAAATGCTCCTGGTAACCGCCACGCTCACGCGACACCCAACAGCGAGTTCGTCGGCAGCCGGCTTCTTTGAGAGCAGTGACTAGTCGGTATGTCTTCCTTCTTTTCTCCGCATAGCACATGGGACTTAGTCCATATCGAGACGCATAATACGCATCCGCCCCCCGGCCTGCAAGATACTCCACTATATGGTGTAGGCTGAATTCTACCGCGAAGGAGAGGGCAGTGCGGCCAAGCTTACTTTCCAGGTTGACATCTGCCCCGCTCTGCACAAGCAGTTTTAAGATTGCATCGCGGTTTCTCATGGTGGCAAGTATCAAAGGGGTATAGCCAGCCTTGTCCCTGGTGTCTATCTGGGCACCCGCATCCAATAAGAGCCGAACGGTAGCCTTATATTCTTGACATGCAGCCACTGAGAGTGCAGTGCGCCCCTTGTTGTCAGCTAGGTCGACGTCGGCACCGTGAGCTAGTAAGAGCTTCACGATCATTACATGGCCATTCTCGGCAGCCTGGTGCAACGGGGTTGAGTAGAATCGACCCCGCTGATTGATGTCGGCACCGCGAGATAGGAAGAGCTTAACTATCTTGATATGACCCCACTCGGCAGCCAGTTGCAGTGGAGTTGTGCCTAGTCGATCGTGCTGATTGACGTCCGCACCGCGTGCCAAGAGTATATGGATCAAGCTGATAAACCCATGGATTGATGCATGGTGCAACAGGCTTGGTTGTGGTATATATGGTGCACTAGGCTCCGAATAATGGTTTGTAGCCGAATCGATATTGGCGCCGGCCTCGAGAAGCAGATTTAGTAACTTAGGGTTACTGTCTCGCATAGCACAGCCCAGAGGAGTATTGTAAAAGTCAGCCTTGCGTGTTAACCCTAGAGACCCTGGCCATTCGATACGGACACCGCTACTGACCAAAAGCTGCACAATCTCAATGTGACGACCTTTACAAGCCTGCGCTAGGGCGTTGTATCCTATCTCTGGGTCATCCTGTGCTGCACGCAGAATAGCGGAGCGCATGAGAAGCATTGCTTGTTTAATGTTTTCTTCACAGGCCCACTTGAACATCTCTTCCAGGTCGACGAAAGATAGGGAGAGAACAAGAGCGCCTTGTGATGTTTGGGCGAAAGGCATCACCTCTCCTGGTGAAAAGTCCTCAAAAATCTGATAGATAAGCTCCATGGGGAGCCCTAGTAAGTGGGGAATGGCCATATTGATGTTTGAGCAGAGAGAAGATGAATTATAGGAGCGATGGTGGGCTTGTGCATAGCTTATAGTCGGGCTGACCTTTGTCTGGTGGTGTTGTGCAGTCTGGACAAAGATTGACTTAGGGTTTCTACACAAAGAGACTTGAAAGGCTTGTATGAATACAAATGTGAATTGAATCCAATCATCTCCCGTAACTAGTCACAGGCGATAGATTTCTGATATATAGTAACACCAATTTGAAGCATACTGTAGCTACGCTGGCATTGTCTTGTTCCCGCTTTGTCGCCGACATCATAAAGCCACGACTCAGACGAGCCCAAAGATATTGTCATCCGTCCTAACATTTCCTCTAAAGAGCCCACAAACAGCTCCAGTCGTTTCAGTGACACTGCCAATATCCCACACTTGAGATCACCTGCATATGCCAGGCACCCCGCCTTTTAGGAGATTGGAGAGAGCAAGTCTAAGTTGAGAACTGGGGTAGACAAATTTTCTGTTTCTAAGAACGACCGTTATTTTTATATTATTCAACCGAGGAATTGGACAGGCGTTGGGAATATATCCAGCTCAGAGCCACTGCAGGATTATAGGGCATGACTGGAACAACCAACGGAGAATAATCGCTGTTGCCTGACCTACTCAATCTATAGTATGAGCCACTAATCGACCACTTAATGGACTAAAATAATGGTGCAAAACAAGAAGTAAATATGCACATGCATAGAAAGCCTTTCTCAAGACAGAATCATCTACCCCTACAGCAAGACCCTGGACACTGGGCAGAAGTCGACTCGGATGGGCCCCTACAGCCGGCGCCAAAGCATTGGTCAGGGCTATTCTTCAATGGAACTGCAAGGTCATTTATGTCAGTAGCCATAACACATATGCCCAGTAGCTAGAATGCCTCCTTGTGGAAGAGCTTACCATGGCGTGGACTTTCAGAGCTAGACTTTCCGGATTCGGGTTTGTTTTTGTTTATAAGGGCTTCACTGTCATTGTTATCAGTTGAGATGGGGGCAGAAGCAATATTTATTGACGCAAACCTGTCCATGTCGCTCTTGCAGGTAATACTGCTGCTTTGTCTCGAGAGTGCTCTTTCGACTATCTTCGTGTACCCGTCCTTCAGCGAACGCTTAATTGAGGAGTGCATGGTATGCTGCGGCTCAATAGAAAAAGAATACCATTGCAAGGCTGGCTATAGTAGCACGTAGTCTATCGGAAGCTTGGGCTACTCTTAAACCGATGTCGTGCCCTAATCCAGTATTATGTCCGGAGATCGAGATTTGGAATGACAGAGTTGAACACATTAGAGTAGACAGAATCCTGTTATGGAGGTATCATCGGAGCTTTCGATAGGCATACCTTGCTGTCACTCTGAATTACCAATGGCTGAGTCTCCAGAAGGTTACAAGTGTGGCTGATCGCTGGATATACCCTTTCAAGAGACAGCAAGCATAGGTCCTTTGGCAGACCATTTTGTCAACATTGACAATATCGGTGAAGGGGAACATTTCACCTCTGCTATCACCGACGAAGTAGTAAGGTGAATGATTCACCATTTGTACATTGAAGGAATCTACCAGATAGTCTCACTTATTACCAGGTTGATTGCATACATTTCCGAAAGCTATACTGTGAATCATAAGTATTGGCCCAGGTCTCGGAAATAGGAGAAGATTCAGCTATTTGGTCGATGTCTTTTCTCTGACACCCTAATAGTAAGGGCCAGTGGAGTCGATTACAAAGTATCTTGATTTGTGCAGGCAGTTCACCAGTTAGTTGACTCTTTCTTCCCAGGCTAGAGGGGAAGTTGCCAGTTTACTGAAGAAGCAAGGGCTTCAGTCAATTCCTGTAGAAAATTGTCTTAGTCTCTCATAAGAGCAACAGTGCTTGGCAAACCTGATGCTTTGGAAGTTTTAGTTCCAATAACTAGTGTTTGATACCTAGCCCCGGGGCGTATCATCGACTCCCTATATTTGCTGTTGCAATACCTCCGTACCACATGACATGCTCGCTGATATACCAATGCGCGGCCTCTGGAAGGCAAAACGAGATACCCTAACGAGGGAACATTCAAAAGTGAAGTCCGCTAAGTGCAAGGCCTGATATGACAGATTTGTTTATTCTGCGAGAGGTGAATAAAAGGAAGCTCTTGGCAGCCCAGTGAAGCAGGTGTTCACGTGACAATTGGCCGCCTGAAACGGGTGGAGGCCCTGCTGAATCAGCTTTCTCTCCCACTTGCGGCCTCAGATTGTCTGGCATATTTATGACGGTTGCTCCCGCCACAGGCTGCTGTGAATACTAGCAGCTCGATCTCGAGAGCCGACCTTCCAGTCCTCCCTGTTCACTGGGCCTGCGCCCTGTTGCGATTACCTACCCTCTCGCACCAAACCGTCGATTCTTGCGTCATTGCTCGGACCAAATATTTCGTCTCCGAAACATGGTAACCGAAAGTAGCTTTGCCTACTGTCACTAAGGGCGACGACGCTCATATCCTGCCACGAAGATGGATTTTCCGGGGCGCTTCCCCCACGAGTATGCGGGCTCCTCGAGTTTTCACGATATAATGAACGACTCTGCCTTTGATACAAATAGAAAAGGGAAGGAGAGGGAATACGAAGAACCGGATACCTGTCGAATCTGTCGCGGAGAAGCTACGGACCAGGACCAACTATACTATCCCTGCAAATGTAGCGGTAGTATAAGGTTCGTGCATCAACCTTGCCTCGTGCAATGGTTAGCTCATTCCCAGAAGAAGCACTGTGAGCTGTGCAAGACTCCGTTCCACTTCACAAAAGTATACGACCCGGATATGCCCGATAGCTTGCCAACGCTCTTGTTTATGAAACAACTGTCCTTACATTCGCTTCGGACCGTTATTACATGGTTGCGCTGGGTCCTTGTGGCGTTTGTCTGGCTTGGATGGCTGCCATGGTCGATGAGGGCGATCTGGAGGGCGCTGTTCTGGCTCGCTGATGGTCGGTGGTCAGATGGTGTTCCTCAGAAAAGCTATCAAGGAAATAATGTGTCTGCGCCCCTTGATGGTGCAACATTAACGACAAGCTCTCTGGCGGTTGAAACAAGCTCGATAGTGGCACAGTCCCCGCTGGACCCTGCCGGGTCAATGTTTGGTTTCTCTTCAGGTGAACCTATACTACTCAAACTTATGAAAAAGGCCTTTTCTACGCTGTTCTTTCCCGCGATGTCATCGAGTTTTGGGTCTACCCATTCCAACGTAACAACACTTCCGTACAAACGCCGACCATCCTGGCTTTCGGACGTCAAGTTCCTAAACTCGTTGACTCCCTCACCGACAATTAATAACATCCTTCTTGACACGCTAGAAGGCCAACTTATTACATTGCTTGTTGTTATCTCGTTCATTCTTATATTCCTTATCCGCGAATGGGTTGTTCAACAACAACCTTTGGACAATATTGCTGAGGGAGAGCGTGAGGCTGCAGATCAATTAATAGCAAACAACCGTCCTCCTCCTCATGCCGAAGCTCCCGAGCACGAACATGAACATGAACTTGAGCATGAGCACCAGCACGAGCCTGAACCCCGCGAAGAGTTACCCGAACAAGCTATCCCACAACGCGAGGAAAGTGAGAATCACGCCGACGATATTGCTGAAGATAACCCCAGAAATATCGAGTTACCGCGACCAGGTGTTGGATTTGAACTGCCTCCCCACGAGCCTTTGCGATTTGAGGCTCCCCCCAATATACGGAATCTGCTCGCGGAAGGGCCAGTCACACCTCCGATTCGCCGGAATCTTGAGAGTAATGATGCTTTTAATTTCGAAATTCCAGTCTCTCGGCAAACACCACAAATGAACCAGCAACGGCCTACTGTTAATATGGAGCTGTACATGGAGCTCTGGCGCCGTACTCAGGGTGATTCCCAGGAAATGCTAAGACTTGTTCGTGAGGATCCTCGTTATACAGAACTGGCCTGGCATGTTACTACTGTTAATAGACATACGCAATTGTCTAATAACCTCCCACGTTCTCGCCTCTCTGATTTCACCGTAAACACGGACGGGGACGCGGAGGTTGATGACGCTCAACCAGCCTTCACACGGCCTTCAGAATCCTCTTCGCAAAGCTGGCGTGTACCCAATAATACCGAATCCGACAGTTCCAACGCATTTTTCGGTGGACCTGCTGGTAGAAACATGACTTTTAACCCAGAAATTCGAACTCAGCAGACACCGGCTTCCAGATTTGACAATTTGGAATCTGAAGCCCGGGATCGGGAGCCGCAACAAGAGCCAGAACAAGAGCCAGAGCCGATTCATGAAACAGTGGAAAGTAGCGTGGACGGTGGAATAGCTGGGTCGGACACCGCAGTTGCGGATGTTGAATCGGGTGAAGATACACAGACTCCGCCGGAAACCTCTCAGAATGCTCCCGAACGTCCTCAGGGCATGACCAAGAGAGTTCTCGATTGGTTCTGGGCCGACGTTGTCCCGGACGACCCGAACCAGGCACCCCAACCAGACGTGGATGAGGAGGTGGCGGACGAACCTGCTCTTGAAGGACCATTGGAGCACGAAGCCGACGATGGCAACTTCGATGCCGATGGTATCGCTGCGGATAACGCTGCCTTCGCTGACATGGGAGCTGACCCGAATGATCTTGATGCGATTGAAGAAGCTGATGATCTCGAGGGAATTTTGGAACTCATCGGCATGCAGGGTCCGATTTTCGGTTTATTACAGAACGGCGTTTTCTGCGCTCTACTGATCTCCTTCACCGTAGCCGCTGGAATCTGGCTTCCTTACCTTGCTGGAAAGATCGCACTTGTCCTTTTAGCGAATCCTGTGCAATTCGTCCTTGGTGTTCCTATGACGGCGGTCTCAGTTTTTGCAGACGTGGTCCTCGACACCCTTATTGGTAGCTTGGGTTATGTCATGTACTGGGCAAGTATAATCAGCAAGCTACTTCTTAGCCCTTTCGCAACCCTTGTCCCATTGACGGAGTGGACTAAGCCCATCACCAGTGCGTCGCTATCTCTCATTGATGCCAGTGGTCAGCGATTGGGCAATGTGATGAATACTTTCTTTGTCTTCCATGAGGCCGATGTCCCCATGTTTTCTGTCCTTTCCCATCAGGCCCTGAAAATCCATGAAGCGCGAATTGCCTCCCTGATCCACTTGGTTTTCTTGCTGGGAAAGTTCATTCTTCATGACATTCCCCTGGAGATCGGGTCGATTTCATTGTCCAAGGTCATCTCGTTCAGCTACGATACGGCAAGTATCGGCGATAGACTGACATCTGCTCGGGGTGAAGTTTACGATGCCGGCTACGACATCTATACTCGATTTTTCTCGGCCCCGACAGCCTGGGCTAGCCCGAATTTGACTGGGCTTACTGCGAATGGAACAATCGACTACAATAATGTGGTAGTCTGGGACACAAAGGATCGCACTATCGCTATCCTGATGGGCTACCTCCTCGCTTCAACCGTGGGGTTGGTCTATCTTAGAGTGGCCCGATTTGTCTCTGGAACCGACCGAGGGCAAAGAGTTGAGGGAATGGTTGCGGAAGGGCTTCACCAAGCCGGCGGGGTTATGAAGGTAATTCTAATTATCGGTATTGAGATGATAGTCTTTCCGTTATATTGTGGTGCTCTGCTCGATATAGCATTACTTCCTCTTTTCGAAAATGCTACATTTGCATCGCGAAGCCTCTTTACATCGACATACCCGCTCACATCTCTTTTCGTCCATTGGTTTATTGGAACTTGTTATATGTTCCACTTTGCTCTCTTCGTCTCTATGTGCAGGAAGACTATGAGAAGCGGTGTCCTCTGTAAGTTCCCACTCCAAACAGTATCACGACGTTTTCTGACTGCCCTAGATTTTATTCGTGACCCTGATGACCCTACTTTTCACCCTGTGCGTGACGTACTCGAGCGGAACATAACAACGCAACTCCGCAAAATCGCCTTTAGTGCGCTTGTATATGGCGCTCTTGTCATTGTTTGCCTAGGTGGAGTTGTTTGGGGCATCTACTACGGCTTCGACGGGGTCCTCCCCGCGCACTGGTCATCCAAAGACCCGGTACTCGAGTTTCCAGCCGATCTCTTGCTCTATAACTTCGGCATTCCTTTGGCCATCCAAGCTTTCAAACCCTCGGATGGGCTACACAACTTGTACAGTTGGTGGTTCCGGAAATGTGCTCGCGTCTTACGGTTGTCAGATTTCTTCTTCGGCGAGAGACATACTGACGAAGAAGGGAGGCGTCCACAGGCTTGGTGGAGCTTGCTCTTAGGGAGCAAGCCAAATGATGAACAAACTGCCACTGGAGAGGATCAACAATCCGATGCTGATGAAAAACATGTGGAAAACCTTCCACAAGTGGATGGAAAATTTGTTAGGGTCCCGGCTTCCGATCAAGTCCGCATCCCTAAGGGGAGTCCCGTGTTTTTGGAAGTGACTGAGACGAACGAACGAGTTGACGGGAAGCCTGACAATGACCAAGGACTTCACGGGCGAGGAAATGACCAATTCACCAAGGTTTATGTCCCACCGTTCTTCAGAACCAGAATTGCAGCTTTCATTTTCTTAATTTGGATGTTTGCGGCTGCGACTGGAGTAGGCGTCACCATTGTTCCTTTGGTTATTGGTCGCAAGATCATGTCGTTCTACGTCCCGGGTCGGCCAGTGAATGATGTTTACGCCCTGTCTGTGGGCATGGGCGCTGCATGTGGCATTGCTTGCCTTCTCGCATCTTGTCGGTCTTGTTTCCGCGCGTTTACAGGCCGCCTCGGGCCGTACCTACGCTCCCCCTTGGAGGCATCTCGTGCAGCAGCGGGTGTTTTGGTCCGTGGTCTCCAAATTTTCTACATTGCTGCCGCATTCGTGATATTCCTGCCGTCGGTTTTTGCTCTTACAATAGAGCTCTACGTTCTTGTCCCGATCCACACATACCTTGGCCGCGAACAAGACCACGTTATCCATTTCGTCCAAGATTGGACGCTAGGCGTGCTTTACGTTCAGATGGCAGTAAAACTGGCTCTGTGGCATACCAGGTCCCGGCCAGCTGCAGTCCTCAACGGGATTTTCCGTGATGGCTGGCTCAAGCCGAATGTCAAGCTCGCGACAAGGGCCTTGCTCCTCCCAATGACCCTTCTTGCCATAGTTGCGGTCACTTTACCCCTCTTCTTTGGCTTCGTATCGAACACGATGATGTTCTCTGCCAGCCCCGAGCTACAACCAAAGGTCTACCGCTACGCTTATCCGGTCACGCTGGCGATGGGACTGATGGTCTGGTTCTTTTACCTGGTTTGTCGCCAGGTCGAAGTATGGCAAGTGAGCATCCGAGACGAGTTCTTCCTGATCGGAGAACGCCTTCACAACTTCCGGGAGAAGCGGGCCCGAGAAGTTGGCGTTCCCCGGCGAGTGATAACCGGATAATCCGGCGACTGGAGCCTATCTAGCTGGTCCAGGAAAATTTCGTCCTTTATGGCGTTGCTTTACTTCTTTGTACATTTAAATGATACTAGACGGCACTAGGATGGATTAATACATAGACGCATCTTTCAGGATCGAATGCCTTCTCCTCGGTCACCAGCGCGCTTCCCTTGTATCTAAGTGTCGGATTTAAAGGAATTATAGAATGTTACAGCCGAACGTGCGAGAGCTCCTCAAGCCTACCTTAGCTGTCGGATTGCCTTCCTAGGCATGCCGTGATTGACGGGCTGTCAGTGAAATAAAATGAATGATTAGATGAAGAAGAGCTGCACCGATAAGTTTTACACTCCGGTTTTGTTATATCTAGCTTCATCCGTATAGACTGTTGTGAATTGCATTGGTGTTGCTATAACATAATATGACGCTATACAAAGGTAACCCCGCACCAACCAACCCCGCGTCAACCAACTGAGTAAACACCGTCTTGGGAAATATCCTCCACGCCAAATTCATTCTACACATCTCCATAACGACATTCACTAATCATGACCGATGCACAGCCCGTGGTTGGCATCCTCTCCATCGGCGAGATGGGCCTCGGCATCGCTAACCTGCTCATCAGCCATGGCTACCGCGTCGTAACCTATGCAGAAGATCGAAGGCAAGTGTTCGCCCATAGACCAAGACAGAACTATTCAATTAACCGCATCTAAATAATCCAGTAAAGCCACAAAGGATCGCGCCCAGTCAATCAACATCGAGCTCCTCCCCTCAATCAAAGACTTAGTCTCCCTCTCTACCGTCATTCTCTCCATAGTACCACCAAAAGATGCCCTCTCAACCGCACAGCGCGTGCATGAGCAAACACCCAATACAAGAGATAAACCAGTCTACTATCTAGACCTCAACGCCACAGCACCATCTCTCGCAACACACACCAACGACCTTCTCAGCCCCAACAAGAACATAGTCTACCTAGACGGTGGAATCATCGGCGGCCCGCCCCGCAAAGCATCCACGGACACTGAAACAACCTGGACAGCACCATCCCTCGTTGTCTCCGGCCCAACACAGATCCCATACCCGGATCTCGCGAACATACTGAATATAGACCACGTGTCACCGCGGATCGGCGCCGCGTCAGGTGTGAAGCTTTGCTTCGCCAGTACAACAAAGGGGTTCTTCGCGCTCGCGATTCAGTCCTATGTCACGGCGGAATCAATGGGTGTGTTCCCCGAACTGAGGAAGTACATGGGGAAGCATAACCCGCAGACGCTGGAGATTGCGGATACGGGCGTTGTCGGGATGCCGCCAAAGGCGTATCGGTGGGTCAATGAAATGCAGCAGATTGGGGAGATGATGGAGCGAGAAGGTGGGTTTGGGAAGGGACTGTAAGTTGGCTCTTTTTTTTTTTTCTCTCTCTTTGGCCCTTCCTTTGTACCTCATATGTAGTATTGAGCCAGGGAGAGGTACCTACTACTCAGGTTCGAGTGTTGAGGCAGAGCTTACTGATATTATCAATTTAGGTTTGAGAGCGTTGCAGAAGTGTATAGGGTTGTTGCGGAGGATACGGCACTTGGGCTGGAGAAGACTGGAAGAAGGGAGAGGGGGACAAGCGTGGAAGATGTGGTGGCTGTGATGAGGGAGGGCATGGAGGGTACGAAGAAGAAGTCGGAGTGATGGGTATGCTGTAATAGGCACAAGGGGTTTACATCAGACTAGAGAGCAGTTCGAGTCTTCAAGTATGCTGGTTGTTGTGGTATAATATGAGAGAGACACCATTTAATAGAAATACAGATATATCCTGTAAGGTTTATCATAGCAATTCGTACAGAAATGATGTGCGAGTATCCACAGATCGTCAGGCACGGTCCCACTCCTGCCAAGAAGCCAACACTACTTCCCCTGTAGGGTGTAGAAGACTGTAACAGTAACAGCATCTTTCCCTCGAGGAGTGAAAACTCAGGCCTGGCGTTAGGGGAGTGAATACAGACGAGAGTCTGGAAACTTCACTCAGCTGTAGTTACGATGTCCGTGAAACAGAGTGATTCTCTTTATTTAGAAACCCGTGGATTACCTGCGACTTGATACTATGCAATCTCTCAGCCCTACAGCCAATTGGCGTGACCATTTGATATTCAGTGACAACTGTTGAAATACAACAATTTATAGAGATTGCATGAATAAATACGTGCATTATGGGTGTTCAACAGTTAAGAGCCTTCACAGGTTGTTGCCCATTCCAGGCTATAAGAAGCCCTACTTGCTTTCAGCTTCTTGTACTTTCTCCTTTTTACTCCCACAGTGATCTGTACAGCCATATATTGGAGTGTACTCTGCACTATGAGGTTCTCAACCTTGTGGCCCGCCGGTGCCCTGCTGGCAGCTGCCCAATATGTAGTAGCACAGGGCACGGGTCCAGGAAACGGGTCTTCTATTCCTCCCTACACTGTTATTACTTCCTACACTACTTCTATGATTCTCATTACCTCTTATAACTCTGCCGATCCAGCTCAGAGCTCTGATCCTCCCACGACCTCCAAGCCCGGTACAGACACGCCACCTAATCCCAGCACCAGCATCAGCACCGACACCACGGTTAGCACTGTCAATGGCGCCTCTACAAGTTCCACCTCGCATTCAGTCACCACCTCTGGTGGTGATGCTACTGTTAGCCCGCCGATACACACGTCTACAACTGGTGCTCCGCCAACGACGTCCAAGCCAACGACGTCCAAGTCAACTGTGGTTACTACCAGTCTGCCAACCACGTCTACGACTAGTACTGCGCCTACTACTTCCAAGTCTACTGCATCTGGGTCGACTACATCCAAGTCAACTTTGGTGAATCCTCCTGGTGGTGGCCCTACTATCAGCCTGCCAACATACACTTCCACCTCCACTTCCACGGCAATCATTACTACTACCAGTACAACAAGCGCACGCACACCTACACCCACTCCGACGACAGGTGCTCCTACTACCAGTAACGCCAATACAGGTACAATAACGGCACCGGGTGGTCCCACTCCTGCACCCCATACCACCTCAAGCATTGGCGATTTCATCGGCCCCATGCCGTCCGTTCAGTTTGATTCCAGCCTATCTGCCATCTCCACCAGATTTGTCGATGTCGTTCCAAGCCTCAGTTCCTGGATTGTAGACCCAGAACCCCCGGAGCAGACAGATATTATCGAATACATCACTGGGCTTGAGAATGAAGTGGAAGACCTCATCTCTGAAATCGGCGGGTCCGGTGACTGCCCTTTCATGAAGAAGCGAGGCCTGGTGGACAAAATATTCAAGATGGCCGCTGAATCGGTTTTTGGTGCATTGAGCTGTGTTTTGGATAATACAAGGAGCCTGAAGAAGTCGGTTAAAAATAAGGACAAGAAGGGCGCCAAAAAGTTCGTGAAGGACCTGCTCGAGGAGGAATTGCCTGATGTAGGCGGCGCTGGCGGCGGCGGCGGTGGTGGAGGAGGAGGAGGAGGTAATGGTGGAGGAGGAGGAGGAGGAGGAGGAGGTGGTGGTGGTGGTGGTGGTGGTGAGGGCAATGACAACAACGATAACAACGACAAGGACGATGACAAGGACAAGGACAAGACTACTACAACCACCAAATCCGAGTCGACCACATCGTCGACATCTTCGTCGTCGACATGTACTTCGGACGCGACTGCACACAAAGTGACAGTGGTCTGTAAATCAACTTCAACCACTGCAGGTGGTTCGACATATGGAACCACGACTTGCTCGCCGACAACCACCCTCACAACAATTGGGTGCTCCGTCACAGACACTACAACAACGGTCACTCCAACCCCGACATCTGGTCCGTCACTGTGTGAATTCGGTTCATGCGGCAATCGCAATTCATGTCCCCGTGTTGGGAAGGGCGGATGGGCTAATATCGGATCTATCGACTGCTCAAAGCTCCGGACCAGTACAGCCTCTGCATATCCAACCTACCCAGCTGTCTCTCACAAGCAGAAGCGCAGCGAGCTGGTGCAACGTAACCCCAATCCCGATCCATTACCTGAGGTTCAAGATGCAAGGGCGTACCTGACAGGCATACAGCACCAAATAACAAACGAAAACAGATGGCTTGACTGGACTCCTTCCTATACGACGGGAGAATGGTTTCCATTCACCGGAACGGGGAAGACTGCCATGGGGCTGAGCTCACTGTACGGATGTACTTCGGTGGTCATTGTATCACGGAATGGAGTGTATATCTCCCATATCTTTGAGAGCCCGGTCTTCATGGGGCGTGATGCCAATGGCGAGGCAATACTCTCGGACGTACAATGGTTCCAGAAGTGGACACTACACGCTCTTGCTTATGGGGGCTCTGAATACCCTAGGATCGTCCCAATTGCATCCTTGGTTGGAACTGACGACAACATGGGCCCTCTGCACCCTTTTTACAAACCCTGGGTCGTTATTGTCACACCATTCCAAGACGGGATGAACAGCGGACCTCTAAAGTATGAAACACGGGTTAGCTGGCTAGCAACTTCGATCAGTAATGTGCTTTACGCAAATGGGTACCCAGCAGATAACCCGGAGCCGTGGATGAAAGTGGGCTATCAAGCCACTGAGTTCGAATCTGCCTATTCAGATGATGAACTCGTCGGCAAAATTGTTGTGGAAGCTACGCCGATACAGTATATGATGAACTTGCCAAGTTTCATAGCTCCAGTCGGCCTTTGGCGGTTATGGGTTGGTGGAAGGCATATTGTCGACAACCTCATTACCTACCCCGATATCGCGTTCCCTGTCGGCAACCACAAGCACCGACGGGAAATCGATGTCAAGAAAATATGCCCGATCAAAACATCGTCTCACACTACCTTTGCCACGTCCACAAAGTCTTCAACTACCTCGAAGACTACGAAGACCAGTTCGTCGACTACCTCGAAGACTACCTCGACTACGAAGACTACCTCGACGACATCCAAGACCACTCACGGGGTGAGACCAGCTGGGCAACCCCCAGGCTTCGATCTACCCACTGCCACTCAGGCATCCAAAACCCAAGCCGAAACCCAAACCGAAACCCAAACCCAAGCCAAAGCTACGCCCACCAAAGTATGCTTAGCAGGCAAGGACTACGTCCCTGTGGAGCATGACCGGGCCAAAATAGCAGAGGTGGCAGAGCAGTGCAAGGGCGCCTTGAACGGCAAAAAGCTATTTCAAGCTGATGACAAGGCCATCAAATGGGGCCCTGTTGCGCTCCACGGCACTAATTACTACGCCTACGTCTCTTGGATAGACGGCTGCAAGGGCCCGGCTCAGGATCCGTGGTCGCCGAAGAGTGGGTACGACTGCGCAACGATTTTGAAGGAAAACTACAGCTTCGAATGGTGCGAGAAGGGGAAGGGTAGTGATGGACAGGGCGCATTTTCTTGGGGCTTGCCCTACGGAGGTTTCACCAATATAGGGTGCCTGACCTATCGTTCCTGGCATACTGATGGCGGCAAAACGATTAAATTCAGGTCCTGAGGTGGATAATTGTTTGATTATTTCTCTCGTCTGATGTCTTGTCATCGAAAAGCATTTCCTAAAGGCCAAGGCACGGCTTATTTATGATGATAACAACGAGCCATGATTGATGTCGAATAGACAACTTGTCGCGTCAAATGATTAAAATAGAAGAAAAAAAAAAAAAAGGTCTTTTCAACAGCTAATAGTGCCAACTACTCAACTCCGTAAATTAGTCTTCGTAAACCTGGCTGATGAGTACTATGTATATATCTGAGTGGTGGGTCTCCGATTCGTGACAACAGCACTCCCACCTGAGTTTTGCGGAGACACCCACTCTCTCTTGTATCGAATGAGCTCCTGTGGAATTCAATATCGTGGTCGGTTTCTGTGAGTTGGAGGCTCGGAATTTCTCCGCCATTTGGGTCCCCCGGGCATTTCTGGATAGCCGAGATGGCTTTCTCCAAACGTGCATTGACCCTTCGACTTCACCGTTAATATACCCATCACAATCCATAGTATTATCATCTCAATAATATCTTATACCCACGCCCCCTCCACCAAACAAAACAAACAACCACCCGCAAATGGCCCCGACCTCAGCCCCAGATCACGTCGACGTCCTCGTCATCGGCAGCGGCAACGCAGGCTTCTGCTCCGCCATCTCAGCCTCCGAATCCGGCGCCCGCCGCGTCCTCCTCATCGACTCCTGCCCTGAAGAATGGGCCGGTGGAAACTCCTACTTCACAGCCGGCGCTTTTAGGACTGTGCATCACGGACTCGCGGACGTTCTCCCGGTCGTGAATAATGTAGACGATGCCAAAGCATCCCGCATCGATATGGAGCCGTACACAGACGCCCACTTCTCAGACGACATTGAGCGAATCTGCGTCGGCAGGTCGGACCCGGATCTCTCGCGCGCCCTGGTCCAGGGTAGCAATGATGCGGTCAAGTGGTTAGCCGGGCATGGGGTGCGGTTTCAGTTGAGTTTCAATCGGCAGGCGTATGAGATTGGGGGGCGGTTCAAGTTCTGGGGAGGGCTGTGTCTTAAGACGCAGGATGGGGGGAAGGGTCTGATTGAGGACGAGCGAAGGGCAGCGGAGAGGTTAGGCATTGAAGTGCTGTTCTCGACGGCTGCGAAGAGGCTGGTTCTTGATCCTAGAACTAGAGCAGTCAGCTCGGTTATTGTTGAGGATGCTGCTGGGGAGAGGGAAATCCGCGTGGGGGCTGTGGTGTTGGCGGCTGGTGGGTTTGAAGCGAACCCGCGGATGAGGGCGCAGTTCTTGGGGCCTGGATGGGACTTTGCTAAAGTACGTGGCACACCGTACAATATCGGGTCTTGTTTGGAGATGGCGATGCGGGATGCAGGCGCGAAACAGGCGGGGAATTGGTCGGGGTGTCACTCTGTTGCGTGGGATGCGAATGCGCCTGCAAACTCGGGGGATCGGGTGGTTTCGAATGAGTTTACAAAGTCTGGGTATCCGCTTGGATTGATGCTTAATATTGAGGGAAGGAGGTTTGTGGATGAGGGCGTGGATATGCGCAACTATACATATGCAATCTTTGGGAAGGCGATCCTGGCGCAACCTGGCCATGCCGCCTTTCAGGTCTGGGATGCTACGATGACGCCTTGGCTACGGAGTGAAGAGTATCGTGACGAGATCGTGGAGAGGGTAACAGCTGACACATTGGAGGAGCTGGCTGAGAAATGTGCTAAACGGGGGCTCAGGAATCCAAGCCAGTTCCTGGCTACAATAAAGGAGTATAACGAAGCTGTTGGAGCTTTCCAGCAGGAGAATCCCGGCCACAAGTGGGATCCTGCCGTAAAGGATGGGCTTTCCACACAGTCAACTCGGAAACAGTTGGGTCTGCCAAAGTCGAACTGGGCTACGCCGCTTACGCGTGGACCATATGTCGCCGTGAAGGTAACCTGCGGTGTAACCTTTACATTTGGTGGGTTAGCAGTTGACCATCACACTGCGGGCGTCATCTCTTCGGCTACCAATTCACCCGTGCCTGGCTTATACTGTGCCGGTGAAATGCTGGGAGGCCTGTTCTACGACAACTACCCCGGAGGCAGTGGCCTAACATCAGGTGCTGTATTTGGTCGGAGAGCCGGCCGTGCAGCGGCAGCGCAGGCTGGCCAGAGCTCTGTCGCAAGGCTTTAATAATGGGGCCTTGTTAGGTGCGCATAATTCGAGGCTAGGCTGATATATTCTGGTTGGCTGGAGAACAGTAATGATAGGCATAAATGAACGAGACTTGTCCATATAAGCTTTTTCTGGTCGGCAGGCTCCAATTATCGATTCCAGATGACGCGTCTGAAGGGTTCAGACCCACAAGTTAACTGACAGACCGGGCCTTGTTCGTAATGCTTCTGTAGTGCATGTGCATCTCGTTTCCACTGTCGCGGTCATCTTACGTTGAATTTAGAAACAGGTGATCGATCCTTCAGACCGGTATGGGTTCCTTGACTGGCTGGGTCGTTTAATCAAGTGTTCGCGTTCTTGTTCGTAATGGCATATGTGAAGTTGGAACAGTTCTGCCTGTTGCGCTGCAGCAACGGATATGGTCTCGGGAAATCGATCCGCACTTCCGCATTAATCTATCAACCTCGCAGTGGGAGCGGTGTATGGGTGTTGCAGGTGATGGATCTTGAATTATTGATCTTTGAAGCCGCTAGGCGCCTGCAATGGCTGCGAAGTTAGCATTGACTGAAATAACTGGACAGAATACGTACGGTCTGCACTGAATCATGGAATGGATCCTGGAGAGCGCGGGGGACGCGTGCTGAGTCAGGCGCAGCAAAATGGCTGCCTGCCACGTGATTGTCGCAGATCTGTGGCTTGGCGATGAGGCTTTGCAGCACTCGCCACTCCCGATTGGTTAGGCAACAGAATTCCCTCCCACTTGCTATTCTTATTCGCACCCGCTCCTCTCTTGCAGCCTGCTCCTCGTTTTCTCATCTATCGCCGTTGCTGCCCTGCTCCTAATTCTCTGCTCTTCTCGGCTTCATCGACTCTCGACGAGCGCTCGCCCTTGAAATGTTCTGAAACCAACCCCATTCCTCCCCCCGCCCCCGCAGCCGCTCGAGTCGTCGCCGAGCTCGCCCAACCGCCAAGAACATGTCCGTCCTCCCGCGCCATGGGGGCTCGTACCTCCAGCGCCGCCTCACAAAGATGTACACCGACACCAAGACATCTTGTGAGAGCGTCACCACCGCCGCCAATGCCGTCGACAACCCCGAGCTCCTCTCCATCCACCGCAACTTCAAGACGCAGCGAGATCGGCTTCTGGCATGGGGTTTGGACTGGAGCGATGCGAGCGCTGCTCAGCCAAACGATATAGACGAGTCGCTGACGCAGGCTGGATTCAGCGACGTCGTGGAAAGTGTGATGTCGTCGATCCAAGACTTGCTCAGCGAGGCTGAACGTCTGCAGAATAAGGGCGCTTCCGATTTACCTTCTAAAGGAGGTAAAGCGGAGTCTCCTGCAGCAGATGGTCTCGGCGATTTTCCGTCCAAGACCAATTGGACCAGTGCTGAGATTAGTCGCTCCAAGACCCTCCTTAACGATCTGACCGCGTGCATCGACGTGCTTTATGACCTTTCCCGCGAACGCCGCGATATGACCGCCAGCGCGCAATCTTCGGGGAAACACCGTACTCGGTCGTATCCTGCTCCCCACGCTGCCAGCCCCGGCGGTGATTTCGGCCTAACAAAGGACTCCAAGTCATATCATGGCGCATCTTTTGATAGTGCGCAGCGGTATCAAAGCTCCCCGAAGTCGAAGGAGGCATTTGAATATTCTCCTTTTACCAATCTCCATGCCATCACACAATCACCCGTTTTCGAGCACCCCAAGTTGGAGAGGGCTTTCAGTAAGCCCTCAGCCGAGTCAAGGAGCTATCTCATTGACCGATCAGCACTACAATTGACCGGTGCTTCCCACGATAACAACCCGCCTCCATATGAAATGGTGGCTGCATCCACGAACTCTCGAGTCCTTGGTCGCATGAAGACCTCAGCTTTACCATATCCCCACAAAATCAAGGATTCTACAATCAGCATTCTCGTTGAATATACCCCCATGGTCCTCGATTCGTCTTCCAACGCTCCTTACCCTGGGGATGCGCGGCTAGATAATGTGCATCAGACCCTTGAACAGTTGGTCCAGAACTCCCGAGTTTCCCACCTCGGTCTATTGAACTTCGTTGGGTACTACCTCGACCGCGCCAACTCTCGTTACGCCTTCGTCTATCAGATGCCCGTCCACTACTTCCCATTCCTCCAGAATCCAACAGACCTCTTGAATGGACTAAAGCCCAAGCCGTTGGTATCGCTCCTCCAGTCGGGGGAAGACTATCCTATCCCAAGCTTGGAAACTAGGTTTCGCTTGGCCTACGACCTCCTTATGGCTGTATTGCAGCTCAGGAGCCAGAACCTTGTGCACGGAAATATCAACAGCAACAACGTTCTCATCTTCCCCGGCCTGACAAACTCGAATCAAGACGAAGTTGGCCTAACCGAAAACCTTCGCCGTCCTTACCTCACATCCTTTGCTCAGTTTTCGGGTAACAACCCTTCTCCCGAACCTCTTTCCGCCAGTATGTACCGCCATCCCGATGATAAAAGGGGAATCGAGGATGATGCCGCCTGGTCCTACGACCTCTACTCTCTCGGGTTGGTCCTGATGGAAATCGGTCTATGGACTCCAATCAGCCGCCTGTGGAAGCTAAAATACAACAATTCTATCTTCAAGCAGAGGGTAGAAAGCATGTATTTGAAAAAGCTAGGTCCCAAGTGCGGCAGCGCCTACATTCACGTGGTTCAGCTATGTCTGGATGCTCCCAATTTCCATCTCTCAACCCAGCCTGCCGCTGATTTCAACCTGAGGATACCTCAGACCTTCCACTACCCGGTTTTGGACCTTTCAGCGCCAGATGGGATCTTTTCGTTTTCCATGAACTTCATCTACACGTTGTGCAAAATTGCTTGGTCATGTTGCAGAATTGACATCTTTTCGGCACCGGGAGCCGAGGAGTTAGACGACTGTCTACCCCTAGCCCTCGTTCCTGGGTCAGAAGCGGATGCTGCGAAACAGGCTGCTCGAGACTATCAAGGCCCCGAGCAGGTAACCCAATTTGCGCAGCCACTGGCTGCAGCTCCTGCTCCTGAAATGAAATTGATGAAGGTTGGAATGGACGAAAGGAGGATGAAGAAGCGGACCTTCAAGAAACTCACCACTGTCGAGATACCGGAAAGCCACCTCAAGGAATGGAATTTCCAGATGTTACCTCGACTGAGGAAACTCCTGCAGAAGATCCTGAAGGACTCGTCTGAGTCTTGCGGCGTTACTCTTATGATGACCGGTGATGGCCTAGAAAATGCCAGAACCACAATCTGTGTGACATGTGCCAGCGTGAAAAAGGTTAGAGCGGCGCTGAAGAAGTATTTCCCTCTTGAAAGAGAAGATTGGGATTTGCTTGTGCTTCGCGGGGACATTGAACGCTCAAAAGTACCGAAAAAGAAGCGCCGTCGGCCCGCAAAGACCGGGCCCCAGAGCACAATTGAAGCCCCTCCTCCACCACAGGACCCTAATCCTTGTTATCAACAACGTCCTCTTTGTGGTGCATCCATAGGAGCATTCATGAACGACGAGCATCTCCCTCCTGTCTCGTATGGTGGTGCCATTCTCGTTGATGGTGTCCCCTATGGTATGACAGTTCATCATATGCTCGAGGCCCCCAGTGACGATGAGGACGCCGAAGACCTTCATGAGGCTGTGGATGACGCTCCTCTTCGGTCAGCTGCAAACTGGTCTCGGCAACCTGCTCCTCCTCAAGATCCACAGCTCATGTACACATGGGCCGATGATGCATCTGAGCACAGTCTCGAGTTCGAGATATCTGATGATGAAGATGGTGACGATTACTACGATGACTTTGCCCTCTCTGATGGATATTCATCTGACGAAGGCGATGACGAGTATGCCTACGATGACGATGACGCAGCGTCAATTGGGGATACTGCTGGCATCGAACCTACAGATGATCCCATGCTCTTCGTAACCCAGCCCGCGATCGATGATGTCCGTGACGATTTTTTTCCAAGCCCCGAGGATCGGGATGATGAACATCTCGCTTCCCACTCATTCGGGTATGTTCACGCTTCGTCGGGTGTTCGACGCTGGACGCGAAATGGTCTCAAGCATGAAATCGACTGGGCTCTGATCAACATTAACCAGGATCGTTTGGACGCACGAAATATTGTCTATGATAAACCCTCCCTTTCCGCAGTCGCTCGAGCGAGGCAGAGGCTTGGGGAACCAATTCCGCCACAGCAGCGAGACCCCATTGTCTTGAACGACGTGGCACGCCTAGAAGATCTTGGCGGCCTCAACGTCCACTGTTGTGGACGAACTAGTGGGCTGCAAACTGGGCAGATTTCGAAGGCGATGACAATAGTGAAACTCCACGGCCGGCATACCTTCTCCACGAGCTTCGGGGTGGATGGAAACTTTGGAGGTGAGTGAGTGCAGCTCACCAACAATTTCAACTCCCCTCCTTGTCTCATGCTGACTTTTTGCTTTTCAGTTCCCGGTGATTCTGGCGCTTGGGTCTTCGAAAAATCGACCGGCCGCGTTTGCGGCGCTGTTCTAGCATGGTCGGAGAAAAGTCGAACAGCCTACATCGCACCAATGGAGGTCCTACTTGAAGACATTGCCCGCACCCTGCAAGCATCGGATGTGACACTCCCGGGAAGGCCCGATGAGTCCCTTGCATTCGCCATGCAGCACTCGCCCATTCCCCAGAACCCGAGATACCAGTCTCCACTGCCATTGCCTGATCAGCTCCCTGTCGACCTCAACCGACAACTGCGCATTGATGACCAAAGCGTGGCCCCTGTACACACCAGTCGTGGACTCAGGAATCCATACCAAACCCTACCACCTATTCTTACTCCAGGACCAGGACGCAGTCTAGAAAGACAGCTTGCCTAGTCTTTTTTTTCCTTTTGCGCTCCAACCTACCCCTATTCTTTATCTCCCTCTCACTCCTCCTTTCCCATGTATATATCATATCCACTACATGACTCTGTCGTGGCATCTGCTCTTTGCATCCGCCGACTTTATTTTTCATGACCGAAACGCACTGAAATAATACCCCTGTCTGCACATATTGATTTAAATAATGAATGAATAACCAATTATTGGAACTTGATATACTGTTGCGGATATTCTAAGAGACCTGATTGAAATTATATTTAGTACAAAACTCCAATAACAACAAACAACTATGTACAGGAACGCAATGAAAAACCTAATGTACAACCCGAAATCCCCTAAACACACTGCGAACCAATCAAGCTGCCCTAACCTTTCCATACTTGTCCGTGTAGAGATACACATTCCTCGTCGTAAGATACCTTGTGCTTGTCGACGTCCAAATATCAAAACCACTGGGACCCCAGATATCCTCCATTTCCTCCCGGAACTGTGTCTTGGGCTTCCCATCGCGAATCCTCAGCTTCTCAAAAAACACATACGAGGCATAGAAAACCAAGCTCGTTCTTCCCTCGCGCGAGCCTTTCTTCGAAAGAAATGACGCCAGCGACCTCCCTTGCAATGCATTCTCCTTGAGATCGGCTGCTCGATCCGGCCACGTCTTCGAGATTTCCCTGCAGAATGCTGCCCGCGTCATGTTTGGTTCCCGTAGAACAGCATTGATCTTCTTCCTGATCTCGTCACACTGGTCGTAGACTGCTACCTTGCCCTCTGCTTCACCAGGCAGCGAAACAGAGCTAACATCATACTTTTCAGCAAACAGCGCCTCCTTCGTCTTCTTACCAGAGGCGGCCTCCGTCTTGGATTTCTTCTTCGCGGGCTCGTTCCCCTCGTCTTTGCCTTTCCCCTTCTTCCCCTTTTTATTAAGCCCAAGTAGCTCCCTCTTCATAAAGAACCGATGCGCATGGATAAACGAATTCGACTCAGACCCCGCCCACGCCCCATTCTGCTTCATGAACGCGTAGTACGATTTCCCCGACACGCCAATAGCGTTCTGGAACTCGCTCACTTTCATCACTTTGTCCTTTTCGACGAACTTGCGGATCTTGGCGCGGACTTGCCCACAGCTCCATTTCGGGGTTGCGAGGCGGTCGTCGTCTGAGTCTATGTCATCCTCCTCTTCGCTGATATCTGCGCCGTTGGGCGCGATGTTGTTTTCTTTGTCCGAGAGCAAGTCCGAGTCCAAGTCTGGGATATCTGCTTTGCGCTTTTTAGAGAGTGGAGATGCGGCAGTAGCAGTTCCGGCATTGACGGCCTTGATTCTGTCTTGTAGCTGGCCGATGGTTTGCGGGGAGAGAAAGACGCCGTGGTGGTTGATTTCCGCTAGGGCGTCTTGGAAGGTGAAGACCATAGTGGCTGTGTCACGGTGAGGTCACACTCGCTGGATGGAATACAGTTCGACCCCTGCAGTGAAGAAAGAAGTAAGGGGGTTTATAAGAGACATGAATGACGGGGAAACGTTGGGGAAAGGGTTATATAGGCTCATCTTATCAGGGACATAAACAACGCGTCGCCGATCATTTCACCCTTCGGACCTGTCATCCCCGCGTTCAGCAGATGCATAACGAAAATAAGAATTAATTAATTGAGGCTGTTGAATAAGGTGGCGGTGACTGGTGAGGTCTTAGGGGACAATTCCTTCTACACTTCTAGTAAAATTTATTGATACTACAAAACCTACTCAAGGAATGAAGTTCATGGAAAATTCATTAAATGAAAAGCTAATGATCAAAGACTATATGCAACAGAAACAGCCAAACCATACCATATCAAATGCTTTCTAACCCAGTCAAGTTAGAAACAATCAGGAAACAAATCACTGAAATTCAATGGATCATCATACATATCAAAAAATCTGGGTCAGAAGAGATAAGAAAGTGACACGCTTGGAAACAGAACAGGAATTAAAGGGGGGAAAGAAAAAAGAAAGAAAAACAGTGATGAAAGCAGCCTTTCTTCCAAAATTCTCAAGCGGTTTCAAATCTAGTTGGATCCGAGGTACTTGAGCACGGACTCCTTCTCCTCGACGGGGAGCATGCTCAGGGCCTGCTGGATACCCCGGAGACTGCTATTGCGGTTGTTGAAGAGCAGGTCGGAGATATGAGAAGCCAGGGATTGGGACTTGAGAGACTCGATCTTCTCGTGGATGATCTCCTTGTTGTCTTCGTACCATGTGGCGACACCCTGGTCGTTGTTCTCGCTTTCTTCCTCAGAGAAGGGAGTCCATGATTGCAGGGTGCGGAGGTGAGTGTCACGGGGAGAGTCGTTGGAGGAAGCCGGGGTGCTATCCTTCGCGATGGCTCCGCTGGGTTCACCTTCGATGGGAGAAGGAGCCGCACGGAGCATACGCTTGAGGATGGCCTCTTCGCTGATGCGGCGGCGCACACGCCAGTAGAAGAAGCGACGAGCATCCTTCAGGGTGAGGGACTGGCGGATAGTGTTCTTGGCCTTCATTCGGCCGGCGCGGTCGTGCAGGTCAGCGAATTGCAGAGCAACCTGCATGTAGACAGGAAGGAGCTGCTCTTCGCGGGCAGCCATCTTGTCCTTGATTTCGGAAAGCTTCTCCTTGCTGATGTTCTTGTCTTGAGCCGCACGGCGAAGTTCTCCGTAAGTGGGATCCAGGCGAGCCATGGTCTCCAGCTGCTTCTCGCGGCGGAACTTGATGTTGACAATACCCTCGGGTTCCAACACACCACCACGAGACTCCTCGTCGGCGTACATTTCCATCTGCTCGGGGTTGATGGTGGGGTCAACAACGACCCAAGAACCACCACGAAGTTCACCGAAGGGGGGAATGTAGACGAAGATAGGCTGCTCGTACTTGACAAGAGCATCGACAATGTAGGAACCGTACTTGAGAACCTCGTTGAACATGTCGCGCTGTCCACCAGAGAAACCTCTCCAGTTGGCCAAAATCATCACGGGAAGCTGTTCACCATTGTTGAAGTCACGAAGAGCCTGGGCAGTCTTGAAGGACGAGTTGGGATACCACACACCACCAGCCTCCTGGGCAATCATCTCCATCGAGTCGGGGTTAGCCGGGTCAGCGGGAGTAACATTCTCCACAGGGCGTGTCTCAACAGCAATGACACCCATGGGGATACCACCGAGTCTGGCACGACCGACCACGACAGTGCGAGCCCAGCCACCAAGAGCTTCCTCGAACGAGCCAGTGTCGAAGATACCGGGAAGGAAGCCCTCGTCGTCCTGCTTGCCGTTGATGAGCCAGCGGACATCATAGGGCTGCTTGGGAGGAGGGTAGTAGGCCACATCGCGATCCCAGGTATCGGAGAATGACCGGATCGGAGGAAGAGCACCCTTCTTCTCGGGGACAAAGGAGAGCCAATCCACAATCTTGGAGACACCGTCGAAGTCGTTGGCAGCAGTCATGTGAGAAACACCGTTCCTGTACATGATCTGGGTACCACCAAGCTGCAGGTTAGAGGTGTAGACCTCTCGGCCGAGCAGCTTGTTGATGGCAGGTGCACCAGTGAGGATGATGGGCTGGCCCTCGACTTGAATAGCTCTCTGTCCAAGGCGGACGAGGTAGGCACCAATACCGACGGAACGGCAGGTGACAAGGGTGATGGTAAAGATGTCTTCGTATGCCCGGGAGGTGGCACCAGCGATGAGACCAGATCCCTTCAGACACTCAACACCCAGGCCATCCTTCGCACCAATGATGGTGGTGATCTTGTGGCGATCCTCACCGTCATCGTGAATCAGCTCCGTAACGACGTCCTTTTTCTGGCTAGCATCAAACTGCTCCTTAACCTCGGGTGTGAGGTAGAGGTATTTGAAACCGGCCTCAGGCTTGTCAGGGTTGTTCCAGGCGACTGAGAAGTACGGGATGAGCTCTTCGGCCATACCGATACGAGCACCAGAGTTGGCAGAGAGGTAGATCCGGGGAATTCCGAGCTTCCTTGCCAATTCAGTACATTTGTGGAAGAACTTGTCTTCCAAAGGACCGAATGAGCCAATCTGGAAGGTGATGTCATTGGCAACAATGATGAAGCGTCGGCCAGCGGGGTACTCGGGGGTACGGGCAGTGACGAGCCAACCGACCATACCATGAGTGTTGGTACCTGGGCCGCGGGAGATCTCTACCAGGTTGTCTGCATCATCGAGAACAAGCTCGCTGTATTCCATGCACTCACCAACAGGAGGACGACGCTCGGTCAGGCTTGGGGTCTTTGCAATAGCCTTGGCCCACGAGTTCTGGAATGCTTCGCGGAAGAGCTCGGGGAAATCATACACATATTGTGTACCCATAACGTGAGCCTTGTAGCGCTTCGGCTGCAGCCACTCCTTGGTAGGGTAAGGCGTCGCAACGGGACGCAAGTGGTTGGCGCCAAGCTTGTTGGTACCACCAATGCTGTGGAGGAGCCACTCGCCCTTTTCAGACTTCTTCTCAATGTAGAGCTCGACCTGGATGATGTATCCTACAGTGTTGCTGATGATAACACGCAGAGGGTAGGCTGTCTGGGTAGTTGGGTCAGTGCACAGGATGCGAATCTCAGCACCGGTAACACGGAGACGCCAGAGTCGGAGACCGAAGCGGTCCAAGAAGCCAGCCAATGCCTCTTCCACATCGTGGGGCTGCAGATTGAAGACAGGGGAGAAGTTAATGAAGATATGGTTCAGATCAGAGTTGTTGTTGCCAATGACCTCCAAAGCATCGAGAATGTCGTTCATCAAGCGATCAGCCTCGGAAATGAGATACTCCGCGGTGGGGATATCGTCACGAAGACGACCAGGACGGACAACGGCACGGACAAAGTATCTCTTATCCAGAGCCTTGTCATTTTCGGGACCCTTGCCGATCGCCTCGTAGACGTGGATGTTCCGGTTCTCAGTGAAGACGGGCTTGATCTTGAACTTGGAAAGACGGTTGAGTTCAAGTTGGAACGCAAGGGCGGGCTCGCTGTGTCGGATACTCTCATCTTCCTCATAAGAGGGGCCTCGGAAGGTGTAGTAGCTTGGGTAGACGCCGTTCCTACCACAGATGAAAGTCACACGACGAACACGACGAGAGAGCAACTCTTCCTTGAAGCGAGAGATGAGTTTGCTGATCTGAGCAACAATTTGAGTATCTTCGAGGTCCTCAACATCGCGGATTGCAACGTTCAAGACTCCTGTGAGTTCAGCTGAGTCGGTTTCAACACGAGCACTAGGGCGGCGCTTGCCCTCCAGAGCAGCGATAAGACCGTGGTCGCCATGCTTCTTCTTGGGGAATACTTCCAGGGCCTTGGCCAGGTATTCCTCAGCATCCTCTAAGTATTCGACAGGGAGGATCACACCCTTCCGTGGGGTGTCGTTAGGGCTGTCATTCAACAAGTTGGACATGTCGCTGATAGAGTTGATCCGCCTGAAAGGGTTCGACTCCGTTGTCGGGGTGCTGGGGGTAGACGGGTGGGTGCCCGAAGTCAGAGGACCGAACTCAGGCTGGCCCAGCTTGCCCATTGTGAAGTCCCAGGACATGAATGCAGGTTCACCATTGTGGTGATAGTCCATGCTCTGGATAGTGTAAGCACGGTAAGCGCGACGAACGTAAACTTCAAGCGCAGCCAGAGTAACCCAGGCATCCTTGTGAACGAAGAATCGTGGCAGAACATCGAAGACGGTGTACTTGGAGTCGACAACCTCCTTCAAAGCAGCAAAATCGGGCTCCCGGTGGCGGAGGCCGGACTCCCCGTAAGCAGACTCCGCAACAGAGGAACGCAGAATAAGTTCCATCTGGGAGAGACGCTCCTCGAGAGACGGCAGAGCGGACTGGATGAGAACCTCACGGGCCTTCAGGGTGACCTTGGCCGCAGCACGGGATTCAATCTCTGTCAATCTCTTCAAGACACCCTTGAAGTACTGGCCGACGTTACCCATTTCGGGTTGGTTCGGGCGGTAGATCGAGAGGATGGCAAGAATGAGGTCGTTTTTAGCGCCAATTCTGCTGTGAGAAAGAGCAATCTGCAGAAGAGGCTCGACATCATCCTTGTGCTCCTCACGGAGAGCAAGGATACCATCTTCATACCGGGACTTGGGTCCAGAGAACAGCTTCTCCACGGCAACGTACTGCTCCAGGAGGCCGACGAACACGTTGTATTCGTGCACCTTCAAACCCTCAATATAGTCGTGGATGACCTGCGTGAGAGGAGAAAGGGTAGTCTTTAGGATATCTGCATCGGCGGGGTTGACGTTCTCCTCGATGAAGCGGGCCATGGTCTTTTGAAGCTGCTTGGCGGGGAACTCAGCCTTGCGTGACCGGGCACGGTCCACAGTCTGTTGAAGCTGATTGTCCAACTTGGAAGGCATGCGGGAGTGGAGTGCAGATGACTGAGCGTTCCACTCACTGTAAGGAAGCTCGGGATCACGGAGAACCCCGATGAGATCCTTAAGGGTGGTGTTCATAATTACCTGGTTGTCAAAACCCCTCAAGATGTTCTCCAGGATGCCGTGCAAAAGGAGGAACCTTTGGGCAGGCTTGTTGCCAACCACCTGGGGCGGTCCAATCGGCGGAAGCTGCTCAGTGAATGGCTGAGCATGCTTGATACGGGAGGGGTCATCAAGGGCAAGGATACCAAGGATGTCACCAGCCTCCAGGGTAGCACCAGGCTGCTTGATAAGTTGAACGATACCATCCTCCTGCGCAATCAAAGGCATGTACATCTTCATGACTTCAACTTCGGCATAAGGCTGGTTGGCGCTGACATGCTCGCCATTCTCGACCGTGAACTTTACTAGCTTTCCGGGAGAAGGACTACGAAGTTGGGTAGGGTCGTTCTCCTGTTCCAGCAAACAAGTCTTGCCATCCACACTGAGACGGGTAGCAGCAGCGTCCTCCTTCCAGTAGACGTTGTGACTACGACCATTGAGAAGGACAAGAAGCCCACCATCGGCCAAGGCACGCACACCAACAGAGCACTTAGATCCATTGATAAAGAGGTGGTAGCCATCAAGTCCTGCACGCGTAGCGGTGAACTTGTACCGCTTACCCTCATAGATGAAGTCCACTGGGAAAACAGTCTTCAGAACGTCCTTAGGCGGGACCTGACCCTTCGTGATGCCCTGGCGATATTCCGTGAGGCGCGACTCGCTAGCCTGGTGAGCCTTGGCGACAGCACCACACAGAACAGCAATAGTGGTATCGGGGCGCTCAGCAGTCAGCTTGTTGGAAATCAGCTGATCCAACCAACCAGTGGTTATCTTGTTCTCCTCGAAGGCTGGCGTCTCCAGTAGCTTGATTAGGTACTCAATGGTTGTTCGGAAGTCACCACGAATGCTCAATTCCTTAAGGGCAATGACCATGTGTTTCCGCGAAGCAGATCGGTTCTCTCCGTACGCGAAAATGTGACCGAATTGACTGTCGGAGAAACTATGAATACCACCCGAAGTTCCGACGGAGAAATAACCCCAGACGTTTGACGAACTACGGAAGTTCAATTCGTGCATAGTTCCGCTGGAGGGCTTGAAGCCCTCACCGGGGTCCTCGGAGGTAATACGGCAAGCAGTTGTGTGTCCCTTGGGCTGAGGGCGACGCTGGGTCTCCGCACTTCCTTCCTTGGAGAAGTCAAAGTCAATAGCGGCCGATGTGTTGGGGTCGACGCCATAGAGCAGACGAATATCGCGAATTCGGTGCAGAGGAATACCCATGGCAATCTGAAGCTGGGCAGCGGGCAAGTTCACACCAGTGACCATCTCAGTGGTGGGATGCTCGACCTGCAGACGGGGGTTGAGTTCCAGGAAGTAGAACTTGTCATCAGCGTGAGAATACAGGTACTCGACTGTACCAGCCGAGACATATCCCACGAGTTTACCCAAGCTCACGGCAGCGCGCTCCATAGACTGGAAAGTGTCAGGGTTCGCAATTGTAGCTGGAGCCTCCTCAATAATCTTCTGGTGTCGCCGTTGTACGGAACAGTCACGGCCGAACAAGGAAATGTTGTTACCATACTGATCAGCCAGCAGCTGCACTTCCAAGTGACGGGCGTTACCGGCGAGCTTCATGATGAAGATCGGTGATCCAGGAATTTCATTGGCCGCAGCATTGTACAGGTTAATGAAATCCTCTTCCCTCTCGACCTTACGGATACCCTTTCCACCTCCACCCTCAGAGGCCTTAACCATGACCGGGAATCCAATCTCCTTGGCTTTTGTGAGTCCCTCTTCCGGTGAGAATGTGCAACCACGGCTGTAAACATCATCTTTCACGGTAACAATGCCCGCATCATCGACGACCACCTCATCTACACCGGTTCCAGACCACGGGATGCAGGGGACTTCGGCATGCTGAGCAACAATTGTCGAGGAAATCTTGTCACCAAGAGAGCGCATTGCAGATGCAGGAGGTCCAATGAAGATGATCTTCTTGGGAGAGGCGGCGAGCGATTCCGGTAACCGGGGGTTCTCAGAAGCGTGACCCCAACCCGCCCAGACGGCATGAACATCCATCCGCTCGGCCACATCCACAATCAACTCAACGTTCGCGTAGTTGTTGTTATTCGTACCACCAGGGACCTGAGACACAGAATGTTAGCAAATTGCTTGGAATTTTGAAAAACCTGGTTGTTTCACAGGGTCACCTCATACCTCAACATATTGATCAGCCATGCGGATGTAGTCGGCGTTCGCCGTCAGATCTTCTGGCGTTGCCATCACTGTGAATTGAATGGCACGCTCGTTGCCAAAGGTCTCGTAGGCCCATTTTCTGACGGATCGGATCTCCTTGACAGCCGCGATACCGTTGTTGGCGATAAGGACCTAAAGGCGAGAAATTCCCCGGTCAGTCTCTCTCATAAATCAATGGCCACCGCCTCTTCAATTGTCGCTGGCAAAACCCACCGAAGTAATAACGGAGTGGCCCTCATGCTGGGCAACGAAGTCCTTGACGCTGCTCGGAGCAGCAGCATCCAAGTGGTTGCCACCAATGAAATGTGAAGGGAGGTTGTATTTAGCGGCTCGCGAGACGCCGCTTGGTGTTGCACCGTCGCCCATGATTGCAGTTGAAGTTTATTATTATGTATTAAACGCTTCCCATGCGATATATAGTAGGGTAGTCGAGGACGAGATCGGAGAATAGAGAGGAAAGCTGGCGGAAACAACCCGAAATCCTTGGGGGGGAATGGATACGGTCTTTCGTTCAATTCGTGAATCAACGGTAGGAGATCACACGAGCGGCTTCCTGAGAATCGAAGTGGAAAGAAGTGCCAGAAAAAGTTAATTAGGGTGGTGAGAAGCGAAGAGCATTCGTGTCGGGGTGGGATGCAAGAGGAGAGCTGGGCTGACAGAAACGTTAACCATAAAGTTGTCCTCCGGCCAGAAAAATGCAAAGCTACCACTCCCGCACTCCGATACGAGCCGTCGCAAACAGCCGCAGCGCAGAATGGGGGCGGGATGACTTACCACCAAGAGGGTTGAGGAGGAAAAGAAAATGAGGAAAGAGGAATGAGAGAAGAAAGGAATTCTTGTCTTTTTTTTTTCCCTCGAGAAAAATGGGGGATATGATACAGGGTGAGGCGGAAGAAGAAAAGGAAGAAAAAGTCCGAAGCTCACATCAGGGACGTAATCTGGATACAGGGCAAGTCTTGAATCTTTCGGAGTCCGGGACCGATTTCCCACCCCAATATGCATTGTTGGGCCACCCTGACCCTCTTCCCACCACTTTTCTCCCTGCCCCATTTGATGACGCTGGAGTCTCCAAAAAGGTTCCCTATCGTCTGCAAACTTCCAAAGTGACATCCGTCAGCTTGGTTTAGTTTGGGCCCGAGTATACCAGAGACTGAAGCTTGGTTTCCAATCAGACAAGGCCTGATTTGGACGGGACTCCAGCTCATAAGGCTGTAATATATTTCCACCCTATGTATTTTTTTATACGCAATTTGTCGATGTCTCGGCGGCGTTGAACAGCCCCTATCCACGCGCGGCCGATATGGCAACAATAATTGCCTTATTCCATAAAACCTCCATATGACTTCTGGAGAGAACATCACCATCTCATCCGAGGAGGAAGCCGGGCAAAGCTGATTGTCTTGGATGTGCTACGGTAAGATCATCAATACTCCGTGTTCGCACGGAGCTGAGTATGTCGGCTCGGCGCATTTTGTTCAGCGCAATCCCACAGCAGCCGGGATATGTTAAGCGACCCCAAACGCTCCGGTAATTTCAACAATCCATTCTCAAAGACTATCATATTTCTGAAAGGTCCTCAAATTGTTCTGAAAGGACTGGCTACTTCCTAATACATAACCATATACCCTCTCCCGCCGGCTCTCAGCACAATATTTGGAGATACGTACTGCAATCCCGTCAAGCCAATACAAGTGGTATCAAATGCCGGAAATAAACTAGCCACTTTTGGACGGTGTTGGCCCCGGTTAAGTATCCCACCAATTACAGGCACCAGATATGGGTTGGGGAGCTTCCCTTTTGGAAATGATCGGCCTCAGCAAATGGCCTGTCAACTAGCCATATATGGCATAGGGTGCATGGCGCCCCGTGGTCGAGGGCCAAGACCGCCAGCGGCTGGTGGAATCGGTTCTTCATCCTGATCCTGATCCTGATGCTACTGTACCTTGTTAGTGCACGCCGTCGCTTCTGATTTGGCTCTGCCCGTAAGCTCAAGCATTCGTGTTCCACGGCCTTCAATATCTATCCCTGGTTCTTCCTCTCGATAGACACTGGCTGATCACCTGTGTCCAGCGCCTTCTCAGCATCATACTCTGGCTCGCTGTGCATTGGCCATCTTGAGGACCTGGAAGTTTTATTCGGCAGTCCAGACCCACGGAGAATCGGCTGCAAGCAGAAGATCGATTTCCTCCAATGTCCGTTAGCTAGACTCTGGGTAGAGAGCCCACACTAATGGTCATGTCAGCAAACAAATGCCAAATCTCAAGCAATTCCAAGGATCAACTCACCAATAGGAATGCGGTAATGATAATAGTCACTGCTCCAAAAACATACTGCATGGCAGAGCAAGGGTCAATGACCTGAAGCTGTTACTGTAGCATGCGGCTTATCAAAGGCTGTAAAGAGCTGGTATACACGCCCGTTCCCTAAACTCCCGCCTACTACGCCCCATGCATTTCCTTTTGCGCGGATTATGAGAGGAAAACTCTCCGCGGGATATAGCCACGGAACTGTAGGCCAAGTAGCACTAAAAATAAAGGTGTATAGATACACCGTCGCCGTCGCAGCAATACCCCATCTCGTTTCCCACCCACGCAACGGAGTCAGCACAGAGTGAGCCTCTTCCCGCCGACCCGCCGTGCATAGCCACCGAGGAGATTCAGGGAAGAACCAACACCCACCCAACAGGACTGTAAGCATAATAACCTAGAAGGCAATGGGAAATCGCCATTGGAACTCAGAGCGACCATCGTCAATAAAACTTAGTCCGAATCCCCCACCAGTATGCAAACACTACTCCGAAGATATTGAGTGTGAACTCCACCGCAATAAACTAGCCACGAGACTGATAATCTGCAACCTCTAACCCGTAGACGGGCGTAATCGCATTAAGTATCTAAAATATATCCGAGAAATGAATATAATGAACCCTATGAACAGGAGAGGAGGGGTCTTTTACCAAAAACGAAAATCGCCAGCCCAGCAAGACAATTCACAGCTGCCAGAAGCCGGCCCTTCTGTAGTTTGGAAGTAACCTTCCACTTTACGCGCTCATCGTTGGCCATGGTTTTCTTCGCTTTGCACTGAATTGTGACCCACAAGGCGATCTCTATTTAGCAACAACTGGAGCATAAAGTAGTTGAAAAAGAAAGTAAGTCCGGAGTGCCGGGGCTCCCTCGTTTTAACAACCTCTGACACAGTGTCAGGAGATCTACCCATACCCCGTGGGGTTTATGACATGGAGGAGATGGAATGTGATCCCGGGAGATATTTGGAGTTGAAAGCATCTCGTGTCGAGGCAAAGGCTATCTCATACTCCAACGGCTCGGATGAAGCCGAACGGAACCCATGGGTCCAACCTATCCAGTACGTAGAAGATCGCCCATCGCGAGTTATTACAGCCCTGCTCTGCTGTCAGTATAACGAACAGAGGAATGGTTGGCTTGAATTATATATTATTCGAGGTGGTAGTATGTGGTACATACTCTAGGACATATATTACATATATATATTGGAGCCGGGAGGCTGGATATTCGCCCTTGCTTCTCCGACTTGCCAATCGCTAATTGTTATTTATTATTTAGTGTCAGTGCCGCCTCGGGCCACAACCATGGGTTTCCCTCGATACGACAACGCGGAGACGGTAGATCCGTGATATCTGAAAGAGGTCCAACTGCGGTAAAATCATGAATCAACCAGCCAAGAGGCGTCTACAATGTTAGTGCGCTGGGCGTAATAGAACTTCTTACAAATACCACCTACTCGGGTCACGATACTACGTCAGAAAGAGAAAACCATATTAGTCCTTGTAGATGATCAATTTCAAAGTCAGTGGGTATTATAACGCCTAAGACAACGATACACAGGACCAGAGGTACAACCAAAGAAATAGGTGCTGAGAAACAGCTTGGACGCCGATAGGACTTGAACTTTTTCAAAGTTTTGGCCCCCGGCAAACATAAAAAACGCCACACTTTCAGATACAAGTCTCTGACTGTACAGGTATGTGGTGATAGATATAACAAGAACCCCCCAATCTATAAACAAGTGGAGCAAATAACCCTTCCAAGGTACTCCGAGATCGGGATCTTCCAATAACACCATGAAAAGGGGACCAAAGATCAACAATCCGCATCCTGAACGGTCAAGTATGGTGATTAAACAGCGTGCCAGCCGTCAAATATCGTGAAATGAAAAACAAAAACCAAAGAGTTTACTGCACGCAGCAATCTAAAAAGTCTCACCCAAGTCGTTCGCTTTCTGCTTTGGTTTGGGTGGACCCATGGTATGTTCTCGGCGCAAGCCTCGGGGTGCTGGTATTCCAGAGACTGGTATTCCGGATACACCGCTTGTGGCTCGTTTCTTTAGGCCAGTCGGAGTGGAGAATGATGGCAGGCGACTAGGGCGAGCTTCACTCACTGTCGCGCGCATAGACATCTGCTGGGCAAGATCATCATCCTCATCTATGTAAGACATGCCATTGATTGGGGTAGACTGCCCCGCCGGGTTGCTGAGTGACGAACGTGGTCTTCGGCTTTCTGTTGTAGGATTGGTGGAATAGTGACCCAGAGGAGTCTTCGTACGGCTTTGGCGACTCTCTGGGCGATTTGAAGGCGTCACGCTGGGGTGAGTGCTGTGACTGAAAGAGCTGGAGAAACTCGTGCGACTGCTCGGACGGCTGTCTCCCTGAGTCCTAGTCCCGTAAGATGGGCGGCTTGATGTGAGATATGGAGGTGCGCCATCGCCTTCCCGAATAGACGAGCTGAAACTGCTGCCGCTCAGCCGCTTGCGGGGATCCCGACGCATTGAAAGATTCGATGCACCGGGACTGTCAGCAAGAACCGATCCAGCGCGGGAGGACGCGCGCGAACCGGACTCGGATGGAGGGGGTAGCTTGGATTTGGCGGATTGAACCCTTTCTTCCAGCTTCTGCATTTTTCCAATGAGTCCACGTATCTGATATAGCGAACCAGACTTCGGTATCCCAGATGGGCGGTTAGCGGCATTATTGTTGTTGTTGTTGTTGTTGTTGTTGTTGTTGGCGATACTGGTGTTAGCAGTGTTCTGCTTAGGAAGACTAGGTACCCGAGAACTGATCGAAGGGGTTGAGCGGCCATTGCTAAAAGCGAAAGAGGTCGACCGGGAGTGGGGCTGGAATCGCGGGGGTCTCTTGTCATATAGCGACCGCGTTCCGAAAGTTTCGGAGGACCCTGCAGCTTTCTGAAGAGGGAACCCTGAGGCGGCATTGAATGACCTGCGCATACTGTTTGACGTCTCAGACATGGGTGGTGATGGCGGTGTTGCATTTGCAGAGGCTAATGTCAGCGACAACTTCGTTGGCGGCGTAGTAAACATCGGTGAAGACACAATAGATTCTCCCGGCGAACGGTCGATTACTTCTGGAGTATGCGGCGTCGATGGGCTGCGACCCAAAGGAGCTGGACGACGGCGCCAGCCACCATTCCGAAGCTTCTCCTGAACAATATCGGTTTCGATCTTCAGATCATTCAACTCGTCCCGAAGTCGTTGATTTTCGATACGCAAACCCTCCCGCTCTTGCTCGCCATGTTTTACCTCTTCTTCCAGAAGAACCCCTCTCTCTATAGCCATATTAAACTTGGACTCCATATCCTCCAGGGATGAAGTCGTGTGACGAGCCTGGCGTTCATAATCATCATTTGCAACTTCGATATCCCGCAGTTTCAACTGTAGCGTCAAATTCGTGTCCCGCAGCGAGGTAATTTCTTTCTGGAGTGTATTCTGGGCGGTACTGGCTTCTGACTTGGATTGCTTGTATTTGGACTAGAAACAAACAAGCAAAGCGGTGAGTTGGTAACCCGAATACCGGGATGAATAAATTAGATCTTACCTTCCACTCATCCACTTCGTATCTCAGGTTGTCCACCTTTTCCTTCAGCTGTCGCTCACGCTTCTCAGACGCCTCGATTTCCTTCTCTAGCTCGGCCTCCAGTTCGCGACTGGAAGCCTGGAAGTCGGCGAGCTCGGACTCAAGTTGCTCATACTGTTTTTTGTAATGGGCCAGCTGATCCGATCGAGAGCTAGTCCCATTTGTGTGAGTTGAGGAAGGCTCATCGGCAGAAGGCATTATGCCCACACCAGGCGAGACCGGTGTAGGGGGCGCACGTTCCAGGGGTCCACGTCACAAGATCCCACCGATGGCGGTGCAGCGAAATGAGTTGACCGGCGGTTATAGAGTAAAATCAATGGTGCGTAGGCCAGAGACAAACGATCGAGATCATATATGCAGTGTCCGGTGTTTTGTTGGAGGAACCGACGGGGCTGGTGGTTGGAGGGGCCGAGGCGGTGTCGCAGCAAACGGGAGATCGATTGCGACGATGGACTTCGCGGGGAAACAGGAGGTGGCAGAGGAAACGAGCAGAAAAGAGTGGAATAATAGCCCCAGAATTGACTTACCTTTCGCGCATCCCTCACAGAGGGACGAGGGCTGCTGTGGTTGTGGTCGTAAGTAGTGGAGGGGGTTTGTTGATGTCGATGATGTTGGGGGAAGGAGATGTGATACACGGCCCTGGGAACCCATGTGGATGCGCTGTGACCACGGGAACAACAACATTATTGGGCTAGTCCCAGATGGCAAAGTCCCAGCCCGGCTCCAGGCGGTGGCCACGGCCCGCGATCCTGCTAAGGCCCAAGGGGCTTAGCTGGTTGGGTCTTGTTTGTTTTCAGGCAGCAAGTGCGTGGCACTAGTGGCCGCAGTGTGCTGCTATCAGTACAAACCACCCTTGGTGCAGCAACAGAAGTACTCTGCCTCGTAAGCTCGTAACTGTCGCTGAGCCACGGGAACTTGCATACGACAGGTTTAGCCTGAGCTCCGACCATGAGTCTATTCAAAGCACCGAACTCCTCTTGCTATCTTGATAAAATCTGGATAACGAGTCTTGGACAGGATCCAAACTCAGCAAAAGTATACTCTGTGAGTCTATATGTTGATCCTCATAAAAACCAAGTCTTTGGTCTTTCTGGGTACCCTAGGTGAAACAAATATGCAACAAATTGTAAAGTATTCCCTCCAGCTTTAATAACCATACTATCCAAGGGGTGTTCGAGATAGAGTACTTGAAGAGTACATCGGTCGGTGTACGTGTCGGATATGCCTGTCTTGCTATTGCCACGGAAAATGTGGCTGTCTCGGACGCAACACGTGACCTAGATCATGTGATGCCCAGTGAACACACACTTTGTTGCCAGACTCACTTCAGCCTCGCGCTGCCACTCGCAGCAAGGCTTGATGTTCCTGGGATTGTTGTCCATACGGGTTTATGAATTCATGATTGGGATAAGAAACATATCGGTCTATTAATATTTGCAAATTTTTGGTGAGTTTTTTCTGTTTTGGATCGGCTGGGCTTCCTTGTGTGGCTCTGGTCCACTCATCTCGAGATACACCTGCTGTCTGCTATAACCACGCACGAGATCACCTCGGGTTCCCATCCTTTTCTTCGGCACTGCTTCCACGCACTCCTCAGCCCAACCCTGAGGAGCCGGACTGTCTTTCACTTTCGTAATGCACTGGGTGGAATGGCCGCTTCGATGATGCTGATGCCTGGCTTAGAACTTCTCTAATCCGAGGGGTTGACACAACTCGTGCCGCCATGACGGACCCCGCAGATTTGAATCTCGACGCGCCTAGCGACCTTCAAGACATTCCAGATATGTCAATGGAGCTTGTTGCGCCGCCCGAAGGGACCTTTCCAGACAAGTGAGTTCCTGTTTCTCTTCTGTCGATCATCCGTAGTAGCCTGAGGACCGGCCGCTAAAACTAGTGTAATCGACCAGAGCATCGCTTCTTGCCTCAGTACAAGCGCATGCGAAAACTCACGGCTACAATGTGGTAGTCAAATCGTCTAGTACTCCCACTGAGAAGAAACCAGGCCGGACAGCTAAGGTCTGGTTACGGTGTGACCGGGGTGGACACTATCGTCCACGAAACGGTCTTACCGAGGAAACGAGGAAGCGGAGACGAACCTCCCGTTTGATGGATTGTCCATTTATGTTAGTTGCAGCTGGAACTCCTGGTATCTGGACTTTGACTGTCCTAAATGCTACCCACAATCATGGCCCGATTATTGAGAAGCCACGACAAGTTCCTCATCACAAAGTCCGGAAGGGACAAATCGCTGCCGTCCCATATGACTGGCCGCACGATGCGACGCTCACACCGTATACCACAGCACTGGTTATTATTGACATGCAAAAAGACTGTTAGTAACTGCCACGTGGTTTTCAGTTTAGCCGTCTTTGCTGACTATAAAACAGTTTGTGCACCAGGAGGATATATGGAGTTTCAAGGCTACGACATATCCGCCACACGTGCATTGATACCAAAACTTCAGGAGCTTCTAAATTCGTTTAGATCTGCCGGGTTCCCGGTCTATCATACGCGTGAAGGTAAAACAATTACCTAACCCCACTGAAGCCGAACTAACATCCTCCAGGTCATCGGCCCGATCTCTCAACGCTCCCAAGCCGAGAAGCCTTTCGGTCTCAAAACAATCCATCCGGGTTAGGTATCGGCTCTCCGGGACCGCTAGGCCGTCTCCTAATCCGCGGTGAACTGGGTCATGATACCATTGACGAACTGTACCCTCTTCCTGGTGAACCTGTAATCGATAAACCCGGACGAGGAGCGTTTGCACACACAGACTTTGAACTTCTCCTTCGCAATAAAGGTGTAAAGAACCTTGTTATTGCAGGCGTAACGACAGATGTATGTGTGTCCACGACGATGCGCGAAGCTAACGACCGCGGCTTCGATTGTCTCCTCTTAGAAGATGGTTCTGCCGCGGCCGAACCGCCTTTACACGTCAACACGCTGGAGTCAGTAAAAATGGAAGGAGGGATTTTTGGCGCAGTTGCAAAGCTCGACGACGTTGTACATGCGGTGGAAAACTTCAAAAATGTAACCGTGAAAAAGCTGGCCCCTCAGATGACTTCTTGAATTTCTTGACTTGTATTTGGATCAACAGTTTCCGCAGTTTTAGCGTTCTCTTAAGCCCCGAGTTTAAAAATGGACATTATCATTGTACCAGGACCATGGAAGCTCAAAGCACCATAAAACGCCGTCGCCAACTTAGACACAGAATACAATAACCAACTCTTACAAACCACAAGCAATACCGCAACAAAGGCCCTTAAACCGGAGAGGAGAGGAGGAGAGAACAGAATAGGAGATGCACAAAGGAGAATCTATAACCACTTCCTCCCCGCAGCAGAAACCTTACTCCTGAAAACAGGACTCCGTACCTCCATCCCTCTCTTATAAAACGGACTCATCACCGTCTTGACATAATTCTCATACACCTCCGTCATAAACTGCCTAACGGCCTCCTCGGTCTGCGGCGCCGTCGGATTCGCAGCTATAGAACTACTCGACGTGCGACTCGAGGAGCCCATCCCCGAACCCCCGAAGAGCCCAGAACCGCCCATTCCTGACGACGTGCTCATACTCATTGAGCTCCCCGCGCCGCCGGACGCAGATGAAGCGGGGATATTGGGTTGTGGGGGTTGATGCAGGAGGAGAAAGCGCGTGCCCGAGGGGGTTAAGAATGCAGAGATGTACGTAGATGCTGGCGGGTATGTGTCGATATGTTTTAGATACCTGTTTTTATTCTAACATTAGCTCCGTACTTGAACTCCATCTCGCCCCGCAATTTCAATCAAACCCAATGTAATGGAATGCGGTTGAAGAAAGAAAGGTAAAAGCGCATATAAAATAACAGCAAATACACATACATATTCCCACCCATCCACTGCGCCTCCTCCAGCATATCTAAACTCGAGTGGATAATGAACTGCGTCATGTACGTATTCTGTGCGGCCTCGGGGAAGCGAAAGCGGGCGATGCCATCGCCGCCGGACTTCGAGGTGCCAAAGGCAATGTTGAACAGTGGGACATCTGTCGGCGAGAGAATTGTGAAGTAGTAGGACATGCTTGTGCTCTTTTGTTGCGCAATTGGGGATATGTATTAAGTTAGGTGGTGCTAACAAGCTGCGGAGCGGAACCAGCAAGGTTGTCTATTTACACTACGGAACGGAGATCGTGGCGGAGATAGGAGGGATTCAATCACGTGGCGATACGATAAGAATCCAGTCACGTGATGCGATTGAGATTCAGACTGACGTTGTTCGGTTATTGATATTCCTTTCGTCAGTCGCTGAATTGGAATTGTCGACTTTGAACATAAAATCGAGCACACAAGAAGAATGCCGCCGCCGCTATCAGGTCTCAGCCTCGCAAAGAAAAACCCGCTTGGAGGCGCGAACCAAAAGCGCAAAAAGGCCGTTTTCGACTCGGACTCAGAGGATGAATCGCGCGCTACGAACGAGACGGAGATTACCGCGATAGGTGGACTGACCGATGAACCGGCTGCTGAAAAGCCTACAAAAAAGAAGCCTTCGCTTGACGATGATTCCGACGGACGGCCACCGAAGCGCAAAATCGTTTCGTTGGGACAGGGCGCGAAACCGAAGATTAAGCCATTGAGCAAGACATCGATATTTGCGGATGATGACGAGGAGGGTGAGAATGGCGGCGACAATGGGGACAGTAAGGATGGGAAGAAGGATAAAAAATATGGATTGAATGCACCCGCGAGTCGAGAATATACGAACCTCTCTGCCCTACACAGTAGTAAGAAGCATGTTTCGGAGGCGCAGGATCTTGATCCCTCAATTTACTCTTATGATGCTGTGTACGAGAGTCTACATGCGAAGCCAGAAAAGAAAAATAAGGGCAATGCCGAAGGAGAGGATGGTGTACCGAAGTACATGACATCCCTGCTGCGAAGTGCGGAGACTCGGAAGCGGGATCAACTACGGGCTCGGGATAGGATGTTAGCGAAGGAGAGGGAAGCCGAGGGTGATGAGTTTGATGATAAGGAGAAGTTCGTGACGAGTGCGTATAAGGCGCAGCAGGAGGAACTGCGGCGGGTGGAGGAGGAGGAGAAGGCAAGGGAGCAGGAAGAAGAAGAGCGGAGGAAAAAGAATGGTGGTTCAGGAATGGTTGGGTTCTACCGGGACTTGCTGACACGTGGAGAGGAGCAACACGATGCTGTCATGAAGGCAGCCGATGAAGCGGCAAAGAAGATCCAGGAGACTGGCGGCGAAGTGCCGATGGATACAACAGAGGAGGAGAGGACGGAGGCACAGAAGGCAGCGGAGTTAAATGCCAAGGGTGCTCACATCGTTGTCAACGATGACGGACAGGTTGTCGATAAGAGACAACTGCTTTCGGCGGGCTTGAATGTTGCACCTAAACCCAAGACCGCTGGCCCTGCTCCGTCACGAACGGCACCTGGTACTGGCACTGGAGCCAAATCACGGTTCGATTCTCGACAGGCTGGAGGGCGTGGGGGACAGCGCGCTCGCCAAACCGAGATGATCGCGCAGCAGCTGGAGGAACAAGAGCGACAACGCCAGGAGGCCGAAGCTGCACAACAGAAGGATATTGCGGAACGCAGTCGCAGCCAGAAATCGACTACGGATGTATCCAGTGCCCGTGAACGGTATCTGGCACGTAAGAAGGAGCGAGAAGCAGCTGCCAAAGGGTCGTAGATACTACGGAACTACGTGATGTATTTTATAGGATTAGTAACATTATATACGGTGCATTAAAGGCGTTGGTGCCATGGATAGCAATTCGTTTTATTGGAAATCATGAAATTAACGCTAAGACAGTAAGGCTATTGTACTTTTAATAGGTTGTGTGGCTGCGTTCTAGTCGTAATTATAATAGTATCGTTACTCGTCGCACAAGTCAAGTGCCGCGAATATAACTCCAGAGCAAGATGCACCGAGCGAGCTCTTAAAATACCCAATGAAGCGGAGAAAACCAAGCAAACCCAAACGCCGTGTATATAAATCACGCCGTCAATGCAAAACTCAGACCCATCAGGCCCATGCCCCCAATAGCAAAACCAATCGCCATGTTCCGCTGATGCGTCAAGACTAAGCCTTCGGTAAAAAGCTGCAAGCCGACAGAGACCATAACCCCCGCGGTAACGGCAAACATACAGCCGTAGATAGCCCAAGAAGTCTCATTCTGGCCATCGCCTGCGCCACTACCAGCCTTCCGCGCACCCCAAATCCAAAGAGCCGCAAGACCAGCACCGGCGGGCTGGCTAATGCCTCCTAGAAGACTGGACCAGAACATTGCCCAGCCGCGAGAATGAATGGCTAGATAGAGGGGTAGTGCCATGGCGAAACCTTCACTAATGTTATGGATGAAGAGAGCTAGGAAAACTGTCATCCCGAGAGTTGGACTTGCATGGTTAGTGGCATAGGTGATGAAACCCTCAGGTAGTTTGTGCAGCGCAATGGCTACAGAGGTTTGTAAGCCGATAGAAAGAAAGGCATTCTGAGGTACGTGATGGTGATGTTGGGGACCAGAAACCGACTGCTTAGGCTGTTCATCGTGTTCAGTGGCGGGCGAGGATGGGCCATTGTCCACCATATCCACATGGGAGGAGCAACTGGAATTATTCGGTGAGTGCTCAGGTGGTGGAATGTCTGTATCAGAGGCATCGTCTGCGGTAATTCCAGGGTGGATAAGTGTCTTTGAGCACTCGTCCCCGCAAGCTTGCGAAAACCCATAGCACGGGCCATTTTCATCGCAATGAGCCTTCGCGCCCCCAATGAAACCACTCAAGCGCCGCCCGAGGCGGACCCGCCAGGGTTCTGGTCCCGAGCGGGCAACTCCGTCGCCCTGTTGTTCTGCCATGGGAAGGCCAGCCGCAGATGACGTAGATTTGGGTGATCTAGTTAAGAGAGGAGTTCTCTCCGACATTAGGTTATGTTTTCGAGAGATTGTAGAGGTGTGCTTGGGTTTGCCATGTTCGAGGTCGGGGCCGCGGTGGGGTGCAGGCTCATGAGTATGAGCACAATCGACCACATGAGATGGAAGAAACTTATGTAACAAGCCTGAGAGGAAGCGAATCCCGACCACTCCAGCGATAAAAAGACCAATGAGCCCGTATGCAGAGTGAGAGGGCGACCAGCCAGCCTTCATTAAGTATTCGTGGGACGTGGGGAGCATGCTATATAGCGAGGTGAAAAGCTGGAAAGTCAACGTCAGCAGGGGCCACAAACTTGGCCGAGTAATTAAAATTAACTCACGATGACACCTGCGCTGAGGGAGAGCGATGCGGACAGGAAGGCATTATTGTTGACGACCTGGAAGTGACTTTGAGGCCAAAAGCGGCGAAGGATGATGTCGACGCAAATGACGGAGGACCCGAGGATGCAGGCTGGATAATTAGCTTGGAAACAGGTATATCAGCGGCAGATACTCACCGGCGCCCGAGACAGCGCTCATCACCCACCCCCGAAGGTCGTTAGAGGCAGCCATGGGAGTGAGTGGTTGGAGTCTGGGAAGCAAAGTTGGAGAAGAGGCAACCCAGAGATATGACGGCGATATTAGATAATAATTGAGTATCAACTGTGGGGTATCTCGAGTACGCAGTAGAATGTCGCGACACACCGAGGTCGACTCAGCAGCTGAGTCTCCGGAGATACCTTACCGACATCAGGGGCGCTGTGGGATTATAAGACAGGCAGAGTGGGAGAGAGAGTGGGAGGGAGAGAGTGAGTGAGGAGTGAGGACCCTGGGGATGATTGACGCCGCTTGGGGAGATCTTCGCGGTCCGTCCTCCTGCCTTTGCTCTCTCCCTTTGGGCTCAACTCCGTTCTCTTTGCCGCACCTCTTTCATCGACAGTTTTCTTGGTCATGGCGTGTTTAATCTCTCTGGCCATTCTCCGAACGTCAATGCAGCTTTGTCCGCACGGGGGGAAAGCGACGAAGGAGTCCAGTCTCATCCTCCCGCGCTTTGACTCGCGTCAAGCTCCATTGATCAGCCAGTCATTCGCCCCAGATTTCAAAGCAGATGGCCGTGTCTACAGATTTTCCGCATAGGTTTGCGCTAGTTCAACCACATTTCATTCTTAACTAGCGACTGTGTTGGCGGATTTTCAGGAAACAAAATCCAGTATGGCAAGAAGGATCAAACGAGATAGCGAGATGAGAACATCAAAATTCAGACTCCAACCTCAAGGGATACTGGGCAAAATGCCAGAAATAGAAAGAAAAACGTCCCAGAAATAAGAAACAGTACGGCAAGGAAGAACAAACGAGATAACAACGAGATCGAGAAGATCAAGATTCGTACTCCAACATCTAGGAGAATAGACAAGATACCAGAAAATGGAAAAAAAACGTCCAGCAAAACTCAAGAAGAGAAAGATTTAACAGCAACTCCTGCTTTGGGGCAGCCAACGCCCTCCACCACATTCACCTTCCTCTCAGCCCCAACGTCCTGTACTACGGGGGCTGCGTCGGCCTTCTTCTTTCCCTTCTTCTTTTTCGTCTTTTTCTTTCCCTCTGCCTTCTCGGGGCTGTCCTGCACCTGGACTCCCTGGTTTTGTTCCGCATGCTCGTTGTCGCATTCGCATGGGCCAGGCAAAACCTCACCATGATGACAGTACGTGCAGTTTGCTCCCCTGCACCCTATTCCAAAACTTTTGTGGAGACCATCCATTATTTCAGACACCATTTCGTAGGTATTAAGCTTATTCCGGCGGAACTTTTTCCTTGATTTCATTTGAGGAGCGAACTCTTCATAAAACATTTCGAAAAGAATCTCCAAAAAATCCTTCTCAGGGTCGATACAGCCGGAGTCCGCTTGTCGTTTGTGACGTTTGCGGTTTTCACGATCCTCTCGACGTTTTTGCTCCATTTGCTTCATCCCCATGACAGCCCGATAACAGCCCGGGTCGCGGCACATACCTGAAGGTGACATAGCGTCGATGTTAAGCTTCGGCGGCGCAGGATCCGGACCGTCGATGATCTCCCATTGTTGTTCAGTCCCATTACCGCCGGGGCGAAGACGATAACGAGAAACCCGCAAGTATCCATTCGGTTCTGCATCCAACATGAACAAGATTCTCCTGTCGTACTTATCGTCTCCCTTCAAAATTGAATCTGCCTCCATAGGAGTACTGAGACCCCTGTTAGTGACTCCAAATCCCGGCATCATCGCCATGCACTCTTGCCATTGCGAAATCCGACGTTGCAATCTACTCCCCGGTCCCTCTGAAATCAGAGCTAGCTCTCTTGCATGCTTGAGAAAGCAGTGCGCTCTTGCTAGGTCAGAATGATGGCCCGCGATAAGAGCACAGTTGACCCAGAGATTGACGAGCCGGGGATCATTCGTCCTCACATATTGAACCTGACCGGTTAGTGCGGCCGCAGCTTGGAAAGTGACAGCCGGTTTGTCAGTTATGTTGCCCGGGTTGTGAATCCCATTTACGAGACGTTGGTATTTGGACAGTATTTTGTCGGCATCACAATCCGGAATCTTGCAGGACCGACAGTGGCACCGAAAGCCGAATCGCTGCATCGTATTCTTCTTTCTCATCCTTGCCGTTCCCCCTGTCTGCATGTATGGGATAGTAATCTCCTCGCCGGCCCGAATGCCTGAACAAGCGCGAATAATTGCCCTTCCGAGCTTTGGCTTCTTATTCCATCGCACCTGCCCATGCCTATCCGTACCGTACTCAGTAGAAAGCGATAAAGTGCAATTTGGAATGCAGGCATGGTTTGCCCAGGCCAGGTTCAGACCCACAATACCGCCAACCTTCCCTTCCCAGGATATAGGCAAATGGTAGTGTTCCCAATTAGCTGTCAGAACACCAAGCTTCCGCTCACGCGCTGATGGCCTCTTCTTTCCGGTCATTCTTGACCTTGCCATCAGGAGGAATGTTCTGTACCAATCCTCGCCCATTGCCTTCGACTTGCGTTCAAGCATTGCGTGGGTGTCATGGAGAGTCTTGCAAGCATTTTGCTCGCGAGACCATACAGATATGAGCTCATCCGCAAGGATGACGGACCCTGCGGGGATGTTCTCCGTAGCAAATAAACCCCACCCAACACGTTCGTTAATGAAACGTACCTCGAAGGCATTCGTGATAGGCTCCCTGACCTCGTATTTGGCGTTGGGGGTGAGCATTGAGAGGTCATCGATCTGAAGATTAAGACCACAGCCGCTTTGACCAGTCGCAAGGTTGTGTTCGTTCATTAGAGGCAATCGGAGGAGCTCGGGCGGTAGTTCGTCTAAAGGTATAAGCCCGGGCATACTGGGGGACGGAGGCGAAGACAGGTAGTGAGAAATGAAATCTGGAGGGCGAAGAATTATTGCGCCTGCATTATCTGCCTCTGAGCCGCAGATCTGTCGCACACTTGGTTCTTGCTGCTGATGCTGACTTTCGGTTGAAGTGTGTTTGACCGAAGCTTCTTTCTGGTTTTCGCCGCTGATGCTGTCGTCGCTCTCGAGATTAGGCTCATACTTGGTTTCATACACAGGTCCATTATCAGACACAATACTCTGCTCAGGCTCAAGTTTCTCATAGGCCCCAAGTTTTGGATCAGGCATAGGTTGCCACCCATGTTCAGAATCTTGATCACCAACAGCCTCTTGTTCAGGTATAGATGTTTGGTCAGAGACAGGGTACTCATCCGACTCCGATTTCTGCTCAGACTCAGCTGTTTGCTCAAGCTTCCATTCCGATACAGGAATCGGTTCAAGAACAGGTTTTGGTTCGACAGGCCTTAGTTCAGTTCCTTGCTTCTTTTCGGAAACAGGCTTGTCCTCTGATACCTCTTCTGCGGCCTCCGGCATTGAGTCGGGCTCAGCTTCAGCCTTGGCTTCAGTCTGGACGGTTGTTCGGGCCCTTGTGGTACCTGCAGTAAAGCGAGATGTAGTCAGCGATCAATCCTGTAAAAGTAAAACACATATCCTCATAGCTAAACGCAAGAACAATTCACTTCGTCTTGTTTTTCTTTGAAGCCAATGTAAACAACAGTGCTATGATGTGAAGGGAGCTCACGTGATCCGAGAAAACCTAACAACTCATTCATGAGAATCAAGAGGAGAAGCTCAACCCACTCCCTCACATGCCCGTTCTCATTGAGTCCCGACACAATAGACGACACAGATGCTGCCCAGGTCTCCGAACTGACGCTGGATAGTGCCATTAGTGCGTTGGTGAGAGTCTCGATGAGGTGCATGGGGAGTGAGGTTTGGAGGAGGGGGTTGGCACCAACAGGTGCAAGTGGGGTGCTAGGCGAGGGCAGGGAGATAGAGGATGTGGAGGAAACTGAAGGGTTTGACAGGTAGTTTGGTATGTTGTTCTCCATTTTGAAGAAAGCCTCGAGGGCTGTTGGTGAGGTTGTTGTGGTTCAGATGAAAGGGGATGGTGAGGATGGGGTTGGAGTGGGTGTGTTAGGGGTAGGGAGGCAGAGGCAGGAAGATGAAAGAGGGAGAGAAGAGATGAAGACTTGTTTTGGGGGGAAACTGGAAAGCAAGGTTGAGTCGTGCTGTGAAGCTGTGTTCTCGGCGACGACTAAGACCTATCACCACCAGATCACCATGGTGAACGAAATGGGGTGAAGATAGTGAGGACTCGAGAGACCAGATTGAATAAGACAAAGCAATGTAAGCCACGGAAGGAAAGACATGAATAATCATAATATATTAAATTCTGACTTTTGAATTGCCCATACTATATGCTGCTGTTTTTACCATATATGCCAACCATCCATGCCAGTGCCACCAACAAGCCCGTTGTAATACTATATCGACCCAAAAAGAATGATAATCCGCCCACTCGACCATGCAAGTACCATAAAAACAGCAAACGGAAAGAGAAGAAACATAAGTAATATCAGACCACAGTCGACTTTCAGTCTACCGAGTCGGCTCCGGTGAGGAAAGGCAAATGCAAAACAATAAAAGGCGCTGAACAAGTAACCAAAGAGAAGAAAATAAACGAAAGGGTATAAATGTCGTCACGAGAACAAGGATTCATGGACTATGGTCGACTAGAAAGGAAAACACTCATGCGTGTAGGGGCTGCGGTAATGTTGGCGTCTGGTGTTCATCGACAGCGTCCTTCGACACTGATGTCTGACCCTCATGGATGACCGTTGATGGTGAAATGGGTTTCTGGGATATTGTGGACATGGCACTCTCAGAACGTACTGAGCGCGTGTCTAGTTTATCGTCGACTTTCTCCTCAGATAGCCTTGGTGGAACTGGAAGGTCCATCGACGCTCTCAATTCAGAACGGACAGATTCGCCACCACTGACTAGATCTGTGTCGGACGCTCGCGGTTCTTCCAACGGAGTAGGCTTTCGAAGTTTGAGGCGCTCTTCTGGCGGCATGTTCTGCCAGTCGGACCCAAACGTTACAACCGAAGCCTTTTTCCCATGCACAGTGAAGCTGCCCCCCTTACGCGACAGGCCGCCGCCGCCCCCTTCGCCTGTGCTTTGACCGTCTTCCGCTGCAGCACTTTGTGTGGAGTCTCGTTTTTTACTTCGGGGGTAATTCCCATGATGGCCGCTGGATGAATCGCGTAATGTGCGGTGGAAGCTGTGACGAACTCGACTCATCCGATCACCATGAGATCCGTCATGTGCCTCATCCTTCTTTGATTCGGAATCCACACTCTCCACAGTAACGGATCCTTTGCGGGAGGGTGAACTATTCACATCCAACAATCCGGCCTCCCGCAAAAGACGTTCCTCGCCGTCATCTAAGCTTCCGGGAAGCGTCAATTTGGAGGTTTTGGAAGCTAAACTCGCAGCATCCACTTTGCTGCCAGAGCTGAGCACCGAAGGGTCACGCTCCAAGCTTGTTGGATGGGGAGAAACTGATTTCGTTCGCTCTTGAACATTATCAATTGACAGTGCTCTGCCCCCACGTAACAAGAGGTCAGGTGAAGTCACGGAAGTAGCAAGGCTAGGCCGGCGTACGCCACCCGAGCTAGACGCCGGGGACGATATTTGGTTGACGGATGGTGGTTTCTCGGGGGGTATGCTGGGAGGCTTGGCAGTCATTGGCGACGCCTGCTTGTCCCCGTTGAGCTCTCCTGCAGCCGATTCGGACAGAGAGGAGTTGGATTTTGGTATTTGCAAACGGAGGCCATGCGATTCTGGCGATGTGTGCGGTTGTTCCTCCTCTATATCCAAATCGCGGACCAGGACCTCTCGGTGGCTTTTGGTACGCCAGATATCCTGCCTCACCCATTTGAGCTTCGCTGCCATACGGCCGGCAGCCATAATCAAATTCTCCCTTGCTCGCGAGTGGACAGGAGTCAGCACTTGTATATGCCTAGCGTTCCTCAGAATTTCGTCTAGCTGCTTTTGGGTGATGAATAGCGATTCATTTGCCTCCCTGATTTTCTGTTGAATCAATTGGTTGCGAGCTGTCATCAACTCATCGCTTTCGGTGCCCTCACAGGCTGGATCTTTATCCATGGACATCCGTGATATATCAGACTTAAAGGAGGGCCGACGGCTCATCCGATTCCGTTGAGCATCGTACTTCGTGACGGCCATGCTTTTGGTCCCAACTCCTGTTGTTCGGAAGGCTGCTGCGTAATTCAATTTTGCCAGCCAGTCATTCATGTCTGCCTCATTGTTGGCCAAAAAGACTTCCTCAAGGGAGTTCCGGCGCACATATACAAAGGCGTGCTTATGTTTCTTATAGCTGGTGTCGAGGAGAGCCACCGCATTATCCGTAGACATCATCCCAACGGGATTGAAATTGGTTAGCGGAGGCCTGAACACCACGCCGCGACGACGTCCTTCTCTCCGATGAGTATCACACTGAGCCATTAAGGACTTTACCCAATTCACATCCTTGAAAAAATACAAGTGGGACAAGGTCAGTAAGGCACCCCATTCCTGCCACGGAGATCGTGCCCGTTTCTTTTTCGGGTCTTTGCGCCAGAGCAATCCGACCTTGGCCACCTTGATATCAACTAGTCCAGGGTTGGAATCGGCAGGATTTTCCATACTAGCTGGCATAAAAGCATCTGGTCGCGATCGTGCGGAGACGATCTGCAGAATAGATGACTGGGCAAAGGCCCTGTGCAAACTGTCCATATCTGGTGGTCCTGTGGTTGGGTTGCAGTGGTATGGGTCTTCTAGGTTCATGACATCCCCGAGACTTGGTCGCAGAGTGTCAAGCTTTCCATCCATAATTAGCGCGTAGGGATCAACAGGTTCTCTGGCCACGCGGGACAGATTCTCGGCGCTTGGAACCCGAAATAAGGCCTTTTTTGGTTTTGTTAAGTGACGGGTATTGTGGTTGGAGTCCTCGATGCGAATGAAAGGCGTATAAGAGATATTTTCGTAAAAGCATTCCAGAACATCCTCCGATACACCTTCGCCGCGTGTATTCTTGACATAATCTCCCTTCTGCATCTTGCGCTTGTTGTTCTTATTAAACACATCTGTGTGTAGGATGAGAATGGAGAAGGCAATGAAGTATGCTTGATCTGGACAGTAAGTGAATATAAGTCAATATGCAATTATCGGTAAAAGGGGTGGATGGCGGCGCACCTGTAGACGCGAAAATCCCCGGGTTACACTCATGATATCTGTCTGCGAAGCTCTGGAGGAAACGATCGATTTGCTGCGTTTCCTTGGGTAGCTCCACTTCCATTAGGAGTTTTCTAATGGACATATCGATAGGATCGCCAAAGAAAGCAAACCCCCGCATGAACTTTCGCAACGCGGTTTTATAAAACTCCTCCCCGGATTGGGAAAGGACTCCCGCAATTGCACTCCTTGGAATATTCTCCTCGAGCCGCGTGAGGTATGTTGCGGGGTTGTCACCTTCTTCTCTCTTTGGATAAGATTGGACTTTCGCAAGTGGTGTTGGCGGGCCTTTCGTGCCACTAGGTGACCCGTTGTTTCGAATATAACCAGGCTCCGAATTTTGCCTCAACCGTTGTGAAATACCGAAAATGTCACCAAAACTCTTGCGGCCAGTGGTCGAAAATGAGGTTCTTCCAGATGACGGCTGGTTTGGGGATGGTTCTTGTTCAGCATCGCGCATGTTGGTGACCGAATCCAAAGTCGATGACCTGGTTCTGCTTTTGAATGGACCACGAGCCGACGGTGTGGAGTGGGTCGAATGGGCAGAGTTGGATGAATCCTTTCGAGATATAGTCGGACGCAGGTTTGATAAACCAGCAGATGACCGGGAGGGAGACGGCAACGGGGAAATGTGATCTTGTCCATCTGAAGCGTCGGAGCCCCGAGCTGGCCCGTCAGGAACGGACCGAAACTGGGTTAAGCCCGGTGCATGTGTCTCGCCCGACTGCGATTCAGTAGGTTTTGGAGGTAACGGGAATTGAACACGGTTTCTTTTCAGGCGGGGCATGCGAAATCGCTTCTGACTAGAAGCTGTGCCTCCGATGGGGGAGTTCGTTCGAGAAATACCATTACCGGCACTTTGATCAGAGCGAGAAGATTCGGAGTACCGGGCATCTGCTACTGAAGAGCGATGTGAATTGGGAGGTCGATCTCGACCACCACTACTCCGAATCGACGTTGTTGAGAGGCGTCCCGGCGCTTCGGTACTGTTACTCGAAGTTGCCAACGTCGTATCAGCACTCTGCGATCCCGCTGAATCTTGAGATTGCTTTGCCTTGTCATTCGGGGCAGCATGCTGCTCCGGCAGTTCGTCCATAGACAACTTTCTAAGGTCCGGAAGAAAAGTGAACTTTCCCTTTCGCTTCACAGGTTGGTCCAACTCATGACTTGTAGGCGCGGTAGTAATTATGGTAGGGGCTGTAGCATAAGCGAAAAGAACAACATTAGCAAGCTGGAAAGAGCGGCAACCAAACCGAGCCAGTTTTCACTTACGCGGAGGTATTTCAGGCACTGGCGGAGTCTGAGTTTCCCCTTTGGCATATGTTTTAGACAATTGAGGATCAGAAGCATGACGAAGTCTCATGAGACTAAATCTATTCCCGCGCCGATTCAAGGTATCCCGACTGGACTGTAGACCGTTTGGACTCTTGTTTTTGAAAGACGGATTCCCCGCAGCGGGGGCGCCATTGTTGCGCTCTCTTGGTTCACCTCGATCATCTTCTGGGCCTGTGGGGGTTGTAGTGCGAGGAGAAGACTCAGACGCTCTCGATGGAAGGTTGGTGGTTGAGAGCGTAGAGCGAGTAAGCTGCTCGCTGTGGCGGGCCTGTAGCTGAGGCTCGGTCAAGTTTCGCTTCGATTCACTGTCATATAACGCGCCCAGTCGTAATCCTTTCCAATGCATGACGATGGCAAAGCCTTATCCTATATTATCCTACAATGAGGAATGGCTGAAAGACCCATAAGCAATCCCTTCAATCACATCCGTACTTGCTTATGTATTGATGCGGTCGGAGGAAGCGTGAGTGCGTAGAAAGGCGCTTGGTTTCAGGTTGGATATGGAAGCCACCTCTAGTAGGGAACAGTTGACATTGCGAGAGGACGAAGCGGAGTTACGGAGGCAGTCGGTCAAGGCGACAAGGAGGGGGGGAGAGCAAGCTGACGATCGATGAAGCAGGAGTGAAACCGGGCGAAAAGGGGGCGAAGGGGTACGGGAGAGCCGATCAGGAAGAAAACAATAAACGTAACGGTTCCGAAGCAATGGTATAAAGCAACCACCTAGACCCTTTTTCACATTTCTTGGCCGTAAATCGTGGATAGAAGAATAAGCTGAGACGACGCGCAATGGACAGTGTGAGAGGGGAGATGACGGGCGTGGATTGAACCAAGGTACTTTGGCGAGATTAGCTTGGGCGGGGAGGACCTCGGACAACAAAAAGCTTCTATACGCGGGGTACTGATGATTCTAGAACAAACGACCGTCGAGAAAAGGGAGGGAAAGAAGAAGGGGTATCCGAGGGGAGCGAGGGAGCTGGGATGACGATGCAGGATGATGGTGGTCGAGAAATTGGCGGGCCGAGCGAAACAAGGCAGTCTACTGTCTGGGCGAGGCACGTGTAGTCTGGGCTCCAGCTCGCATACAACGACCAAAACCTATCAATTACGGAGAACTCGTAAGCTGGATTGTTCGTTTCCCATCCAGATTGGATCCTGATCGTCCGGCTAAGGAGTACGGAGCACAGAGTGCGTAGATGATGAAAAAGCTGCGTGTTGTTGGTGGTTGGTGGAACGGCTGTGGACTGCTTCTATTTTAATGCACAAGATTGATTACCTGGCGAAATACAGGCTACGCAATTTTTACGACTCCGTGAGGCCAGGGACGAGACGACAGCATGAATCATAGAAGGCAAAGTGTAGGCTTGATTGCATCTGCAAGGTGTAGCGATGATATATTGCTGGCTGCCGGAAGGAAGAGTATGGTCTCAGACCAAGGGCGGGCACGCTTTAGAATGACAGGAAAAGTGCCGTTGACTTCAGACCCAGGGAGAGAAAAGTCTGGACTCTGGAAGCTGCCTAGCCCACAGCTTCGCGTGTTTTCGTCCTGGTCGAGCATCAGAGTCCAGACCGGGACACCGGAGCAGCGCGAGGATGGAGAGGAACTCGTCCCAGCGATCTGGTCCACTAAACCCAATCCGGAACGGAGCAGTATCTTGGGTGCCTACGTCGTGTAGCATCATTGCTTCGTAGGGCGCTCAAATGGGAGCTGCTGCTAGAGGTCTCACTGGAGAGTATGTGACTCTAAAACCTTGCAGGAATATAGCATCCTTGATGATAGTCGAGCTATGATAACTGAGATGCGGTACTCTGTACACCGTCGACATGGTGTGATGAATATTGATGCCTCAGGCACATGCACTGCCACATGCTTCCCAGCTTCCAAGAATGCTGCCAGGCCTCTCATCATCCAAGTTCAATTCTCCAATATTTCCATCATTAGGGTCTCTCGTTTTACCCCCAGACTACCTCCAAGCCGTGGGAGAATGATCCACTGAGGTCGTCCATATACAATGCGATCTCCTCGGACGCTTTTGCATATCCTTCTGCTGGTCGCATTAGCAATAACGACCGCCGGAGTTCCCGCGGGCTCCAGCATCACTCCTCCACCCCCGGTCGAGCCTGTTTCCCTATTATCATCCCATTCAAACCCCCAGAGACCATGGATTCGCCTCCGAGACTGGATTATCGAATCAATATGGGGTATTCCTGACTCCCACACGGCTCGTCCTACACCCCACGATGAGTCTGCCCCTCCTCGAGGCTCTGCCCGATATGGCAGTGACGTCGTGCTTCGTTTCCGAGTCAAGGATACCAAAGAGGCAGAGACACTGGCAGAGGCGACAAATATCCTCTTCTTGGACGTGTGGGCATCTACTCCTGACTTTGTCGATATCCGGCTCGCTGAAGAAGTCGTACGTCGCTCAATTCCTCCCTTGTAGTTTGGTATAGGGAATGCTAATCTTCCAAGATTCCTTCCTTGCTCGGCCTACTTCCAGACTCCCTCCAGACTGCCTACACCCCCCTTATCGATAACTTACCGGAGATGATTTATGCTACATACCCAACTCGTCGACCCCTCGGCCTCGATGAGAGTCCTACATCTAATCCGTCTGCTCGCGGAGCCCCCGACCTTTTCTTCCGGGACTACCAACCCTTATCCGTCATTCTTCCTTGGATGCGGCTAATGGCATCTATGTTCTCATCGCATGTCCGACTAATTACCGTTGGCGTTTCTTACGAAGGTCGCCAGATTCCCGCATTGCGACTGGGCACTGGCTCCGACTCGGATACTGAACCTCGGCCAACGATTCTTGTCGTTGGCGGAAATCATGCCCGGGAGTGGATAAGTACTTCTACAGTTACTTACATAGCATATAATCTCATCACCAAATATGGAACATCCGAGGCTGTTACACATCTGTTACAGGACTACGATTGGGTCTTGGTCCCGACAATCAACCCGGATGGCTATGTCTATACCTGGGATAACGATCGCTTATGGCGCAAGAATAGACAGCCGACCAGCTTCCGATTCTGTCCTGGGATAGACTTGGACCGGTCCTGGGCATTTGAGTGGGATGGCGACCAGACACAATCGAATCCATGTTCCGAGAACTACGCCGGAGAGAAGCCGTTCGAGGGCGTTGAGGCGCAACAGTTAGCGCAGTGGGCTCTCAATGAGACTGAAAATAATAATGCACGGATTGTCGGCTTCCTAGACCTCCATTCTTACTCGCAACAGATCCTCTATCCGTTCTCTTACTCGTGCTCTTCGGTCCCACCGACTTTGGAAAGCCTGGAGGAGCTTGGCCTAGGCCTGGCCAAGGTTATCCGGCTGACCACGCACGAGATCTACGATGTCACCTCCGCATGCGAGGGTATTGTCACGCCTGTTGAGAAGTCTGCCAAGAGCTTCTTCCCTGTGGGTGGCAGCTCAGGGGGTAGCGCGCTGGACTGGTTCTACCACCAACTCCGAACCAGATACGCATATCAAATCAAGCTGCGCGATCGTGGCAGCTACGGCTTTCTTCTTCCATCCGAATACATAGTTCCCACAGGGAAGGAAGCCTTTAACGCTGTCCTAAAGCTTGGTCAATTCCTCGTGCAGCAAAAAGGAGAAACGAACATTAACTGGGATTCCGAGTTTCAAGTTGTCGACAAGCCTTCTGCTCCTGAGCAATCCGCAGGCGTTGATGAAACGGTCGAGAACCAGGACCAAGACGAGGGCGAGGATGAGGGCCTTGATAACGAAGTTGTAGAAGACTACGACAGTTGGGAACCACTTAGATGGGGAGGTCAACAGACGCTCGGCTTCCGGCGACGTCGATAGCACGACACCCCTTAGCCTATAGTAATATTCTTTGGAAATAGTTAGTTATGCAGGTTGGATGAATACTAATGATTAATGATTTTAGCTGCCCTGGATTTGTATACTGGTATTGTATTGCACAGCTATGTTTATTCACGTTATCCATTTCCAATTCTATATAGATGTTCATGCTATAGACATGAAATATTTATTAATTTAGACTACCATTCATGCATGGCCAGTAATGAAGTTGTATTAACAAAACTCCTTACGTGGCAGGCACCCCTTCGGTCGTGGGGTAGAAAGAAAGAGAAGCGAAGAGACTAGCATTCAAAATGGAATTGGGCCTCAGTCCGAGGCCGTTGACTGAAAAGTCAAACGTACCTGCTGATGACTTAACAAGTTATTCTCGAGAAAGCAAAGTTTACAGAGTACGGAGGACAAAGTAAGGGTTTAAGCCGCATCTGCCTTTCTCGTCTTGATCTGGGGATGTCAGCCTGCGGCAAGGCTAATCCAGCCCGAACACGCGAGCTCCTTCCTGTATGTATTCGTTGGCACGGGTCTGCCTCGTGCCCTGTGCCCTGGAGGCTGGAGCCGCACAAACGATGAGAGAGGAATTCGAATAATGTTTTAATATTGGACGATTGAATCTCGTTGCACGAGTAACTTTAGGAGCAGCAGGAGATAACACCAAGAGGCCGTTACCTAACGGGTTGCACGTAATTGGCTGGAGGTGGCCCCATAAGCTTCCAGAACATCGAATCCCTCGTGGTTATCAGCTGGAGTGACGGGAGAAATTGACATTTGCCAGTCTGGAGATAAGTTACCGCGGTTTTGCCACTAAGTTTCTCTTCTGCTTGGCGCCAAGATTGTTGACGAACGATTTCTGGTATTTGCCCTTTTGCACACGATGCCAGGCGATGCCAAAGCAGGGCGTCTTGTGATGCGACAATGACAAAAATAAACACGAGGGGAAGTTCACTGCGCCATCATTCGCGTCATGAGCAGACCAGCGGTTGTCAGTGCCAAGCGCGGGCCAAGTGGGACCGTATACGGGAAGGTGGTATCGCTTCCCCATCGACAATCTGGAGTCTGGAGAGCATGTAACGTAACTAAGATAATATGCTTAATTCCAGTCTCCATATGCCTGAATTTGATTGCCATGCCGGTGACCGATGGGCTTGAAGCAGGGCGCCGTAGTGTGAGTGAGTGTGCAGTGGGTTTGATGTCTGTACCTGTACAAACCCGGTCCGGTCCCCGAGTATGAATGAATCTTAACCCGTCAAGCATTGTGCTTATCAGCGTCGAGGTGCCCGGTGACTGTGGTCAGATGGGCAGCTTATCGCGGGGCAAGGGCATGGCGGTGCCAAGCTTATCCGCTCCAAGCACTTGGCCTCGTTTGGTGCAAGCCACAAGCTGAGACCAAAGAGCGACGATGCTACGTCCCCTTCGAGTTCGGGCCCAAGCAGCCCGGGCAATAAACCCAGTCAGGCCAGTCGAATTACCGTGCGGAGAAAGAGATCCTCTTATCTGCAGCCAGACCAGTGAGCCTGAGCGGCTCAGCCTCGGCGGGCTCTTCGCGTTGGAGTTGTGTCGCCTGCCCCCGGTTATAATTCACTCTCCCTCCTCTCCTTCCTCCTTTTCCTTCCCGTTCGCTTCGCATCCTTGCATCTTCCTCTCATCAAGCCAGAGCTGTCTGGGCTTTTGCGAAAGACATGGGTGTCGAAAAAGACGACGGGATCACCGTCGCCCCTAACAATGCCGTCTACGATGTTTCTGCCACTGAGAAGGGTGTCATGGAGGTGCCCCGGGAGAATGAGCTTCATCGTGCGCTCAAGGCGCGCCACATTACTATGATCGGTGAGTGATGCATTTACTGTCGCGTACCACTATCGCACAAGCTAACAAGTCGCATCTAGCCATCGGTGGTGCTATTGGTATGTCGTTTTAGCCACCTAACAAGCCCCGTCTCCGACTAATGGTTTCAGGTACCGGTTTGATCATTGGAACTGGTTCGGCTCTTGAGAAGTAGGCCATCTTGGCCCCCCAAAATCAATACGTCTGACTGACTGTGCTTGTTGTTATTTTTAGGGCCGGACCTGGTGCAATTCTGATATCTTATGCCTTCATGGGCTTCATCGTCTACCTTGTTATGTGTGGTCTCGGAGAGATGGCCACTTGGTTACCTCGCTCCTCCGGTTTCACTGGTTATGCTGTACGCTTTTGCGACCCTGCGTTGGGGTTTGCGCTAGGTTATACGTATGTCGCGGAACATATTGCGATGAGGAGTAATGGGCCGCTAACAACGCTGTGGCAGGTACTGGTTTAAATACATCATCGTCACGCCAAATCAGTTAACAGCCGGTGCGCTCGTTATTCAATACTGGTTGCCTGCAGATAAAGTCAATCCGGGTGTATGGATCACCGTGTTCCTGGTTTTGATTATCTTCATCAACTACTTTGGTGTCGGATTCTTTGGTGAATTTGAGTTCTGGCTTTCCTCGTTCAAAGTCGTCGTGATTATCGGCCTGATATTGCTCTCTTTCATTTTGATGCTGGGAGGCGGGCCTGATCATGATCGCAAAGGTTTCCGCTACTGGAAAAGCCCGGGTGCCTTTAGATCCTATATTGACCTCGGCCCCGATGGCAACGGCAGCGATGCCGGTCGTTTCTATGCTTTCTGGTCGACCATGGTCGCTGCGACATTTGCCTATCTCGGCACAGAGCTGGTCGGTGTGACTGTTGGAGAGGCCCAAAATCCCCGAAAGACGATTCCGCGCGCCATCAAGTTGACCTTCTATCGTATCGTCTTTTTCTACGTTATCAGTGTTTTACTGGTTGGCACTCTGGTTCCCTACGATCATCCGAGACTTAAAGAGGCAAACGATGCAGGTACCTCCTCAGCCGCCTCGCCTTTCGTCCTTGCCATTGAAATCGCCGGTATTCCCGTGCTCCCCCACATATTGAACGCTTGCATTCTTCTCTTCGTTTTCTCCGCTGCCAACTCCGATCTTTACATTGCCACCCGAACCATATATGGTCTCGCCAAGGAGGGCAAGGCACCCAGGATCCTCACTAAAACTGACCGCCGTGGTGTGCCATTCGTGGCCCTGGGCCTCTGCTCGCTGATTGCCTGTATCGCCTACATGAACGTATCGAGCAGCTCCAAGACTGTCTTTGGATACTTCGTTGACCTTGTCACCATCTTCGGTCTACTTAGCTGGATCTCGTTGCTGGTTACCCATATCTTCTTCGTGAAAGCTCGCGAAGCCCAACAAGTTCCAAAGAGCGATCTTGCATATACCGCCCCCTTTGGTATTTGGGGTTCTTACTTTGCTCTTTTCTGGTGCATTGTTGTCTCTTTCACTAAGAGCTTCGACATTTTCACCAACGTGAATGATTCATTTGACTACAAGACCTTCATCACGTCATACCTGGGAATACCGCTATATCTCATTCTTATTTTTGGCTACAAGCTTGTCACCAAGTGCAAGCGTGTCCTTCCGCACGAGGCAGACCTCTGGACTGATAAGGACATTATCGACCGCGAAGAGGCCGCATATATTGCCCAGCAGGAGGCCAAGAAAGCAGCCCAGAGCAATAAAAAAGGCGTGGCTGCGTGGTTCTACAAGACCTTTGTTTCCTGGCTGTTTTAGCCGTGCTCGGGGTGTCTGTTTCATGTTTATACACACGCGATATGTATGGTGTAGCTATGAGAAACACGCAGTTTATGAAAACATGTGACCTTGGATTACAATTTGCTGTAATGTTAACGTAGTCGACGCAATAAATATGCTGCTCACGAGAGGTACCGCAATAAAATCCCCGGTAGGTCTGCAGGTCGATCTGGGTTCCGGAGTTACCGCCGAGCCCGTGGACCAACTATATGCATAATCAGTGTAATTATAGGATAAGTGCATATCATCAATATTCCAAGACTGAGACGCTGTCTCAGGGCTATAATATTACTCAGCCATCTCGGTATTCCGCAGCATTAACTATCGTCCAACCATGGATCGCGCCTTCAAAGCCCCAGATATACTTTCCAACCCTCCACAGTTTTACTCGATGCAGTCTAGCACTACCAACCAACTCGCTCTTGGCGGCTTCAAACAAAGAACCACCGAGATCCACCGTGGATCCAAGGAAAGGATGGAGGTATGTAGTTGCTGGGTTGTAAGTACCCAGGATCCTCCCGTTGATGACCTTTTTACTACACTGGGTTGCTCTTCTTATTAAAGAACAGCATGGACAACCGGGCCATGCCCACGAGCACGAATCTCGCTTACCGAACCGGCAACGCGGAAGACAACAATGAAGAGGCGAAGAAACAGCGCAGACGCCTCCAGAACCGGGTGAATCAGCGGGCTAGAAGTAGGTCGAGTCCATCCATCCATCCACCATCTAGATCCCCAGCCATGAGCAGTCTTGTGTTACCTCCCGGCCCTATCAGCCATTCAAGCTTGTCCAGGCGTGGCAATCCCTTTAATTTCCAATGCTTACGCCTGTGTAATTGAAACAGGGCAACGGCTCCAGGAGTCGGCCGCCGAGGACCAGGACCAGGGCCGGAACAGGGCGAAGCGGCCGTACCGAGTTGATAGATGGCGCGTGGAAGAACTCGAGCCTAATCAGGACAGTAAGAAGGGAAAAAAGGAGGAGAAGAGTCCCGAAGATGGTCTCGCAGTACAGAGCCAGGGGGTACAACCAGCAACGCAGCACGGGTTCGATATCGATTCGCTCTACCCGCGGCAGCACACCACGTTCTCTGTCTCCATCTCACCAGACCACCATCTCCTCCGGATCATCCACCTCAATGTCTACCGTGGCCTGCTCCAGAATAAAATATGTCTGTGGCGCTTTACATCCTATGAGAAGATTGAAGCATCACATGACCCCTGTGGAATCGACCCAGACCTCCATGGGTCGTCGCTGTTAACGCTCCGTACTACAAGTACATTTACGAATACAACTACGGCCACGGCCACGGCCACTGGGTCTACCCAGAGTAAGAACAAGCAGAAGGAAGATTATTCTATACTGCCGGATACCCTCTCCCCCACCGAGATACAGAGGAGCCGCATCCACGAGAAGTGGATCAACATCTTCCCATTCCCGCGGATGCGCGAGAACTTGATTCGGTGGGAGAAGCACTTCGACCATATTGAATTTGCGTACGACGTGATAGGGTTTTACACGGGGAGTAAGGTGCAGCAAAGGATTCAATCGCTAACTCGAAGGAACCCTGGCTCTGGCTCCGTGGCTGGTGCCGGTTCGGATCGAGTAGATGTAGATTCGCTCCGTTTACCCGAGGGCCCGACTTTGCAAGGCGATGCCACCCTTGACGACGAGGTCACGACAGAGCGGAATGGGCTTATTCTCTGGGGCGAACCGCATAGCGCAGAGAGTTGGGAGGTAACGCCTGGATTCCTGCGGAAGTGGATGTGGGCTGTAGAAGGGTGCGACCAGCTGATTGAGTCGACTAACCGATGGAGGAGGGTGAGGGGGGAGGGGCCGATTCGGATTCAGAGATGGCGGTCTGAGACTGGCTTTGCGTGAGAGAGAAGAATTGGATGGGACAAGGCAGACTGGGTGTTGGTTGACTGAGTATAAGCGCCAGGCCAAGACTCACGATAGTTTAGCGCGGGCTGTCAGCAGTAGCAGAGACCGCTCGGAGGATGCGGTCTTTCTTTTTTCTTTTCTGTTCAGTTGGATCATAATATTGTTTGTCTTTGGGTCTTCGTGAAGTATGTATTCCATCCAGGCTCAGTGTCTTGATTCGATCTCAATCGTCACACTGGATCGTGCGCGATACACAATGTCTTTGCATCCAACAGAGTTTCTGGATCTCGCCCTTCGAGAGGCTGATTCCAGACTCGTGTCTGCAGGGTGAACTCGACCTGCAAGAGCATGCATAACTTCCAGGCAGCTCAGGACATCCAGCGCGTAAATCCAGGCAAAGAACCAACAGCCAACACGCCGGTGCCCAACGGCGTCGAGACAGGAGTTTACCGTCAATGAAATCGCCCAGCAACAAAGATGGATTGGCCAGGACCCTGTCGAGACGCATCGAGATAGCGAATTGCAGAGGGGAGCGAGAATTTAGCGGGCTCGCAATTGGGGGGGCCGTGGGTAGCGTGTGCTGTGGCTGCAGCAAGTGTGCCTTGGGCTGCGCATTCACACTCGTGGGCGCTTAACGGGGGCTGCGGTGCTGCTGGTTGGGTTCCGCAGTGTCGGGTCGCGTTGACAGCACCATCGCCTGTTCTGCTGGGGAGATGTGTTGGTGTGTTGTTCCCCTCTCTGTGGTTCAGTCCGTCTGTTGCCCCTGAATGCTGGGGTTTATTTATCCATTTTGGCCCCTGCGGCCGCTGCATTGCTCTGTGCAACTTGCTCTCTCCCAAGTCGTCTCATCATAGAACATCCATACAGACACCATGGTCGCCATCCGCCTGCCTCGTCCAACGGGCGTCTATGTCCCCAACTCGCCCAGGAGCGTCACCTCCGACATGATCTCGTCTCCTCTGGCCGCCGACTTCAACTTCGACGCCGAAACCCTGACTCCATCCATCATCCCCGCTCTCGAGTACATCTCCTCCAAGCTCCAGCAGAAAACGAGGCACGTCACTCTCCTCGTCGGTCGTGGAAAGCCCTATCCTACAGGCCGACCGTCAGACCTCATCGTCATCCCCTCTGCCACTCTCGAGCCCTCCGTGCACCGCTCCCTGGCGCGCATCTTCGCCAAAGCAGCACTGAAATTCTCACTCGGCCGGAGCTGGTCCGACGCCCTTGCTCGCTCGCAGCACGAGCGCTCAGCGAACAAGTACCTCATTGAGCGCTCGATCTTGCAGAACGAGGTCGTGTTCAGTCGGGAGGGGCTGACGCTGCTCAACGTTGACCGGATCTATACGTTTAAGCGTCGCCTTTGCATTCTTTCTACTTCAGATTCAACAGCACAAAACCCACGACGTGACTCTTACATTGGATCATGCGTGCGCCTCCTCCACCGCACAATCCAGGACTTTAACGGCCGCCCGTTCAGCAAGGCTTTCTTCCACCGCGTCTATGAACAGCTGGATGTCGACGACTCTCTTCTCTCACATGTCGCAGGCGTCTACAAGAAGCAGTATAAACAGGAGGGCATTGTCATCCCTCCCACTTCAGCTACAACTAAAGCCCCAACCCCAACTACAGCTACAACCCCCGCATCAGCACCAGCTGCTGCACCCCCCAAAGCTAGCCCGATCAAGCCCATAAACCCCCTCAAACCGACCAGCACAGTAACAGTCACCGCCATAGCCGAAAAGAAGGAATTCAAGAAAGTCCTAAAGTCACCCGTGCGCGCGATCCGGATCCGCAAGCAATCATCGGGCCCTCCACTCTCAGGAGCCAACAGCGCTACAAGGCGCGGGCCCAAGACGCCTCTCTCGGCATCGGATGTCACACCCATCACGCGCAACGAGTGGAATCTGCTCTTTGGGCCGGACTTTAGAAAGAATAGACCTGTCGTCACCAAGTGGACGCCTTCGCCCACTGTTCTTGCTGCGGCTTAATATTAACTACGCTTGTATAAAACAGGTGTTTATGGTTATGTATTTTGCTGCTGGATTTGAGCGGATTGGTTCGTACTCCTATACTGCGTTATAATGGGTGCAGGATCAACTTCCGAAGAGGGCTCATGTCCGGCGAAAGAGCACTCAGCATCTCCACTACTGATGGGAGCCCACCGAACCATGACAGACAGCTCTGCTGTCAACCAAACCGAGACTGGTCCTTATGACTGTGGTCTTTATGTGACCGGCCTTCCCCCGGTATTATACCATTTCCAGTGCTTGGGGATTCCACGACTTAATGACGAAACGAGACGAACTTAACTTCATGTATATAGTTGTTAAACAATGTAACACTATGTGATACTCACCAAGTAATGCAGTTTACCGGCTCTTCACCATAGTATTAAAACCTGATGTACTCCAAAATGCAAGTCTATATCATGGTCGTTTCTTTCATTTTAATTGGATGATATGCTGGTATACCTGCCTAATGGTGTTTTGGGTCATATAAACGGCCGTGCGTGGTTAGTGGACCCAATCTCCACCCAACTGTTTCCAGGCTATGGCCGAGCTATGTCTCTAGTTTCCATCGGCTGTTGCTTCTTCAAATTTTAATACGTAAATCGGAAGCCCTAGTTATCTCTACTCCTTTGTATTGTTTGAGAAGAACCTGCACTCTGCACCAATTATCACCGTCTACAAACAGTGACAGTGTGGACCGGTTCAGCATGAACTAAATTCAGAAGTGATATGCAGAGCTTCTGAGTCTTAAACTAGGCTGGCAGGCGTCAAAGCACAGTTCACTGCGCACATTATTATGTAAATCGCCAACCAAAGAAGCCTTTTTTTTTCGCCGAACTGGAGCTCCAGCTTCGACCTTCGGCGGCGGACGCCGGATTTGTCACGTGGTGGGGGACAGCGACTGTATTTCAGGAACGTTGTTGCTACCTTAGTCGAGGAGTCAAGAAGTTTTTATCTCTAGCAGTGTCATCAAAGAAGAGAGCCGTCAAGAACAGCAGAAAACAAGTGATTGATAAAAGGCCGACAGTCATACAGTAAGAGTGACGTACTGACAACCGCCGGACTGATAACGCATGCGGTCTTATCGCGCCCCACTCTGATTCCCCTCATCTGTTGACGGCAACCATTTTTTTTTTTCTTGATTTCTCTGTTGGAAGATTCCCATTCATTTCTTCAAGGTTGTGGCTGCGATGGCGGAATCCTTGACCCCAGGCGGCAACACCGTCGTCGAAGTCGACGCGCAGAGCCAAAGCGACGACAAAAAATGGACCACTGCTAAGTCGCTAATCCGCCGCGCTGAGAAATCGCATAGTCGCCTGCCGGGAGTCCGCAAGATCCCGCTACGTTCAATTGGGGTGATTTTGCTTGTTGCACTGGTGAATGTCATTGTGTGGATTGCTGTTGCGGTTGTTCTGGTATGTTGCTTGCTTCTATAACCGGGAAATTGAGATGTGAGGCTGACTTGTGCTGGTGTAGCGGTATCATCCGTGAGTTGATCTATTTTTTGGTATTCATTTATATAAGTATAGAGGAGCTAACTTGCTAAGATCTTTGGTTTCGAATGCTGTCTTGTCATATACTCTCGGTTTAAGACATGCTTTTGATGCAGATCATATCTCGGTATGCGCTTGACGATATCCAACTATTTAGCTAGTGTCTAACGATCTAGGCCATTGATCTCATGACTCGACGACTCCTAGCCACAGGACAGAAGCCCGTAACTGTAGGGGCATTCTTCTCGCTGGGGCACTCTACCATCGTCCTCATCACTTCAATCGTTGTAGCGGCCACCGCTGCAGCTGTGTCTTCCCGCTTCGACAAGTTCAGCACAGTAGGAGGCATCATCGGGACCTCTGTCAGTGCGGCCTTTCTGATCCTGCTGGGTCTGATGAACGCGTATATCCTATACAAGCTGTATAAGCAGATGCAGAAGGTTCTGAATCTTGCACCGGGCCAGGAGGATGAGGCATGGAAGATTGAGGGTGGAGGCATTCTGTTCTCCGTCCTGAAGAAGATGTTCAAGTTGATTGATCGGTGGGTAGTTCTTTATTCATACTAACAGATACTCGGCTAATTTGACCTCGCAGGCCATGGAAGATGTACCCCCTGGGTGTTCTCTTCGGACTTGGCTTTGACACCTCATCTGAGATCGCCCTGCTTGGGATCTCGTCTATCGAGGCTGCAAAGGGGACCACATTTTGGGTTATTCTCATATTCCCAATTTTGTTCACAGGTAAATCCCTACACCAAAAAGGAAATAAGATGAAAAGAAACTAACCTACCAAAAGCTGGAATGTGCCTCCTTGACACCACAGACGGTGCCCTAATGCTGGCCCTCTACATCCAACCAGCCACAAACTTCCTCCCGCCCAAACGCACCGAGTCAACCACTTCAGAATCTCCTCTCATGGACTCGGACGAACCAATAACCCCATCGCAGAACCACCGCGACCCCGTTGCATTCCTCTACTACTCTATCGTACTGACAACCCTAACCGTGATCGTCGCCATCGTAATCGGCATCATCCAACTGCTCACACTCGTCCTGAATGTCGCCGAGCCAACCGGTCGGTTCTGGGATGGCGTCCAGACAGCAGGCGACTACTACGATGTTATTGGCGGTGGAATCTGCGGGGCGTTCCTTGTTTTCGGCATAATCAGCGTGTTCGTTTATAAGCCCTGGAGACGGTGGATTGCGAGAAGGCACAACAACCCTGTTGTTGGTGGTGGGGATGAAGAGGGCGGCGAGTACCGAGATGAAGTTGCGGATGAGGATGGGACTGAAGGTAGAACTGGCGAGTTGGCTCCGAGGGTCGATACGCCGCTAAATGAGGGGAGGAGTTCGCCTGGGGCTACGTACGGGAGTATCAGTGTGCAGGCGAAAGGGGATACCCGATAACAGTATCTGAGGTATAGTAATCGGTTTGGTCACGAGAATTGTAGCAAGACATGAGGACAATATAGAAGCGATTATATAGTGAATGTATGCCTCAGGCATTATAGATCTACGTGATGTCATCCCTCGCCTGAAGATTCCGCTCAACTTAACCTCAACTTCAACTTCAACACTTTACAGCGCGCAACAATCTCAGTTCCTGAGGATATACGAACACTGCTATACCAAATGGAATTGACCTACCGACACTTCGGTGTTAATCAATAACCGGCCACCGCAATACCCCGCAATAATCCCCCCGCGATCGGAATACGATGCCGCCAATTCCTCCATCTCAATATCGAGCGAATCTCTCTATATATAATATATTTAAACGGCCTATAAAAGAATCAGCCTTATGAAGCGATCAAAAACACATTATATATATACCCTATACAATGCAATAATGTCACCATCTAATAACAGCTAATACCCCTCTTTAAACCCGATTATGTCCACAACAACAGCAAGCTCCACGCCAGACCCAGATCCAGGCGCACAGTCAGGAGGATTCGCACTCTCCTCCATTCCGCCAATTTTTGTCCTCCCAACACACCTAACCCTCGATGCGCTGCACCAAGCAGAAGAAACCCTCATCCAGCACGGCGCGCGCTTAACCTACGATGTCTCAGAGGCAACTCTTATCCTTGGGAAAGTCGGGCAGAAGAAGCGCGCAGCGCTGGAGTTACGGTCGAGGGGTATTTGGACGGAGGAGGTGAGCGCGCTTCCGTGTACACCTACGCCTGAGCCTGGACCACCCGTGAAACGAAGACGGCTAGGCGACACAGAGATAGATACGGCGGCCGCTGAAGAGATATACCTGAGCACGGAGGATGAAAGCGAGGAAGACGGGGTCCGTGGTCATCAGCCTGCAGCGCAATTAGAGCGTCCGCAGCTGACGACGTCGGCGAGGACAGTACCCAGCGCGTTGCAGTTTCAGAAGGATAAGGAAAAGGGGGTAATTAGGGTTGTGCGACTCGAGTGGTTAGCAAAATGTACTGAGGCGCAGGAGCTTCTGGCTGTTGATCCGTTTATGGTTTATTGCGCGCGCAAGGTAGAGCGGCCGGCAACGAAGAAGGATAAAGATACTGCAACCTCGCAGGCGATACTTGATAGAGCGAAGCAGGATGCTTCGTTCAAGGTGCCATTTTCGACGACGTCGATGTATTCCAGGAGTAGGCACCGGGATGGAGTATCGTCCGGTGGCTCGAGCCAGCGCCAGCCGCCGAAGCTGTATCGGACGACGACGTCTGAGAATGAGGAGGCAGAGCCGTTACCTCCTGCACCGGAGTGGGTCCAGAATCATGTCTTATATGCATGCATGCGATCTGCGTTCCTGGAGACGCCGAATGAGCGTTTCATCCAGCAGCTCATTAAAATAAGGACAATCCGCGAGCTCAATCTCGACGAGATAGGCGTGAGGGCATACAGCACCGCCATCGCAGCAATCGCAGCCTACCCGTACGAAATACGACGTTCATCACAGGTTCTCGCCCTACCAGGGTGCGACCACAAGATCGCCAACCTTTTCGCGGAGTTCAAATCCACAGAACACGGCAATCTTGCCGCCGCAGAAGCACTCGACAAAGACTCTGACTTCGTCACCCTCAACCACTTCCTCAACATCTGGGGCGTAGGCCCCAAAACGGCCCGGGACTTCTACTACGCACGCCAGTGGCGCGATCTCGACGATATCGTCGAACACGGCTGGATTAGCCTCTCGCGAGTGCAGCAGATCGGCGTAAAATACTACGACGAGTTCCTGCTTGGTATCCCACGAGACGAGACCGAGTCTATTGCAAATACAGTACGCAAGCACGCCAATGCTGCCCGGCCCAATGCATCTTACGACGGCCGCGGCGTCGAATGTATCATCGTTGGAAGCTACCGCCGCGGTAAACCCGTCTCGCACGACGTCGATCTTATCCTCACCCACCGCGACGAGAGCATCACGCACAATCTCGTCGTTGATGTCGTTGCATCCCTCGAGGAAGAGGGCTGGATTACACATACCCTCGCCCTGCATTTAACCACCTCGCATCGTAACCAGCAACCCCTGCCCTACCGCGGCGACAGCGATGGGAAGAATCACTTCGACTCGCTCGATAAAGCCCTCGTTGTGTGGCAGGACCCTAACCAAAGTAATCCGCCTATCGAGGGAACAAAGAATAACAACCCCCACCGCCGCGTCGACATTATCATCTCTCCCTGGTCAACAGTGGGGTGCGCCGTGCTCGGCTGGTCCGGCGACACGACCTTTGAGCGGGACTTGCGGCGGTATGCGAAGAAATCGCGTGGGTGGAAATTTGATTCCAGCGGGGTGAGGGAGCGCACGACTGGTGGGCAGGTTATTGATCTTGAGCATGGAGGTGAGACCTGGGAGGAGCGTGAGAGGATGGTTATGGAGGGGTTAGGAGTTGGGTTCAGGCCCGCTGAGGAGAGGTGTACGCGGTGATTTATATTATAGTATATCATATGAAGCCAATTGGAAAGGGAATAAGCCTAGCCTGTGAATATATCCATGAGACTCTAGGATTCAATGCACAGTGAAATTCTATACTTTATATCTAAGTGCAAGCCGTGTACGTCTAAGAAACCTCCTTCAACACCGCCTCAATAAGCTCCCTACTCTCCCCCTCAAGCTTGACAAACAAACCAAGCGCATCCCTCATCCTCGCACTCGCAATCGGATCCGCCGAAATCGCACTCTCCAGATTCGCCCCGTCATTCGCGAGGTAATCAATATCCGTGCTCGCAAGCTTCCCATCCCAATCGGCTGCCGCAAGTGGATCAGCACCCGCCACTTGCTGAAGGCGCTTCGGGGTCGCCGACACCGAGTTCTGGTGCTCGGGGTACGCGGGTTTCGGGACGTCTATGACTCCCGGTGGCCGGGAGGACCCGTCGTAGGGGAGTTTTGCCAATTCAGCGAGAACCTCTTGTGAAACAGTTGCCGAGTCCACGCCGATTTCGCCTTGTGCGAGGGCTTCTTTGGCGCTTATGAAGCTGTTGTAGATTGACTGGGTTAGTATCGAGGTACTTGATTTAATTAAGATGTAGGTATTTAGTAATGGATAATCTTACTTGGCGTTTTTGATTAGAGGCTGCGGCTTGCCGGTTTCCTTGTATAGGCGGCGGTAGGTCTCGAGCATTTGGATGAGTCTTGCGGACATGGTGTGCTGCGTTGCTGGGTCCTCGACGTTTGGCCAGAGGCTCAGGTCAAGGTTTGCTCGAATCTCTAGATTCTTATTAGTCCACCGATTCCTTCGGTAAACAGCCAAAACGAAGATAAGACAGATCATACCATTGAAATAAGGACTAATAAACAAACACCCAGCCTGGCTAGCCGCAATAGCCTGCGCCAGCGAGAAAACAGCCGTGCCTAGAGTTCGAATGCCCTCGGCTTCCAAGATAGGACAGACACTCAGTGCCGGGCCGGTGCTGGGGATCTTAATGCAGAAGCGGTCCTTTGAGATGCCCACGGACTCGAATTCCTTGGCGTAGAGGCGAGCGTGCTCAAGGACTTTCTGGGCATTGTAGGCCTGCGAAGGCGATGCTTGCAGGAGAACGCGGCCTTGAATCAGGTCGATGTTCTTCTTGCAGAGGAGGACGGCCTCGGGGGACGTTAGCATCTTGTTAGGATGTGGTTTGGGAGTGATGCAGCTTACAGCACGAGTATAGACAGCTAACCAGTCGCGATCTTTGTATTCTCGGGCAACGTCAAGAAGGAGCTGCCTGTTGCTGGGATCGCTCATTCGTCCGTGGACGTGGATCTGGTTGCTTGTCATGTCATGGGGGACGATGGGCAGACTTTTGATGAACTCCGGGTCCATTGCGTCGGCGTCCACGTTGACTAGGTTGGGTTAGTATTTGGCATTTTGTATACGTGTACTCTGGGCATCATGTACCTTGTTCCTCTAGCTTGTGAAGCCATGTTGGGACGGTGGTGGTAGCCATGTTGGGAGCTCGGAAATACCCCGATGGTCAATGGAGGGGTTCTTTTACGGAACGGAGGGATGTATAGAGAGGATGAAGATATGGTGAGAATCAAGGATGAAGACGTGGCGAGAATAGCTATCAACGTCGTCAAGACACGCAGACTGAAGTTATGTAGATAGCTTGGTGGTGTATGTCGGGTCGGAGAAAAAGCGAGGGGTAAACGGGCCGTGACTCGGTGAGGAAGAGGACCGCGACTCGAGGAGATGGGCCGACTCCAACGGGCTGGAGTTCTCGGTTAATTCGCTCACATGATATGGAAAAAGACAACCCACGTTCTGCATGATTCAGTGAGTCAGTAGACGACTGGACGTTTGGTACTGGAATGGGGTTGGACTTTGGGGTCTGGGGGCGTGGGTCGAATGTGGATGTGGATCGATACAGCGTGGGGTGAATTATAACACAAAGGAATCTATCACTGACTGTGGTCTACAGGTTGAAAATCTCTAGAAAGAATAACTGGCGGAGACCCCAGTCTAGTATTGTTCACGAGTTCAGTAAGTTCATTAAGTACATGGCCTGAAAACACGCCCAAAGAGCTCCTCGCATTCAGAGAGAAAGGTAAATTCAAACAGATGCAGAGAATACATGAAAAAAAGAAAGAAAAAATACATATAGAATGAGATGAAATGGAAATGCAAAAATTAAACCAAGTTCCGCGAGCTGGTCATTTCTCCGTATCGCCCTCTTCCTCTCGTGGTATCGTAAGCATTGACAACCCTCATCTGCCCACCCTCGTCGGCTTGACTGAATGCATAACCGCGCTGCTTCCGCATGCGCTGCACCTGTCGAACTTTTCGGATCGCTTTCTGGAACTGCTCCATACGCGGGCGGTAGTCCTGGACATTGTACTTCTGGATTTCCTGGACGTGGTGGTAGTGCTGTGGGTAGTACATCCGCTTGGCGTACTTCCAGGCATAGTCGCGGAGGAGACAGAGACAGGGGAGAACGATCGCCATCAAGTAGAAGATGGGGGAGGTGAATAGACGCGGGATGGTACCGTAATATTCTTTCGAGAAGCCAATGGCCGGTGCCGCATAACCATAGGCTGGGAGGAATCCAAGCCAGATGACCATCGAACCCGGTATGGCAATGAACGTGTATTTTGTCCAAATGTTTGTGATCAGTGCTGCTTTTCCAAGAACAGTAGCTAACACGGCGGTGTATAGTGCTGAACCCCAGACCCAATGGCCGGCGACTTTACCGTCACCTTGCGGAAGGTCGGAGTAGAAGATCAACTGAGAAACAATGTATAGCAGAAGAGAGTGGTAGAAGCCGTTGGCGATCCACGACCAGAAGCTGTGACGCTTGAAAAACATTCCCTTCTGTCCGAGTTGATATAACTGGGGGTATCGGTCTAGGAGACGGGCAGAGATGAACTGATCACAAATACCCATCGCAAACGGGGGTAGCACGGTGAAGAAGACGTTGTAGAACGAAAGAGTCCATGATTCGTAAATAACTTCACCAGAAAATGCATTTTGGAAGGAGTACTGTAGGTCGTTAGTTTGTGAAGACACCAAGATGGATGTTTAGGCTGGCTTACCCAAAACTGTGTCATGTAAAGAGCAATATTCTTGTAGAATGAGTAAAGGATGACGCGACTAATCCGATGGTAGCTCCAAGCTCCATGGACAAGAAGAAGTTTGCGAAGATAGCGGAACTGAGCGATAGAAACGTCGGCTGATCTTGCGGCCTGCAAACCTTCGACACCACTGATACCAACTCCAACGTGAGCCGCTTGGATCATAGAAACATCGTTGGCACCGTCACCGATAGCCAAAAGTAAAGATTTGAGATGGCGTTTGACAAGTTTGACAACAAGAGCCTTTTGAAGCGGTGAAACACGACTGCGACTGTTAGTATTTGTTTCAGAGAAAGGGAGAGGGAAGAAGAAGACTTACCAGCAAATAACAGCCTTACACTGGACAGCAAGATCGAGGAACAACTTTTCCATGTCCTTCTCAAGCGCAAAAGTCAGAGATCTACCGTCAATGATGAGGGCGAGTTGTTCGGCTTCGGTTTGACTCTGGACAGCTTGGAGCTTCTTGGTCAAGTTATCCCTGGTGGCTTCCGCATTATCCTCATTGACAATCAGAAGCGTCATATCCTCCGAGACCAGCTTGCAGGACATTCCAATGTTAATAGCGGTTTCCTGTCTGTCACCAGTCAGAACCCAGATCTTGATACCTGCGGTTTGCAAGGTATGAATGGTGTCAGGGACACCATCCTGAAGTCGATCTTCAATAGCGGTAGCACCAAGGAGATAGAAATCCTTCTCAATAAGCTCGGCAGCTTTATCAAGCTCCTCTGCACGGTTTCCGCCAACTGTGGTAGATGCTTTGTCAAATATTTGGTACCATTCCTGGAACTCGCCCTCGGGGATTTCACGCATAGCCAAACAAAGAGTACGAAGACCATCCGACGCATATTCTTCGAGATGTTGCAATGTCGATTCAACAATGGGGTTGTCTTGGTTAAGGCGCTCGAGGATGACGGTATCCGCACCTTTGACATAGATGCGAATGCGCCCATCCGGGCAACGGAAGATGGTCGACATACGCTTTCTGGTGGAGTTGAATTCACATACTGCCAGTAGTTCGTACTCGTACTCTTGTCCTGCGACTGTGATGATCACAGATCTAGGCCTTCGGTTGCTGAACCGATAACCCATCCGAGCTGCACCTTCAACAAGAGCTCCCTCATCGGGAGACGCGGCTTGGTACTTGATGTTATCCGGGTCCGCTTCAGATCTTTCAGGAATAACAGTGTGGCATGTGGCAAGCAGAGTGAGGAAATGGTGGATTGCGTCCTTGGTGGGGTGAGAGACCATATTTTCACGGAGTTTCTTGAAATCGTGTACCCCCGTCTCAACCCCGTCTTCTACCGTAGCACGTCGGTCTTCAGCAACATCGTCTCCATACTGAATGCCACCAATCGTGCACTCCTTGAACTCCATCATGTTGCAAGTCAAGGTACCAGTCTTGTCCGAGAAAATGTACTCGATTTGCCCAAGCTCTTCAACCAGCGATGATGTTCTGCAGGTAGCTGGAGTATCCGTCACGTCGTAGTAGATGTCGAGGTCGGAATTGATCAACAATGCCTGTGAATATTTCACAATTTCGATGGTAACGAAGAGCGATATAGGAACGAGGTTGGAGTAAAGGACCCAATATGTGAAGATATCCATGATAAACTGCTTTCCAGGGTTGGTGTTTGCGTAGTCAAGGTAAATGAGCTTGTCCTTTTCAGTCCGGCGGATGATCAAGTCGCCAACGGAACTGACCACACTAAGTGCGATGAGAATGCTGACCAACATCAAAATCTGAATATTAACCATGCGCTCCACGGCAGTCCGCTTGATGGGGGTCGCGGTAGCGTTTCGCATCAACTTCGTCTCGTGGCCGGTGAAAACAACAATGCCGTGGATCCATGGAGTGTTTCGAAGCGTTGCTCCTCGAAGCAACAGCTGGTCTGGTGCCAACGGCAGTTCCTTTTCCCCTCCCCCAGCGTGCATGGTCAAAGTAGCTTCGTATGTATACAGGCTGCTGTTGGGCTGCTCAGAACGTATGCGGCCACTAAGCCGGCTGAGATCAGCCGGGCTGACCAGATGCGAGGTTTCCGGGATACCTTGTTTGATTTTGAGGTTAGTCTCACCGTCAAGGTTTGCCGTTTCGATATAACATAGACCTTCTGGTTCCGAAGAGGCCAGAAGAACCAAGTCAGCTGGGAACGGCTGCTCGGACTCAACACGGACGATGTCTCCCACGGATACATCAACCCATTTGGTTTCGTGAAATGCGGACCCTTTGAGGACTTGTGTTTTGGAGTAATTCAGTGACTTGTCCGACGTTCTCCGTTTGTAATCCTCCACTAATTCCTTAATAGCCGATACCAACAACACAATCACCAGCGGTCCGATTGTAGTATATCGATTCGTTGGCGAAACATTAGGAATTTGCTGCAATACTGCGGTGAATAAGAAAAACAAGTTTGCATATTTCGAGAACTGTTCGTATAAGAACTTCGGGAGAAAGGTGACGATGTTGTACTTGGCTGTTGACACGTGGTTGTCGACAAACTTGTGCACGGCGTTCGCCGGGGGATTGTTCAGCATAATCATACGAGGACCAAGCGTAGATGGGTCGGCCTTGCCACGGCCAAAGCCAAACTTGAACGACGGTTTCTTCGACTTCTTCGGTGCCGCCGCCTCCTCAGAAACCGCACTGTCGGCACGCGCAGCTCGCGCCCCGGACTCGGTCAGGGGGAGGTCCATCTCGGAATATTCAGGCTTCATCCCCAACATATTCTTCGCTCTGCCCATTATCCCGCCACCCATACTCAGTATACTATTCCGCTCCTTCGCGTGCCGCATGCGAGAGTCCCCCTCCATCGGGTCTTGGCCCGTCATATCGTAGTACCCATGCATGTTCCTATCGTCGTCATACTCGTCGATCGAATACCGCTGGTAGTTATCCAGCCCCGAGGACTGCGAATAGGTTCGCGATACATCGTGCCCGGAGTAGGGATCGGTCATGTAGATGCCGGCCCCCGCGGGGGGAGGCGCGGAACCCGTCGCATGGGCGCCGGATTGCGGTTCGACTCTTCCGCCGACAAAACTATCGTAAGAGACCGAAGGACGAGGTTGAGAAGGGTCGGTGTCGTCGATGTTGTACTGTCGCAAGAGTCTCTCGTCGTTGACCGGTGGAGGCCGCCCTGTGGTGTAAATCGGGGCCGATTCTTCCAACTGCAGTAGGTCATCATCCCGGCCAGCGGCGGGATGACGACCTGGAGCCCTACCGCCGGCCATGATGATCGGGAAGGGCTAACACTGTCAGTGTGGTGGTGTAACCCAGGGGGAGCATCAATTATTCCAAGTGGGTGCCGCTATTGCTTTCTTCGGAAGGGGGGAATCCGGGGCAAGGAGAATAAGACCTCGTGGAATACGGCGAGGAAGCGATCGAGGAGGAGGTCGAAAGTAGAGAAGAAATTAAGTAGGAGGAGAAAGACAATACTCAGCCAAAAAAAGAATACGGTGATTGCCTGGTGAAGTGAGAATTGAGGAGAGTTTCTGGCTGCGCTAGCCGCCGGTTGGGTTTGGCGTGCGGCGGTGCTTTCCAGCCCCGTTGTCTCCGTTGTCTCACGCTTCGCCGAGCTGCAAGCTTGACGTGGGCTGCTCTCGACAGGGATCTTTTAGCGTGGCGCTTATTCCAGGATTCTATATTAATGTCCACGACTATAAGTATACATCTGGTTATCTTTAAGTGTTCTTGCTGTGCTCTGTCCTACAATCTTGGGGTGCGAAAAGGAGCTCTCCATGCTGTTACGTAGTTGTCTGGGCCTAGCTCCCATATAGATCAGGGGCGCAAATCTTTATTACGGATCGTCGGACGTGGGAGATTTTCACTCCACGGCAGCACCTGCGATTTCTCGTACCTTGTAAATGATGATCGTGCATTTCATTCATCTATCATACATCGCATCCTTCGCTTGGGCGAAGTATTTACGTTGCCTACGCGACAGGGCGATCGTTCTCTGCTCTAGCTTGCTCTGCGAGGCCACCTTTGGCCCGTTTGGCAAGGTCAACCTGCAGGGCCTTGTCAATGATGGTGTTGATCTCTTTAACTTTCTCCAACGCGACCGTCGTCTTCGTCACAAACACCAGAGCATCCACCGGGGAGCCTGAGAATTTGGAGAGGTAGCAGACATCACCAGCATTGTTCATCCCAATCACCACGTCCGCCTCGGACGCTTGCTCTTCTTTCCGCGTCGCATCGAGCACAACCTGCTTCCCGTCGTCAAATGTATGGAACGTGACCGAAAGGGGCTTGTGAGTGATGTTCAAGGGCGCGGGAACTCTCTCGTCCACTCCGTAAACAATCACCTGCCCGTCCTTGACCACAGCATCTGGACGGCGGAAGTGTTGTAGTCCGGCCATGATACCAATGCAGGATGCATCGATCAGATTGCCGTCATAGTCAGTAATATGTACGTCGGCACGTATCGTCCAGCAGCTGACACCTTTGAGGATGCAGAGAGATTCCGTATCTAAGGCGTTCGAGTGACGAATAACACGATCTAATACGTTCGTAACGTATGTCTCCAGGTCCCCTTGTCTATTAAGAGCAGCCAATTAGTTCAGGTACAAGGTACTTATTGTCGAATTCCATTCTCATACCGGCCATTCTCCCAGGCTGGGGATCCCATCGCCGTCAACTCCATAGCAATATTGAAGATACCATCAAACGGTCGGTCATCGTGAGGTTTTCCAACTTCGGCGGATATCCGAACGATGAGGCTATTCCGACAGTTAGAAACGTAGAGATAAAATGTAGCAATTGACACAAACCTCGTCTTTCCAAGCTGTACTTTGACATGGCCATATTCTTCGCCAAACGAGAGATTGAGCGGACGGAGCTGATCCGCCTTGCGGCCATCCAGCCTCACGTCCTCGCGGAGCGCATCGAGGATGAAATCGCGCTCGGCAATCGAGAGCGGTGCTTCTTTGTTCATAATTGCGGGCAGACTCAGCCCCGGTGAGGGGGTCAAGACAGAACGAGCACTTTCGCCTGGAATTTTCTCTGCATTCTGCAGCGTCATTGAAGCCAGGCGGGTCTTTGTCCTGATGTGGCCAATAACATGCTAGAAACACAAAGCGGTGAGCTGACCAGATTCTAGCCTCAGGCCGCTTCGTCGATATCCGATCACCTTGGACTTTCAGACTTGTCGCCGAAACTTCACGCTACAGGCACCATGACTACAGGTAAAAGACCTATTTATCATCTTTATGTGCTCCCTTGCTAATGCCGTACAGCCCACAGACCCACCTTCGATCCCGTATGTCGCAACTCCTTTTGTCCAGAACAACCACTCACATAATCTAGGCACGAGGTAAAGAGGCCCTCCGCGGCCCTGCATACCACCAGCGGCTCCTTCCTGCTCACACACACCTGAAGACTCGGTATGTTATACATATCTTACAGTACTGAACAATGACTGAGTGAACCAGCCAATCTGGTCAAGGCACCCAGGGCGAATCGGCGCATCGCGACTTGCGCGCTGAATTGCTGCAGGCAGAGGCAAACCACTTCGCCAAGAAGCAAGGACTCCCCGTGAATGAAGCACCAACCGAAAACGCCCCTCCGAAGCGTCAACTCGAGGGCGGCCCTTCAGGCGGCATCGACGGAGACATAGAAGAGGAAGATCCGGAAGCGAAACGGCGGCGGGTATTAGAAGAGACGAGAGATATAGACGCCGATTCAGATGGCTCGGAGGAAGAGAGTAGCGAAGAAGAAAGGTTAGTATCTTGCTGCTGACCCCAGGTTCTATGCTAAGAAGCTACAGTGATGATGAAGACGAAGCTGCGGAACTGATGCGAGAACTCGAGAAGATCAAGAAAGAAAGGCTAGCACAAAAGGAGAAGGAGGTTTGTAGGGCCCCTAATATGCACGATCAAGTTGCTTACTAGGAATAGGAGAGCGAGCGCGCAGCGGAAGAACAGGAACAACGCGAGGTCGACATTGCGCGGGGAAACCCCCTACTCAACCCATCGGACTTTAACATGAAACGTCGCTGGGACGACGATGTTGTTTTCAAGAACCAGGCTCGGGGAACAGAAGATAAGAGAGGAAAGGAGTTTGTTAACGACCTGCTACGATCTGACTTTCACAAGAAGTTTATGTCAAAGTACGTGCGGTAACTGCATGCCTTGGCTGGCCGCCTCGCACGTCTCGCACTATCTAGTGGAATCCAGGGTTTCGGATTCCTTGGGTGTCCTATGATAGCTGTCGTGGAATCGAAGCTTTTAACCAGCACTTTGATATATGGCGTTTAGCGTGGCTGTTTGAGCTGAGGTATAGACATGTACTTTATTAATGATACCTCGTACTATAAATTGAACAAGAGATAACATTCTTATCCTTTAATTGTAACCGAGTCACTTATTCCCCGAAGCCCTTAATTCCATCACCATCAACTCGTTGATTTAACACTTTTAGTAATGCCGGCAATAAATCACCGCATCCACCCCGCCCTCATCTGCATCCCATTACCATTCCATCACTTCAGCAAGAAACACCATAAACGGCACACAACTGACAAGATGGAATCACAACCGACCTCGAAAGCCTTGCACTGTATGTACCGTCGCGCGAAGCATCACCGCAGTTATTCGCGTCACTTCACATGAAGATCAATCCGAATGAAAGCTCATGATACAGTCCGCATAAACAATGATATCTCCCAATTGCTCCAGCGATTCGAAAATATTATGGCTACGACTACAGTATGTTTCACCTTTATCCCCGACTGCGCCTCAAACGGAGACATGGGCGGCGGAGCAGCATTGCTAACTCGCTTTTCACATCCAGGTCGATAGTACCAGCCACACGACGACGGCCGTTGAAACGTACCAGCTTGATGTGGAATCCACGGCATTGGTACGTTAGTTTCTTTTCTCTGTCCCGAGAACGTCTCTCAATCCTATTTCGTTGCATCGTATTTCCTGCTTTAGCCTCAATCCACCGGAAATGTCCACTAACTCATTCCCTTCCAATAACAGGTCCGCGCTGCAGAAGACATCCTCTCCCTAACCCGGTCGATGAAAGAAACTTGGCTATTCGGGAAGCTAGATACTCTCGGTGAAGATGAATCCGAAACGAAGCGCAGAGAAGAATTGGAGAGGGATGCTGCGGTTATTCAGAAGGCCATTGAGGACGGCGGGATATTGAAGCCGGCGGAGCAGTAGTCGGTTTTTTTTACCGCTAATACTCTCTGCTTCTCTCTTTCTATTTGCAAAAAAAATATAGATTGATATGGAGGCTTGGTTGGCGCTGGGTTGATTTTGATTTGGGAAGGCATGGCGCTTTCGGTGTATATGGAGTATATGGAGTTTGGAGGGCATTTTTATCATTGAGGAGATGGCCGATACCCTTAAATCAATTTATTCGTCTAGGTTCCGTCTAATTTAACATGTGATGCTCTATACAGGTCAAGTCTGCATGATTGTATTGATATCTCCACTGTAGCTATGCTCCTGGTCAATACCTAGACCGCCGCCTTCATATCATATCAAACTCCGATAAGGAAAATAAATGCACCCTCCCCACCACCTCTCCTCTCCTCTCCTCTTATTATATCCAACACCAACACCAAAATCTTCTAGATCCAATTCAACCTCGAAATCTCAATCCCATAGACGAACTCAATCGCCTACCAGAAATCACCCTGTTGACAACCTTCTTTCTTTACCCATTCAACAAAACAACAATGCCCACACCACCCCTCCCGGTCCCCCTCACCCTCATCGTCGCAACAACACCAATCCACATCCCCTCCCCCGCAAATGCCGCCGCCGTCCCAACAACAAAAACCCTCCTAGGGATCGGCCTAAACGGCTCGCTTCCCTGGCCACGCATCAAGACCGACATGTCGTTTTTCGCGCGCGTCACGGCGCGTCCGCCGGGAGCCACCACCACAACAGCTACGACAGGAGCAGGGAAGGCGACGACAAACGCGCTCATCATGGGTCGCAAGACTTACGATTCCGTCCCGCCGAAGTTACGGCCTCTAGGGAAGCGGCTTAATGTTGTTATTTCGAGGGATAAGGAGGGGGTTGTTGCGGAGAGGGTGAGGGGGGAGTTGGAAGCTAAGTGGGGGAGGGAGAGGGAATTGGCTGAGGCTAAAGCGAAGGCTAGAGCTGAGGAGTCTGCTGCTGCGGCTTTTGCAGCTGCGGGCCAGGCTACGACGACTACTTCTACCGCTACTACGCCGGCGCCGGCTGAGGGGCGAACAGATGCGTTTGTGTCGGCGAGTCTGGAGGAGGCGTTGACGCGGCTTGATGCTGCCGCGGCGGAAGAGGAAGGGGGTGTTGGGAATGTATTCGTGATCGGAGGCGCGGAGATCTATGGTGCTTCGTTGAGGTTGGGGACTGAATCTGGGTCCGGGGTGAAGAGGAAGGTCAGACTTGTGATGACGGATGTGGAGAAGGTAGATGGGAGTGGATTTGAATGTGATACGTTTTTCCCGATTGATGGGAAAGATCTAGCAGGAGATAAGTGGAGGAAGGTTAGTGCGGAGGAAGTAACAAACTGGGTTGGCGAGCAGGTTACGGGGGAGTGGATTCAAGAAGGGGACGTGAGGGTCCGGATGGTCGGATATGAGAGTGTGGAATTGTAATAGCTCAGAGAACAATGCGATAGAAGTAGATATATACCCCAGGGCTTGATATGTATCAAATGGCCATACTATATTCGCTGATGATGCATGTAAGCAAGAGAATGCAATATAAAGAGAGACAAGGAAAATCCAACGCTAATGTACAACATCTAAACAGTAGAGATAATGCAAAATGAACTGAAAATCAAGATAGGGTATTCGAAATCAAAAACAAGACGACAGACAGGTCATCGATGGAAATGCAATGTTCCAGAAAGCGTCAAAGAGTCTATCCGTTCTCCTTCATAAACTTTACAAAAGCCTTCTTATGCACCAGGCCCGCATAACGCCCATCCTGAAGGACGCACAGGTAGCGCAGTCCGAGCTTGACGAAGCACTGATAAACAAGGTCTATAGGGGAGTGGATATCGAGAGCAAGAGGAGCCTGGGAGGTCGGTCAGCTTTAATTCATGGCTAGGTTATAAAAAGAAGAAAGGCAAGCAACTTACCGGATCTATATATCTAGTGAAATCAACGTTCAACGAATCCTCGTCATCCGTGTCGGAAATAGCAGAAGAGTGGTCCACGGCCATCAGACACGACGTACTGTCTTCATCCTCCAGACTATCAAGCGCATACTCCAGATCCGGAGCTGGAATGAGTCCGATAAGCACACCGTCACGCAGAATCGGGAGCCCGCTGTCTAACTCTCCTGCCATGAGAAGATGCTGAAGCTTCGAGCGTAGCTCTCGTGCCGGAACAAGCGGAGATTCCGTGACCTCAATCATTCGACTCCGCCGAACCGGCCGAACAATATCACCAAGCTCTGCATCGGACATGATTTGGAGTTTGCTATCGAGGAATGGATATGAGTTCATTTCAGTCAGGAAGTCCTAAAGCAAAGGTCAGTATATGGAGAATTCTCAGACAGGGACCGAAACCTACATAAATACTGTGAGGCTCAATAGCATCGGCAGTCCACTTGGCGCACAACACTGCCAATGAAAATGGCAACACATGGTCCAAGCTGCCAGTCAATTCAAACAAAATGACAGCAAGGGTAACGGATAGACGTGTAACTCCACACATGGTAGCACCTGCAGCAACCATAGCATACACTCCCGGGGTTACACAAGATTCCATACCAGCAACCGCTGCGCATGACGACCCGAATAATATGAAGTTCGGAAACTTCAATGCCAAGTACTGCGTCGCATGGCCGACAATGCGGCCCATCAAGCCACCGACTACCATTGAAGGAACGTAGATACCCGCAGGTACCTTGATGCCGAAGGTTATCACGGTCAGAATGCTTTTGATCACAAGTGCCACTGTCAGCGAGCGAAGTACGTCACCGATGCCCTCCGGGTGTGGACATAGACCGTCTGGAGATCGGGAATCGCGCTCGCATGGACTAGCTAACTGGAACAGGAGCTCTGTTACCGGCAACTTTGTGTAGCGGTTCCAGAAACCCATTAGGCCAGTCAGGAGCGCTACAAGGACGACCTCCAATAGTGGCCAGCGCTTGATGGCAGGGATGCGGCGGAATGACTTCGCCCATAAGCTAGAGACCTTGATAAATAGAGCGCCCACCGCACCTCCGAGCACACCCAGGAACATGAAAATACCAAGCTCAAAAATCTCCCAGTCGCCCAAGTACCGGACTTCAAAAAGAACAATCTTTCCAGTACCGTAGGGGTTTAGGAACTTCAGCGAAAGAGCCGCGGCAATGCAGCAGAAGAAGGTCCGGAAGAGGGTCTTGGGCGGGAAGTAGTAGCTGACTTCCTCCTGGCTGAAGAGGACACCACCAATCGGGGCACCGAAAGCTACGGCAACACCACTGGCAGCACTGGCGCTGAGGACCTCACGCCGTTTACCGTCATTGTGATGGTATTTACTAAACAGGCGACAGCATATATTTCCCACACAGGTGGCAATATGCACATACGGGCCCTCTTTGCCAAGACTGAGGCCGGAGGCGACACTGAAGACCAGGGCCAAGGTCTTGATGACCAGTGTTTTGAACCCCAGATAACCGTGGAGCACAAACCCACTGTTGATGACCTTTACCTCGGCCACACCGCTACCCGCAGCAGAGTAATAGATCATATCAGGGCGGGTAGGTAGCATGGAGAACGAGGACGAGTCCCCAGACTCAGGCGAGTTATTCACGTCAGTCATTGGTTTCGAGGTGCGAGACCCCCCAGCAGCAAGATTCTCATCCAGGGTAGCCAGGGATACCGACGACGGGACGACAGTCTTGGTAAGCAGCGTCAAGAGACAAGACACAACAGCCAAGCCCACCGACCAGAGCACATAGACACCAAAGTCTACCCAGTGACTACCCCCAGACTCATGATTCATCATCTCAGACCAAGACCGCCATTCGGGACAATCGTCAAAGTCGGCACAGCAGTTGCCATGGCTCTTGAACCAAGACGTGGTACAGATCCCATCTTTAAGGTCAAAGACATAATCCTCCGACACATCCACAAAGTACGCAATCGCAGCCGTTATGCATCCAATCAGCGCAACCAAAAGCCAGCCCTGGGCGCCATCAAACAAAGCCAGAATTCGCCCGCGGATATCCTTCCTCCTGCGCAGTTCCCGAAGACGCACGCCGTCGGCAACACTATCATGCACCCAGTCCGTTGACGTAAACTGGTCATACCACATCCGGTCATCCAAAAATGATCCAGTCAGAGCATCCTTAGCCGAGGCAGCCAGACTCTCCGCCTGGCCTGCATCTAGGCTCCCCCGGCGACTAAACCGCTTATTCGTCGAGTTCGCTCGGCTATGGTGTCGAGACCGCCGCATACTGCCCGCAAGCAGAGTATGTCTAAACCCAGAGTCCGGGCCGGATGAGGCTGAGAAAGTGGTATAAGAGCGCTGCGGCGGTGCCCGGCGTTCTTTGGACTTCCCCAAGAGGCTGGTTGTCTCCCCAGCCTCCAAGGGCGGCTCTAGGGACTGGTAGGCTGTATGGGATTCTGAGATATGGCTATAGCTTCTGCGCATGACGGTCGGGGACGGAGGGGCAGTCCGGGGATTATTCCTGGTGCCGACATTCTCGGAATCGGGTGGCTCCTCGTGCGGAGCAGAGGTGAAATACGAAGGGATCGATCGGGGCATTTTTCATTGAAAGAGGGGACGTTGGTATTTCCCCCTTAGATCTGGCGGTCTTGCGAACTTGTCAGCCTGCTTGCTTGCGTTTTATAAACCAGATTCAACAAGAGATTACTCACAGAACAACATTGTCCCCTTACAGTGGCCTGAAGGGGGGAAGCTATTGTTGGATTCGGTTCAGGCCCAATAATGCGGAGTTGGCGAGTCCCACGGTACCCGGCGGCGACCACAAAGGCTATTTTCCGGAGATGAAACAAGGGGGGTAACAGAGACAAGATAATTTATACAGAAAGAAAATGAAAAGGAGAAAGGAGAGAAAGAGACTGAGAAGTATCGAAAGACGGTGAAAGGTGAGCGTGAAGGAAAAAGAGGAGACCTTTCTTTAGCTGGAGGGATGATCTGCCGTATTGCGTCTTAGCGCGCAGATGACCCGCCATCGCCATCCACAGGGACAGCACGGAGCAGTCACTGCCATCATCTGATGGCGATACAGCCCGACAGTGACTCTCGTCTTCAGCTTCTGTTGGTCCGGGCTGCCATCGTCGACAGGCCAAGAGATCCTCCGTCGTAGACATCTCTAACCAGCTTTGTACAGTGCTCTGCTCGTCGCTGTTGATCCCCAACTTCAATATCGCTTCTCGTCTCCACTGTCGTCATACAAAACCGCCAGGTCCTCGCAGGACCCTGAGTAGGCAGATATCCCCGGATCCGACTTCCTGCTATTTCCGATGACCGCTCTTTTTGACACCGTCCGTAACTAATTTTTCAGCCCAAGACCTGAACCAAAGACCTGAGCCACTTGAAACAGACAAATGCTGGGACGCATACGTCACCCCCCAAGGTCCCGGCAGATCATCGCTCTCTTCCCCATGGGGGTCCTACATCAATCCACGGTTCTGCATAGTGCACTTGCAGTGACAGCAGCAACACTGTCAGTGTCCTGCCAATTTATTTGACAGTTAACGTCTGTTACACGGGCGCCTGAAACATCATCTTCCCTCGCCACGCGAACCAACAGGATTGAACCTGGCTTGATTACGCTTCCCACGCGAGTCTTCTTGGGCTCCCTTGTGCTGACTATCAATGAAAACGCCCTTCCATACCTATAATTAACTTTATGCAGCACCGTGACGTCTTATGCAATGTAGCATTCCCCGCGATTTCATCGTCAGTCATCAGCCAACAGATCCCAGTATTACGGCTATTACACACGTGATGCTATTTCCCCTCGTATCATGGATAAAATAGGATGGTATTTTGCCCGTCGCTTCAGAAAAAAGTGAATTGGTTAAGGCTAGGCAAACTAGCATCCATACAATCGATAATATTCCCGCCGGTCCCTTCACATTGGCCAAACAAAGGATTTGCCAACGCATTTAACCAGAGCAGTATCCGACCTTCTCCGGCTCGCAGTCGTTGCTGCAGCCATCGTAGAAAACACAGGGGTGGTCGGCGTCGGTGCAGACATTCTTCAAGGTAGCGGTGTCGCCGTAGTTCAGGTTAATGCCGACAACTTCACCACCGTCGTATGCGGTAGTGCCCTCAACGTAGACATTGCGCTTGCACTGGGAGTCGCAGTTACCGCAGGAGCGGTAGACCTTGCCGTAGTCTTCGGCGTAGAAGTTGATGATCTTGAATGAGATTCGTCAGAGGCTGGCCACTCCAATGCAATCCATGAAGTGAGAGTACTTACGTTCACGGTGCCACAGCCATTGTGCTGGACAACCTTGTCGCTGGCGTGGTAAGCACCGCCGCCAATAATCCAGGACTCTTGTCCAGCGGAGTCACCTCGCTGCAAAGGAGAAATCAGAGAAATACATAGTAGCAGGATGGGGAGGAGGCCTTACAACGGTGATAGCGTCCTCGCAGACGTCCTCAAACCAAACAAACTCCAGGGTGCAAGGGCCCTCGCAGTGGACACCCTCTTTCTGATCTTTTCCAATGATAACATTCCTCAGTGTTGCACCGGAGCGGAGGATGAAGACAGCATCGTCATTTCCACCCTCGCCGCTACTGCATGCGCCAGAACCACGGTCATACTTGGCCCAGCCAGCATCAAAAGTTTCGCCAGCAGCAATCTCGATCGGGGAGCTGTTCGAGTAGTGGGCGGTATGCTGGGGGAGACCCCCCTCGTAGCCGAGACAGGCTAGAGCAACGGGGATGATGGACGAAGCTAGAGCAATCTTGGACAACATCGTTGCGAAGATGAAACTGCTGATCAGCCGAGGAGACAATCTGATTGAGCGAGCATGTCGATCAGAGGGCTCGAAAGCATTCTTATACTTCCTTCCGCCAGCCGACAAAATATCTCTCTTCCCACCTCAATTTGAGTAGTTTCTTGGGTCATTGGTGGATCAATGAAAAGGAGACAATCAAGACATCCAATTTGTTTTGTTATCACGAGGGAATCTTCACAGGAACAGCCGAGTCTTGGCCAGTACAGCTTTCGACCAAGTTCCCTCCAATTGAAGAGAAGAGCATCAAGGCATGGAGGGTGATGGATGGAGCACTGCGGTCCCGGTCACAACGGACCCTGACGGACCGCCAGATAAATTGGATCAGGCGCCCGCTGGTTGGATTCGCCAAGCTGTAGCAATATATCTCGCCGTGTTTGGTTTGCCGTGGCCAACGATGAGAATGCCCCGGGATTTTCCCTGCTTCGAATTACCGGTGGAGATGTCAAGGATGTAACTCCACGGAGTATGGCTTGCCATGACTCGAGAGCCGAGACGCTGTTCCTTGAAGGATTTCTTCAGATATGATCAGGGTCTGTGGCACTACTCTTGGGTTATTACAGGGTCATGGCTTCTCTTCATAAATCGCAATAGTCCAAGAGACCGGTGTCTGACCATTCCCTGTTTCTCGTGAAATCCGGGATATTTCTGAGTCTGGAATCAACCTTCATCTGCAGGGTTCGGAGCACCCCACCCGCAGAGTAAACAATTTAATATAATTCATGCCCACGTTTACCAGGATTCCCCACGGTGCAAGCACCGCCACAATGCACTTCTGATTCTTCACAAGCATGGAAGCGCACTCAGATTACTCCGTCCAGTGCAGACAAACACCGTGTGCTCCGCATCAGATCCGGATACGAGATATGCAAGTGCTATCTCCAACCCGGAAAATCAGATGTTTGTTTCTTAACTGCAGAAGCTTTTCTGGGTGTTGTCAATGTTAAAGGGTCGCTTGGCGGGGATTTTAGCATTGGCAATATGGGCCAGTGTTTCAGAATACCGTGGGAGGACTGCTTTCTCGCAACCTTTAGACAAGTCTAGAACCTCCTCGCGTGAGTTAGACTAGACATACTGTCACAAGAAAGGAAAGTGAAATGGTAAGCCACAATCTATCCAGCGTCATATCTATAATTCATTCAGTGGCTTGGAAATCGACAGATAAATAAAACAATCCAACAGGGAAAATAGATAGACAGAAACAATGTCACTTTACAAAAACAAATAATATACAGTTTTCTCTCTAGACTTACTACCTGTCGCGGTGCTAGCTCCATTGATCGAGGCTCTCCATCGCACCTCCCCTAAAAAGTATGAAGCACCAAAGACATTGCCTTTCCAGGAAAGCAGGAAGGTGCAGACCTGCGATAGGAAAGAGCGAACTCGCTAGGCCGGGGGGCTCCATCGCACTTACCCTCTAAGAGAGAGAGGACATTTTCATGTTAGGAAGGCATGATAGGGAGCCTGGAGCCCGGTGTTCGGTTATGAGGAAGGTGCAACCGCTTTCCACTCCATTGCACCCTCCTTACACAGCGAGTGGAATCCCGCCACTATAGGAAACTGCAACCAGCTGCTGGCTACATAGGTTGGAAGGTGCCATGCATATCGCATACTTGGTAGGTTCAGTATCAGAAAATAGAGTAGTAAATTTACCTATATTGTATGGCCCGGTCTAACTGGTAGGACTACCAGCGTAACTTCCACATTGACTGGGTCTGACGGGGAAACACGAGTGACGGTGAAAGGGGATATGCTGCCTGTCCATCCCGGACTCTGGCATGCGCGTTACAACTCATGAAGCATTCCGACACGCGATCCATGGTTCTACGTGGATGATTGTAGTGCAATTGAAAAGTGCATTGCAGCCTCAGGAAGCGTTCACTCCCATGAGACTGGCCTGATATGAGACCCGTAAAACAAGTTAACCGCCACTTGGTTTCGCGGACGAGTCGTATTGAAATTATAGCCCATGTCGATGAAGAAGCTGGAGTGGGTGACGGGACTGGCTTGACTGAGTATGCTGAAGATGTTTGTAGAATCATGAACGAATACGTCCGTCCATGTCCGCAAATACCTCGCGCCCGTTAAATCATTTACAATAAAGTCAAGAAGTCGGACAAGAGATGAATAGGCCGTAGTCGAGTCACTGGAATCGAGCGTTCTCCACAGGTTCGTGGTATCGCCGGACCAGTTACCTGGAGGCAGCGTCCGCAGGAGAGGAATCTTCGGCCATCCCCACAAATCGCAAAGAGACTGCTTGGCCTCCTGTGATGCGAGAAATGACGGAGGCACCCCAAAACCAGGACCTTGACGTACTACCGTCCGTGTTGATACGCACTTTAGCCACCGATGAGGGACATGGTCCAAATCACAAGGACAGCCACAGAGGAGAGGCACATGGCGCAACAAGAATATCAGCAGGAATATTCCTACCAGGCTTGTGCTGCCGTTTAGTTGCTCCAGAAGCTATAGCGCCTTCGTTAGCCGTGACAACTTGTGGCTTTTTGACACAGCCCTGCATGTCCAGGCGCTTGGGCTGTGGGGGATCGATGCAATGCCTGCCACGAGGCTGAGCATGAAACCAGAGCCTGGCAAGAGCAGGAAGAGACAAGGCTGCGAACTTGAAGTTCAAGACGAACGGCCCCCAAGCCATCAGCCCCAGACTAGCTGCAATCGGGCATTTGTGCGAAGGTCGCGTTGATCATTCGTTGGATCGCAGGACGACGTCGTACTTTTGGTCATTTAGCCAGTCCTTCGTCGTCGAATTAGCAATAATCATAATCTCGATACCAACTCGCCCCCTTTCTTCTTGCTTATTAGCGAGTCTGCCCATTCCCACTCTCGATTCTCAAGGTCTCCATGGCCGGCCGCCTGTGACAACCTCAACGAAAGCATGCGACGCCTTTTCCTTGCCGTCCTCGGTGCCAGTCACCTGCTGGCGGCCTCCGCTGATGATGTTACATGCTATAAACTCGACGGAACGAGCCGCACCGTTGATGGAACCAAAGTGTGCAACAGCCTCGACGGCGCGGTGAGCATGTGCTGCGCATCAAGCGACACATGCCTCAATAACGGCCTCTGCAAGACCGCAGGGGACTCCGTAAGCTACTGGCGAGATATGTGTTCCATATCTTCGTGGCCCGAGGTGGGCTGCTTAAAGATTTGTACGGTATGTCGTCTAGTATACTTTTTGCTTCCATCTTGTTTGATCTCCTGTGGCAAGGGCTAACAGCTGGTACATCCTTTCAGAGCGATGCGGTCGTTGACGAATCCGGTAACGCTTTGATGACGCCCTGTGATGGCACGGACTACTCGGAGACCTGGTGTTGCGGCCCAACGACAGACTGCTGTGGAAACAGCGACGAGATTACCCTTCCTGCCGACATCTACGCGTCTTCATCAACGCCAACTCCAACACCAACGAGCGAGACATCAACGAGCGAATCGCGCACGTCCACATCAGCCACTACGAGCTCTGACTCAACCGCGACACCGTCGTCAGAGCAATCGCCAGCATCGTCAGAATCGTCAGGCTTGTCGAGCGGATCGAAGGCAGGTATAGGTGTAGGTGTTGCGGCAGGTGTGATAATCGGGCTTGGGTTCTTTGCATTCTTCCTGATCCAACGGCGACGGAAGAGGGCAGCGATTGCACCAGGGGCCACGTTCGACGGTTCAGCACGGCGCGGCGCGGCCCCAGGAGCTCCTCAGGAGCTTGAACAGAGTGCGGTGTATGAGACGCCCGCAGATAAACAAAACACAAGGTATGAACTGCCGACGCAACAATCTACCGTGGCAGATAGATAGAATGTGTGGCAAGAGAAAGGCCATCTGCGGTCTCTGTATTATAATGCCCTCACGTATTAATGTTGATACAAACAGTGTCCTGCTAGAATTAGGGCATCAAGGAGGCGCTGTTCTGCGCCTTCCATAACGCAAGATACTGCATCGAATTCCTACAATTGCTGCAAATACTATAGGGAAGATTAAGTGGCCCAGGCGACTGGTTTGAATAATGCGATCACCATAGTTGGAAACCTCGACTCCATCAAGATGGATCGAGCACTAGATTATACCGCAGGCACGAGCTATAAAATTAAAGCCGAAGGGCGAGAACAAGAAGTGCCGAAGAAGGCGATGGGAAAGCCGGAGAAAATAATATCCAGAGAAGTCAAGAATCTATCTGAATATGTGTTGCTGGTCAGTTTCTGGGAAGAGTATAGCTAGTATAGCCTGCTCTGGACAAGATTCTGCTGTAAGCTGGGTAGTTTATATATAGACTCTAATTAATCTTCCCAGACTTGAGTCCTATAGTTCCTACCTGAGCTGACTGGAGTTAGAGCTTATTATCCTGCCCTCTATAGTCTGTAATATTGGATAGTGGCATCAGAGAGAGGTGGTGTGAGAGTCTACTGGCAATCAGGTATTTATATTCCTTCATTTTAGCAATATAACCGCATAGATAACTTAATCACGGATACAGATACCTACTGCGTAGTTACTCGTAGGGCTGCAGTGCTACCAGCCCTATACATAAGTGGTGCAGACTAGTACAGTACGTACTAGTTTCTTGTCAGAACGGAAAAAAAGCTCCAGGGAAATTAAAGCAAATTAATCTATTATAGATTGGATAAAAACATAATTTCATGAAATGCTCAGTATTATTTACAACCCAAGCCCAAGACATGACTGTCAAGTGTTGTGTGTGTGTCAAGTGCCGAGTCCAACCCCTCTCAGGCTCAAAGTCAGCACAACTTCTGCCCAGAAGCTCGGCATGACTTCCAATCCGACGTGATTGACAGCAGGGATCAGGGAGCTAAGACGGCTCAGACGGAAGTCCACCGTCGTCATCCTTGACGTGATCCTGAAGTTTCCTGTAAATACGACTAATTGACCGAACTGAGGAAGTAGATTCCGTGTTCAGCCACGCCCCCAGGGGATGCTGGAAGGAGAGGAGGGGGGATGTGATGCCCATCAAGGCCCCCGCTAGATCTCTGCTTCACACCAACAGACCTCATCAGCAGAGCAGCAAAGCAGCAAAATCTATTATGTAACCGCCCCCGTCCCCGCATGATGGGTTGGGTTGGGGAAACAAAAAAGCGAGAGCTAACAAGCAAAAGCAAAGAGCACGGGAGGTGCATGAAAATCCTTTGCCGCTATAGCCTACTGCACGGAGAAACGGACCGGTCAATCGCCTCACCTACCTGAACCTGAATTTGGAGGAATCCGACCAGTCCTCTTCTCAAGTTTGAGTAATGACGGGTGTCAAGGAACGGGGCTACGGAAACATAAGGTTGGCTAGTGAGAGGTTCGAGTTAGGGCACAACTTGCCCAAAACGGCATAATTTCTCTCTAGCCTAGTGCGTACGGTCGGGTATGGCGGAGACAGCAAAGCCGGTTATCCATCTCATCTCATCTGATCTTATCAAATCAATCCATTCAGCGAGTGTCGGCTGTCGAGACTCGAGGACGGGTCCAGCCTCCGAGTTTCCCTCGCAAAGGAAGATGCGCGCATTGCGTGCGAGATTATGAGCCGAGACCGGCGAGCGCGTCGACCCGCCAGGAAACAATTCGACGAGTTGAGTCTGGTAGATGCAGCGCATGGACAAATAGAGCGCCTGCATGGGCCCTTGCCCTTGAGTTGGGTTGAGGGGGCTGAGGAGAGGGGAGAGATGGATCCGACCGCATCAGATGAGCTGGCTCAGGGATGTTTCCTGTCGGAGTATCGGATTGCTCAACAGTCCGAGGGGACAGGACTGGGAACAGGGAACAGGAACCTGGAAACTCCGGCTAGACGAGTCCGCGGGGACGATCCATGTGATCTGTCGGGCACGCTGGTTCGTCGAGGTCAAGCGGTGTGAGATCGGCAGCCGCGTGCCGCGTTGGCTGGGTTTCGTTGACCGCATCGTGATGGGGTCAGCTTGTTCTAGGCATGTGCTACTGCTACTGCTCCTAACACCGGGTAGAGAATTGATGTGTAGTTGTTTATTGATCTAATACCAGGTTCTGGTATCGACTAGTTGTAGATGCTATATACTTTGTGTGTAGAAATCAACATGAGAAGAGTAGTGCCCAACAGGTAAAGAGTAAATAACGCCAAATAATGCATGCATGTATCTGTTGTATGCAATCCCAATCCGTATTCCAAAAATGGCCTTTTGTGCAAAGCGTCGCTGGTTCACGCTGAAATGCTCAGAACATCAAATCGTCAGGGTATCATGTATTATTATATACTAGCGGAGTCGTGGTGAAGGGCATGGTCAACATGCTTCAATCATCGGTTGCTGCGCTTGCGGTACATAATACCGGTGTTCGAAGTCTGAGTCTGAGAGTGCGATCTCGGTGGTGTGTGCTTGCTTCTCGTCAAAGGTCTCGAGGACCGGCTGTGGTGGTGACGGAGGCATGCTGTCGTCTTCCGATTCCTCGTCCTCGTCGTGCGACAGCTCTGGGGGTGTCTGTCGCGATGGTGATCGAGTCAAAGCAAGCTCATCGAGATCCTCAGCGTCATCGTATTCAAATTCAGAGTCCGAGTCCGAGTCGGACGAGTCGTAGTCTTCCTCCAGCTCGGTCTCGGTGATAATGGCAGCGGGTGATGGGGCCCGTCGTCGAACGGGCGTGTAGTCATCCTCAAAGTCCGAGTCTTCCTCCTCGCTAAGATCTGAGTCTTCGTCGGAGAGGTCCTCTGGGTCCCAATCCTCCTCGGGCTCTTCGACCACTGTTTCCGCCCATTGGATGTGCTGGTGTTCAGGGCGATAGGAACCCTTGGTGGCGCCGCTGACGGTTTGGTTGAACCAGCGCTCTTGCTCTTGTTCAGCGTCGGCCAGATCTAGCATGAGAGTATCGAGCAGATTTGCGTGGCCGACGAGCAGGCGCAAGTCATGGTCCGCTCGGGAAGCTTCCCGGGTAAGCTTCCGGCGGGCCGTGTGGGCGAGGTAGTATGTTTGCGTGATGCTCATTTTTTTCTGTTGGCGCTTCCGTGTGAGAGAGTTGAAGTATGAGGTGAAGGAGGAAGCTGGCGGGGGGGATGGAGAGGTAGAAGTAAGCGGAGAAAGTGTTGAAGACATGCTGAGGGCCTGGGGGCGGCCTGATGTGTTAATGATCTCAGCCTGTGACTCAGGCAGCACTGAATTGTTCTCCAGCCGGTGAGCCGCTGTCCAATCGTGGCTGGGCACGGGAGGCGGTGTATCAGGAGGCTGACAGCCTTATCTTCCTGATACGAGCAATAATATTAAGGGACCCTTGCAAATTGTCTGGGCAGGATCCGGGCTTTCTCGTAGCGTAATTCCGATGCAGATACTTGGTCGTCACCGACAGGCTGCTGAATGCGATCGAGCGTCTGGTGGCTGATGCGAATGTACGTGGATGTCTGAGGTATCCTTGTTAGGTAGGAGTCGCTTGGTTTGCAGAGTCGGTGAAGAGAAGAGATCGATCAGAGAGGTCTGAAAAATGGATTGAAGGGGATGGTTTCCATATGATATATCCAGCAGGGGGCCACTTAGTTTCCTTTTCTTTTTACTTTTTTTTCGCGTTTTACTAGCTTTTGTATTCTGATTCATAATCGTATCGCCGAGATTAGGCACGCTAATTCCCTTTTTTCCATTATTATTTTTTCTTCCGGTGCTTTTCTTTGGTACGGGTCCATCAACTCCGCCGTAAAGTCCGACCGGATGGATTTGCACGCCGGGCAGGCAGGCATAAGTTCAATCCAGACTTGAGTGCGCTCCGTGGATCCGATCAGCGGGGCCAAGGTCGAGGATTGACATTCCCGAGGTCACCGCCTCTCTGTTGGGCCCAATCACGAGTTGCAAAAACGTGACTCATGGCCGTTGTCGCGACACTATGCCACTTTGGGAAATCGCTGCCCAGCGGATAATTCAGCAAAACAGGAAAGCACGGATGCTGGTATTTCCGTATTTTACGCTTGGTAATCTCCGGGAAGCCTGACAAACTGACATGGAAGCTGGACGAGAAGCTTCCGAGCATCATCCATACTCATCATTATTCAGCTTCCCCAGATGACTCGAAATCGCATAATTGTTATCTCCAATTGCCGATTGTCCACTCGGAACTCCAGGTTATGCATGCAATCCTGTCAAACAGAGACCGAGTCTGGAACTCTCCTTATACTGTTTGAGCTTCTCAAACACTGGCTTAGTTAACTTACACTCTTCCGCTGACTAAATTACGACCACCCGAACATCCGGCGTCTCAAACCTAACAATGTGATGGCTGATCAGAGGATGTGACGAAGCCAAGTGTCTTCAGCAGGACTTGGCTCTCAGTTCCGGTCGCGACCAAGGACGTTGCCGGGCAGTGCCCTGGTCCGCCTCGTCTAATCGTTTACTCGCAAAGCGCAGCGTTGAAACGAATACGACAACCGAGATAGTCGATCAGCTTGTATAAGGCAACATGAATACTATTCAAGGATACGTGGACCATATGTACGCCAGCTTGACGGGTGCCGAGAATTCCAGGCTTCCACGTTTGCGATCTCTCCCCCATTCACATCATGAATCTTGACACTGCCCCGAACCCGGGGGTCTAGACGTGGAGGAGCCGCACTGCCCAGTGTGCCCAGCGGCCCAGCGCTTGCGCCTCGCAAACGTGTCGGGCTGCCAGTCAACCGTTGGTTTCTCGTATATTTCACTGTTACAGATGTCGTAATTGCTGTCTTCATTCTTGAGATCTACCCCCAGCCCTCTGAGCCATGTTGGACAATGTTTCTGCCTCTCTATTCTCTGCCACCCAGGTGAAGTATACAGAGTAACAATACATCATTGCTGGATTATGCTGTACACGATTTCCGT